GAGGGGCCAACATGGGGGTCATGGTATCAGGGTGTCAGTGTCCGCAGCATCAACTCAAACGGGTAGCGGGTAGCTCGACCTGCTAAGTTCTAACTTACCTTGAGAAGACGAGTATATGCGGATTTAATTAATCAATAACAGCGTTGAGATGGATTTGCACAAAAGATGAAAGAAAATAGGGGGGAAAGAGTAAATATGATATGATATGATATGATATATGGCGATAGAAGCTAAATTGACAGAAGACAAGAACAGAAGACAAGAGGGTAAAAACAGGGTTGACAAGCGTGTAAAAGGAAAAGACAAAAGTGTAAACAAGACAACGGGGAAAAAAAGAAGACAAGTGTGTAAAAACAGAAGGCAACAGGGTTCAAAAGAAGACAAACGGGGGAAAAAAAGAAAGGAAGAAAGAAAAAAGCGAGCTATGGTCTACGACAATACCATATCAGCTTTATTTGACAGAGACAAGTTAAGACAGATAAGACAAAGAGATAGATATGAGTGGGTAAATGGACATGAGTTACGGACGAATCAGACATGAGACGAGACAACAAGACAGTGATACTACATCCTCCCCTTCCTTTCCCCTTCCACCCCTTCATGAGCATGACGCTTTTGGACAATGCTACTCCCTATTCCCCCCTGTGTGTGCGCCGGCTAGTAGGTTCAAGAGAATTGAAGAAAAGTTCTAACCCTGGCCAATTTTTCAAAAAGGTGCCTGTGCTCCTGCGGTTCGACAAAGCCCATAGCCCAGTTTGTCTAGACCTTGTGCACAATGTTCGAAATCCGAGTGACAAGTGCAGAATGTCAAGTGTAGTATCTACACCATACTACAACTAAACTGGAATTCCCCCAGAGAAGACGACATTGGCACAGGAGGCCCGGTTGAGGACACACAAAAACTTGTGCCAAATGTCATTTTTTATTTTCTTAGGCGTTTAGACGTACTGAGAGATCCATCGGAAGCCCTCGCCATAACCTGTTATGAAGTAGAGACACGCGGATTAGCATGGGGGGAAAGATAAAGCATAAAGACACTAAAAGATCGACTACCCACCTTGTCTCATGACTACACTGCACATAAACACCTCAATGGGCCGGATGCCCTCCAACGGAATCTTGCCCTTGCCGGTGGTCTGGTACAGGCCGAGGTGGTGTCTCAACTCGTCCTCGCTGACGGCGTCCGGGTGGTCAATCTTGTTGCCGAGAATCAAAAACGGCACCTTGGCAAGCTCCTCCATGGAGAGCAGCGCATCGAGCTCGGCCTTGCTCTCGAGCAACCGCTCGCGATCCTTAGCATCGACAAGGAACACAATACCAGAGACCTCGGGGAAGTAGTCTTTCCAGAGACGACGAGCTACACGAAAAAAGAAGAAAAGCAGAACCGTCAGCCGTGGTTCCAAAGAGTAGGGAATAAAAAGACTATCATTTCAGTCGAGGGGACGGGGGAACCTACCCTGCTGGTGACCGCCAAGATCAAAAGTTGTAAATCTGCAGTTTCCAATGGCGAGTTCCTCGGATGCTGTACATCCCAGATTGTTAGTTATGTCCCCTAATATTCTGGGCTTTCAAACATATTTCTAGGATATTGTATTCTGAGGTCTCCAAGGGAAAGTTGGGTCGGAACGTACTAGGGTGCAATGTTGGCTGAAGGACAGCAACCCGGTCATTCTATGGCAAGGGAAAGTCGTATCAGCATATATTCGTAACTCTTTGCGCAAAGCCTCCACTCAATCGTAGCATGGAGGGATCGGCCCAGCTCCAAAGAGGCCCTATCCGAGAAGGTTGATCGGCAGGGAGGCAGGCAGGCTCACGCACCTTCAACATGTGCAATAGCGTCGTTTTTCCGGCATTGTCAAGCCCAAGGAAAAGAAGTTTGGCATGCTTGTTTAGCAGACCAAGAGACGCAAGAACGTCCCAGACTATAGGTGTTTCAGAAAAGGCATTAGTTATTGTGCTTGTTGTTCGTTCCCGAGGCCACGAGACCGCGAGAAATGACGTGAGTGCTGCTTACACCAGTTGACGATCCACATGTTGCTCTAACGCTGGTCTATCGCGGTCGCGAGTGAGAATAATGCGAGATATATTGGTACTTGAAATCAAGACGGAGGGGCGTTGTACTGCCGATGCTGTACAAAATGAATTGCAAGGGAATCGTGACGTTGGGAAGCTCGATGATCGAGTGATCTGTGAATATCTTTAGTGGCAGAGTGGCCAGTGCTGTGGACAGGTTGTAGTCCTGTAGTCCTGTAGGTCGCTTGACTTTCCAAGCTCGGTTGTCTCGACCCTGCAACTTGAGCGACCGAGGACTCTCGTCAGATAGACGATCCCCAATGGAAAATATACCACCATACGGTTAAACGACCAAAGGATGAAAGGCGATGAAACTATTTCACCAACTTTTGTTTTGGACATGTCAAAATATATATATATTTTTTACAGCAGTATTTGCTTAATTAATTAATGTAGGGAAAGTATTAAAAAAAGGCATTGGCTCGTGACCATAGAACCTGCACTCTAATATTGACGCCATTCCCAATGCTAAGCAGGCACCCTGTTGCCGTCAAGGCAGCCTGAGGGAGAATACCTAAGTATCCATGCATATTTGATAACCAGGCAAACGTGGTATCTCAGCATTAAAGATAAAATGGGGTATTATGTACACGCCAGTTTGAACTGCCGGGCACTAAAGTATTTACAAAAGAAGATGTGAAACAAAGGAAAAAAAAAAAGGAAAAAAAAAAAAAAAAATTTAGCCCAAAGGCCAAAAAGGCGCGAAGAGGCGCCGATCAGGCATACAACAAGTGGAAAGGCTTGTTTGAGGGGGAAGGGGGATGTCCTAAATTGAGAGCATGTACTGTGGGTTGTTATGACCAAACCATGCCCCCTTGCCCTTACCTGCCATCTCCAAGCCTAGCTCCCGCATCCTCTCTAGGCCTTTTCCAGGCTGGGGTTTCTTTTCCTTTTCTTTTCCCGCATGACGATAGTGTTTTTGCCAAAACTTTTGCTTACGCCGCTGTCGTTTCTTCTCCAGGCCCTTGACAATGTCAATGGCACGGCGAGCGCGAAGTTCAGTGCCCGGTGGAGACAGCGGCTCAGCAATGGCGGCTTGCAATTCTCGATCATAGTACCGGAAAGGATTCGGTGTTCGGGGGAGAGACTTTGTACGAGTCAATTGGTGTCCACCAAAGGCAGGGCAACCATCTGGAGTCCTGACCCGGGGACCAGGGGAGACTGTTCGCGTAGCGGGAGGCGACCTCAGATGGCGAGCCGGAGGCGGCGATCGTAGACGACGCGGCGAATGAGCGAAGAGGTTGCGCGCAGGTGGAGGCGAGCGGCAAACATTACGCCTTGGCGGCGGAGGTGGCGAACGGAGGCGCTTGGGAGAGTCTCGAGGGGAGACTTTCTTCGCGACTACCCCTTGGCCTTTTGGTGAGTTTCTGCCACGGCTACCGCGTCGGCCGCGGTCGACAACCTCCTCTTCAGACTCGTCATCATCTTCATCGTCCGGGTCAGACAAGGGAAAGCTAGGGTCAATGTCCTGAGGCACAGGAGCGTATTTGGCACGTTTTCGCTCTTCCAGACAAGAAACATAGGCTGCCTCGAGGGGTCGGTCCTCGTCAAAAGTACCGCAGACAAAATCAGTGCTATCAGGAAGCTCGGGCGTATCTTGGCGTGCAATAGCCCGAGATCGTCTTCGAGCCTTGGCAAGATCCTTGGTCTTCTCGGCCAGCTGGGCCTTCATTTCGGCAGTTTGCCGCGGACTTTGATGAGACTCAAGAGATGATTCGGACGCGCTTCTCCTAGGGCTTGGACGAATCATTTCGATATGAGCAGTAGAAGAAACATTCTTCACGGTCGGTGTCCAGAATTGGTAGTCAGACGCAGCATCGCTCTCCTCATCAGACTCTGCAAATCCTTCCTCATTATCGGTTTCATTTCCACCCTCGGAAACCACGTCCTCGTCCTCGTCCTCATCCTCGTCCTCGGAGGAAGAAGAAAAGTCAGAGACTTCATCTTCGTCAGCCGCATCCTCTTCATCTTCATCTTCATCATTTGCTTCGTCTTCAGCTTCTTGTTCAACCTCCTCGCCCATTTTCCTAATGGCATTTTCCTTTTTCAGAGTATCATTGACCGTCAGTCGTTCTTTATGCACAGTAGATTCATTCACCCAGTCATCCTCTTCATCAAAGGAGCTTGCGAATTCATGAAAACGACTTCCTTCGGGTTTTTCAGGACCGGGATCAGAACGGGTAGATGGTTTTTGCAGCGGAGAAGGAATCTGAATTGCACTGCCAGTTGATTCATTTCGCACTGTCGAATCCGAATCCCGGTGCGAGCGGCTGCTCGGTGACTGGGGGGGTTGCAGACTCTCGGTCATTGACTCCCGTGCGCCGAGGTCAGGCGACGGTTGATGTGCGGGGGAAGGCGTGTTGGTCTGCGGCGAATCGGATCGCGAGTTGCACACAAATTTGATCATGCACCGACGAGGCTGGGGTTGAGGTTGAGGTTGAGGTTGCTGTGCCAGCTTACTGTCCTTGGAAGTGTTCCCAGCATCGCTTTTCACACCTGCCTGGCTCTGGCTGTCTGATGCTGGGGATTTTCTGCCACAAGCAAATGTGATGCATCGCTTGCGACCAAGACCAGCCTCGACAGCTGACTCATGCTCACTGGTGTCCGTAGTTGACGGCAAAAGACGGGGATGATTGGGGTCGGCTCCAGCATGAAGTTTATTCAGCAGGGCAGCTTTGGGGGAGCCTACGCGGTGCAAATGCGAGGGAGGTTGCGGCGGGCTAGGAGAATTTGTCCTTGTTGGGCTGGTAAGGCCTCCGTCACTCGTCAGATCGGCGGTCGAGGCGGCGCTCGCATTGCTCCAGGTGGACGCCGTTCGCGAGGCTCGAGAAAAGTGGGACACGGATGGGAGGTGTGCCTCATCGGCAACATTGTCTGGGCTCGTCAGAAGAGCACGGGTCAACAACGATTCTCGTCGGTCGGCTTGCTGTGACGGAATCGACTTGACATAAGCGCAGTGAGCAACGAAATGAGCGTCGTGGGGATTCCAAGCGGCAAGACGACCAAAATGAAGCGGCTCGTCCGGGGGTTCGTCCGCCTCCGCAGCGAGCTCGTCTTCGCCGTTCGACGTCAGAGTTGCGGTCAATGGTAAATTATGAAGAGTCAACGTTTCGTGCGCACTAGGCGCACGATAATAATGGTGCTGACGATAAGGCATGTTTTCTCTTTGTGTCGCCTGAATATGCTGATCGGAGTATGCGCGTGATCGATGTTATCTTCGAATGGCCGGATAAAGTATGATTGAAGCAGGAATGGTCGATTGTTGCGGGTGGTCGTCAGAAAGAGGGCTCTTTCAAACTGGTCGGATCGACGAAGCAAGAGTGATTGCAAGATTAAAGGAGAGCCCGAAATGTTACTGAGCCAACCCGGAGGCCGCAGGTTGATATTCGATTGAGAGAAGATTCGAACCAAAAGATCTTTGCAAAGCTCCCAAGTTTCCGTAATGCGTTGAGAAGGTGCTATGTCCTAGACCGACGCAATATTTCCAATCGAGGCGGAAAGGCGGAAATCAAAGGTCCCGCAGGACGTGCTGTTATAAATTCCGTATATAGACCATGATGCAGAGGATCGATTGAATTATCTCAGAGACGCTTAAGAGCGTTTGAAGGTCCAGGCTGCAATCCTTGGGGCGCACCGCCAAGCAAGGTACTAGTGAAGCGGTCCGCGAACCTTTAAGAGCCAAGAAATGACGTGCAGGTGGTTGTATGGTAAGTGGCGAATGTGCACAGCACGAATGCAGACGATAGTGAAGATCTATCCAGATGCTGAAAGTCGATCGGAGTGAAAAAATAAAGGAGTGTCACTGGATGGCAAAAGGCAGGAGAGGAAGAGTGTGGTAGAAATAATGAGAAGAAGAAAGAGAAGTGGGAAGGAAGAGGAGTGGAGGGGTTGAAAGAGAAAAGATGTTAGTTAACTAAGGGAAGCGGTGATCTCTCGGAGGCGAGAACCGGGGAGGGGGGGGGTTTGCGGATTGTGTGTGTGAGCTGTGTGCGCGCGGGTGGTGTGTGCGCGAGATGAAATAATACTACGCAGCAAACCCGCAGGACTGGGGACCTAAGGGCAGGTCAAAAAGGCGACCCGCTAGTTAGCAGGTTTCCGTTCGAAGCAGCTACCTCAGGTTAAGTTGGCTGAGAATTGCATGTATGTACTCTACAGTCCCAGCCCAGTTCAGTCGTAGCGCGGCAAGAGGGAGGGGTAGGAAGAACAAGCAGCGGCCGAGAAAGCTAGCGAGTAGGCTGTTATTTGTCTGGGGCAATTTGAATCGGCCTGCAATTGGGTTGGTTGGGGTTTCCTTTAAGGGCAAAAGGAAAGAGGGCAAAAAAAAAAAAGGGGTGAATTTCTTTTTGGCCTGCGGGAAGAGGGTTAGAGCTTGTCATCCCATTAACAAAACGTACTGTAAACCTTTGTACAGTGGTCGCAGTACTGAGAGCAACCGGAAATAATTCCCTCATATTCTGGAAGTCAAGCTTCTTTGGGTTAAAAGCATGTGAGAAGCGAAATAAATCAAAAATGCAAATGATTTAGTTGGACAACACTTGTTCAGGTACCTACCGTAGTGGAGACTATACCTATAACTTTGTTCCCGCCTCTCACTAACGCTTGTACAGTACAGCACGGACAAGTCATCAGGGCTAAGCGTCACGCTACTTTGACAGCCAGCTTATGACGCAGGGAAATGAAGTCACTCGGCCAGTGAAAGCCTGGGCGTTTGGGGACGACAGCCCTCCGATGTCCGGCCAGCGATACAGCACATACCTGCCTACTCCGTAAGTGTAAAAGGAAATCCAAGACTCGGGCGAGGAACTGGCCAAGCAGTGCAGATTTACTCCATTCAAACGTAATTATGCTTGGCAACTGCAAGGACCGAGGGGGGAAATTACCAAGAGATGATTTCAACAAGAGGTGCTGAGTGCCGATCATTTCAGTCTCCGGTAATTTTACAACCTTACCCGGGAACATCTCCGGGAGCTGAGGATTTGCTTCTTGGCAGATGAGTAAAGCATTCTATGCCACTGTACCTCCGTACCTGTTGATGCAATTACCTCCATGTGCCATTGTTCAACGGTGCACACAGGTACCATTAGGAACCCGGTACTTGCCTAACTTAACCGAATGCAGATGCCCACCACTTTCAATGGGCGGTCTTGCCGGCCAGGCTTGCCGGCTTCACTTCCATTGCAAGTCACACACGACGTCAAAGTAGCCTTATCCGAGTGGTCTATCGTCTGTCAATTCAATGAGAAAAAAATAAAATGGAATAAAAGTACTTACCTTAGTCAAACGAATGGGGCTCGCCATGAGCCAAAAATGATCATTGGTGCATCTCCCCAGCGCCGATTCGGACCTCCTTGAACAAAAACCAAAAAGCAATTGACAGAGAGCTACGACATACCCACAGCACTACCAATGATAATCGTAGCATGGACTTTTCTTTTTCCCTTTGAGCTTGTGACAGGAGCCCGGAGCTCCGGCTGTATGTTCATGAGGTTCGTAAAAGAACGCAGCTGCAACAACAGTAACAATAAATGCAGTCAGCTCGGGGCTTTGTTTCGTGTTGCAGCTTTCGGCATCCGAATCTTAATGGGGGAGAGGTCAATGCTCCTTCAATAGGCACGAGGCCATGCCCCGTGTGATAGATTGTTTGGTTCTTTCCTTTGCGCAAGGCAAAGCGTCTGCCTGCATGGACCAACCCCTTGTCTCCTTCAGCATGCTCCATATCCTTCTCCTAGCTGTTTGGGCCCAGATACTTCACGATTCAGAAAAGAGGGGTTCACCACCCCCGATCAAGCTTCCCCCCTTTCCGGTAGGATTCCCGCTGTGGGCCGAGCAACCACTGAAATTACACTTATTTGTTACGGCGGTGAAGGAAGTCACCCGAGTCGTAGTAATCATATTCGAACAGTAGCCGCCAAACATTCGCTGAATGGATCTCTGTATGGCGTCTTCCAAGGCAATTACAACGCCAAGCTTGGACGTTATTAGTTGTACTGTCTGTGTACTACATCTCTCATCGGCAGGAGGACGGCAATGCAGCTCGAGCACTGCGCCCAGGTGCTTGGCTTGCATTCTTTGCAGCTTGGCTCTTACACAAGTGACTCGACGGTTGCTTTCTTATGGATGGAAAGATGCCGCTTTCCTTTCAGAACCTTTCACAAGCAAAACCTCTTCATTATTGAAGCATCTCGAGGTTTTCAGCATGTCAAGGATTCTGCAATCAGACCCTGCATATCCATCACGCGCAGGTCCTTTGAGTAGCCATTAGTAGTCCCTGAGAAGCTCCGTAAACTGGCAAAATATAAGCACCAGTTAGTTATTGCAGCATAGTGCTTGCTACCGATTAAGAAACCCTGGAAGCCAGCTTTTTTTTTTCCCTTTCGACGTCTGCTACTGCTGACCGCCGAACAGTTTAATGGACACCTTATCACAGACTGCTAGCCGACGCATTCTTAGGTCGTGGTGTGGGGCACCATGCATGAGCTCGTATGTCATGATAGCTTTAGGGAAAGGCATCATACCCGCGTAGCAGTAGAGAAGTAGGTAGTATCGTAGTCTAGTACCTTCTATCCTCATCTATTGAGCGGGAAGAGTGTCTTTACTCATCTACCAAATTACTATGTCGTATAACACCGTAAAATTTCTGAACCGCATCTTTGCCTCGATGGACCTCAATCCCCATGACTGTTGGCTCTTCGTCCAGCCTCTGCCGAAAGATAAAATGCCATGAGACACATTTCCAACCATACAATGCTTGCTGAACCGTTGATTCGGTATTTGTTCCGACAAAGCTGACACACGGGTCGGAAATCCACCAGGCATCGGCAGCTGAGTTAAAGAATGCCTATCAAAAGATATAAACATAGTAAATAAAATGAAAACAAAAAAAAAAGGCGAAAATGAATTCTTATAATGGATTCGTATGAGAACTAACACAGCGAGAAATGTCTAAGTCACGTGCTTTGAACTTCCAAAGTCACGTGCCGAGCTCCAACCGCCAAGACCGAGAATCCGGGCTCATCTCTTCAACGACTACCAGCTGCTGTTGTCGCGTCCCTCATCAGCAATTGCATCAATTCAGCTGCTCAACAAAATGAACTCCTTCCGTTTCGCTCGGGCAGCTCTCCGGGCTCGCCCTACAATGATGCGTCAGCCTCTGCAGCGAAGAGGCTACGCCGAGGCCGTCTCGGACAAGATCAAGCTGACCTTGGCTCTCCCTCACCAGGTACGTGGGGATTGTTTCTATTCGCAGAAAGCCAGCCATCCGATTCCTCTTTTTTAATGCGTCAATTGAATCATTGCAACTGGTTTAAGATTAGCGCTAACTTTTCCTCAGTCCATCTACAAGTCTCTCGATGTGTACGTCGAATTCGCAGCCCAATATAATCCGTCATCGACTCAATTCCAATTCCTTTGAAATACAATAATAATAATTTCGTTTTCGCAGTGTGCAAGTCAACATCCCGGCCGAGTCTGGTGAAATGGGTGTCCTCGCCAACCACGTCCCCTCTATCGAGCAGTTGAAGCCCGGTCTCGTTGAGATTATCGAAGAGAGCGGTGGCAGCAAGCAATTCTTCCGTACGTCGCCCCAAAAGCAGCCCACGGATAGCCAACCTTCAGCGCTATTTTAGACTGTTGGTGCGAAGGAATAAGACACGGACCAGCGAAGGCGCCATCATAAGCTATACGAGTTCTGAGCATGTGGCTAATTTGATCCCAATATAGTGTCTGGCGGATTCGCCATTGTCCAGCCCAACTCGCAGCTGAGCATCAATGCTGTTGAGGGATTCCCCCTTGAGGAGTTCAGCTCTGAAGTGCGTAAAACAGATCAACCAGTCTCCCGTTCGGAGAAGCCCAGACTAATGTTTTTCCAGGCTGTCCGGTCGCAGATCGCGGAGGCCCAGAAGATTGCCGGCGGTAGCGGTAGCGAGCAGGACATTGCCGAGGCCAAGATTGAGCTTGAGGTATGTTTACAATGCTTCAATTGGGTTTCGAATGCTAATTTCAATTTTCAGGTTCTCGAGAGCCTTCAAGCTGCCCTCAAATAAATAGCTGGCAGCATTGGGTCGAGCGTAAGGCGAGTGTGGTAGAGAATTGTGTATTGTATAGACGAATACGATTCTGCACGTCCGTTTCAGCATGGAGACAAGTTCAATAAACACGATCTTGAACGTGAAAGTCCGACACATTTCTCTTTTACTCGTATTCCCGCATTTTGCGCCTATCAAATTGGCGCATGATATTTGGACGCTGAAGCCAAGGCCGGCTCTTGCCAGATCTTCCATCTCGTAAAGTCTTTGGCACTTAATTGTTGACTTCAATTAATGCCAAAAAGCGCCTGACCATCCGATTTCCCCAAGACTTTTACCTTCTAATCTACGTCAACAGGGGTTTGCCAAGAATGTTCCACGTATGGCAGCAATTAGTGACGTCTCTTTATCCATACTTGATAGATCATTGATGTTCACCAGAAGCAAGTTAATCTTCAGTATCCCTTTTCACAGATACCTGAGCAAGATGCCTCCGTCATTTGCATTGGTGATGAAGGTACATCTTATTATTCCAACAAATGAACCGTCCCTGAAAAATAGTATTGCAAAGGCTTAAAAGACTAGAAAATAAAGTCTGGAGGGACTGGGAAGTTCTCTCCGTTCTCCCGTATATGTTCCCGCTTCTTATCCCGCTTCAGAGGTTTTCGCATGTCAAATGAATCCTCACTATCAGACTTCCCTGTTGGATTGTCGCTGTAATAGCCAACTACTCGCCGGAACACGCTGTATCTATTGTTGCAAGAAAAACGAACCGTGGTCAGCTGTATTCAGAACAAAGGACGTATTCGTGAAACAAAAAGAGATTGATAGATGAGCAAGCAGTAGCTGAGACTGAGAAAAGGAGAAGCAAGAAGAAATAAAGCTTACCCCATGCCCTTATATAATGATTGCGCAACCTGATTGCTTTCCCGCACGAACAAGTCGACAAACCACGCGTTATATTCGTCTCCAGCCTTTTCAAGGCTAGAAGTCAGTCTTTGCGCAAGACCGAGTCGTCGCGCTGATGGCGCGACAGTCAAGGCGGTAATATGAGCGTGCCAAGGGAGAGCGTGCTCTGAATGTTGGTATGCCGGTGGACTGGACTCCAGCTTGCCCATCACTATAAGTTGAAGATTTATATAGTTAGCATTGTTTACAAAGTCATAGTTTGTCTGGCAAATTCAAAAGAGGTAAATAGCTCTATGAAATGAGCCTCAAACGCTGCAGAGTCGGGCTTACTGTATGCATTTATCTTTCCATCGGCACCTTCAATGACATTGAAAAGTGACGGCCATTTTGCCAGATATGAAAAGTAAAAGTCGATGCCATAGTTTTCGGTCAATGGATCAAGATTTGTGTGATTGAACTTGAATAAATCGAGAGGGTGAAACGGCCGAAGCGCAGCCATGCTAGGCGGAATTTCCTTGCGGCGGGGCAATCAGAAGTATTTGAGCTCGATACCGACGGCAAAGAGGATATTGGAATGACTTCCTGAGTCTGACTAAAAGCCCCGCTGTCCAGAGCTGATGATGGCCGGATTTAAACAGCTTCCAGGGTAGCTAAACGTCTTCTCGTATGAAATGCAATTGTTTGGAGGTCCAAGTTGTGCTCGATTTCCAAGCGGGATGCAACTGACCGACACTCCGACACCGCCGATGTTTCCGACTGGCATTCATGATTTCTATGGCCGCATTCTTCACACAACCTGCCATCTCGACATATATTAATTGTGGTCAAATCTGCTGGACTTGCGCTGTCTACAGGAGGGATCATTCACCTCGGATTGATATTTAAATCGAGGCATTATATTCACGGTATTTCCACTTTCTTCCCCTTCTTCAATTTGTCAGATGTCTCACATGGGGGTTGTCTTATATTATGCAGGTCAACATAACATACAACACCACCGCGAGCCGCGTCTCCCACGGCGAAGACCCTCCTTTTGAACCATATCTAGAGTCGATTTCAATCTCTCGGATTGACGCGATAAGTATTTACGAGCCAGTTTTGCTATCTCGCACGCGCATGGCAGGGTTGTGTACTGCAGTTGCGGGGATCACAACAAAGGGGTACAAAGCAGGAAAGACATACACATAGCTTTTACACTTTACATAAATTCTTCGCGCGCGAACCCGAGTATCACGACTATTTCTATTGCAGTATATATATACACTCGCATAAAAAGAGAGGTCAGGCTCCAAAAGCCAACCAACCTGGCCATCATGGCATCACGACCGAGCACGCCCCCAGAGCACTATTCCATGCACGACGATTTCTCTTATCCCTCACCACAAGACTATCACGAGGCACACAGCTTGAATGGAGCAGCGCATTCTCACTCCGGACAGGACTTTTCAATAAACATGCAAATGCATGGCATGGATAACTTTGAAGGCTCCCACAACGACCTGGCAGGAACTATGGGTGCTGGGAATGGTCTCGGCAGTCTGGCAGATGAATTAGCAGAAGCATGGTACGGCGATGAAGAGTATGAGGAGGAAGGAGCCGGAGGAGCTACAGAAGGCTACACGTTTTCCGGGTACCAGCAAGACCCGCAGGAACATTCCGAGCCAGAGATCACAAGCAGCATACACAATGACACACTCGAAACTTCTGAGCAACAACCACACACGCTTGACAGCGACCTCCCAATCCGCTCAATCCCTTCACCCACAAAACTCAGCACCTATGGCGACACCGATGGACGATTATCTCCTAAAAAAGACGCGCATTTCAACAGACACAGACGGCTTCAATCACAGTACGACGGGTCCGACTACGGGAACGACTCGGACCTGGAAGAATCGCCAGGCATAACATCTGGGCTGGAGGCACGAATGGCCGTCATTGAGAGTCTAGCACGACGAGGCACCGAAGAAAACGGCGGCGAAGGCGACACGGTCGTCGAACGTGTGGTCAATGGGTTACGAGACTTGGGCGGACAATCCGGCGTCGAAGGCGGCGCAACCAGGTTAGTTCCCACTTCCCACTTCCCACTTCCCCAAAATATTTCATTCCCTTTTCCCTCACCAATGTTCCTTCCAAACGACATACTTTTTTTTTTTTTTTTCCTTTCTTTCTTTCTTTCTTTCTTTCTTTCTTTACAACCCTATATACCACCCTATTCTATCAACCTAAAAAATCAGTACACAGCTAACATTCGTATCCCTTTCCCACAGGCTAATCACCGCCCACACCGCCCTATCAACACATCTCACGCACCAAACACGCACACTCCACTCCCTCGCCTTCCCCCTTTTCTCCCCGCTCTCTGTCCCCCCCGACGGCGACGCCATTGACGAACTCCTGCCCATTCTCAGCGACACCGCCACGCTCGTCCCGCAGCCCTCCGCCGCGGCCCTCTCCTCCCTCTCGCAACTCTCCTACCTGACCACCGATCTCGTCCGCATGCTCGACCACCTCTCCGACTCGCTGCACATGTCGCGCCAGACAACCACCGCAGCGGCCCGACGGCTGCGCAGCGCACGCGAACTGACCGCCGAGATGCGCAGAGAGACTGACGCCCGCGAGGAGAGCGAGCGCTGGATCGAGCGCGGCAGCTGGCAGACCCGGCTGGCCGAGCGCCAGTGCGCCACCGTCTGCCGGGAAGTCGTTGGCGGCTTTGAAGAAGTGTGTCAGGGCTGGAGAGATCGATTGGTCGCCGCCGCTGAAGTGGGCGCTGGGTAATAGCCATGCGTGGGTTTTAGAGTTGTCATTTTTCTGTTTTTCTTTTCCTTTTCCTTTTCCTTTTCCTTTTCCTTTTCCTTTTTTTTTCTTCTTTTTCTTTTTCTTTTTCTTTTTTTGGGGGGTTTGCTTTCGTTCTATGTCTGTCCCATTCTCTCTCTCTCTCTCTCTCTCTCTCTCTCTCTCTCTCTCTCTCTCTCTCTCTCTCTCTCTCTCTCTTTCTCTTTTGTGTACGTGTATGAAACCATGCGTCTCGCGCCTTTTCCCCCTTGTGATTGCTGGGCTTCTCTTTTTAGATATTCTTATATACATATTTAAGATATATACCTTGTTCTATTTCTCCTTCTTTTTCTCCCTTCTTTTTCAGCCTTCTTTTCCTTCTATTCCTTCCCGTCCATCTAGCGATCCGTTTCTATTACTTCTTTGCATACCTGCCTCTCACTACTTGCTATTTGAAAAGGGCTTCTAGTGTCTTTAGGCGATAGACTCATTAATAAAGGCCAAAGTTTACCCCTGACTTTGATAACGAAATAGAAAAGTGACAAGGACTACTAATTATGCCATACGGCAAGGGCCAAGGACATGTTTCTGCGTGAGTGCGTAAAATATTGGACTCTGGGGAACGGGGATCGAAGACTGGTAATAGAGATGTGGGAGGGTTCTAGGGGCGCGACCAGAGGCACGGAGACAGAGACATAGACATAGACACTGACATAGACACTCTCGACCATAACGTGTTTCACCGAGATTTCACGAAACCATGTAAAAAAGTATAAGAAAAGGATGAGCTTCAAAATAGATCAGAGATAAATCAGACATAAAATTACTTCATTCGCCCTTTTTGGTGTGCGTGTGCATGTGCTCAGTAAATAAGGAACCTTTAACAAGAGCAGGGGGGGAAAAAAATTAAAAACGAGGCTAAAAACACCTGAGCAGAATGCACAAGTTGTTCGTTCCAACGAATGCAGACGAGTTAGGGAAGTATCTCTTCCCCACCTTTTTCCGTACGTAAGTGAGAGAGAGAGACTGTGTTCATCATATCAAAAGGCATACATTTTTTGGTCCACGCAGATTGATCCAAACGCTAAAGCTATCGGCGAAGGTTCACACTGCTTCTTTACTGACCACCGCGGCGGAAGGCACCAGGACGGTATTTCTGGGGGCCGGACGACTCAGCGGGAGACTCCTCGCGGCGAGCTGGGATACGGGAACCATTGTCGGCAGGGGCAGGGGCAGGAGCAGGGGCATCGCCTCTCAAGTGGCGAGGGACCCACTTGCCCGCAGAGCCCGCGTCAGCGGGAGACTCGTCGCGTGATGAGCTGTCCTGGTGAGAAGCAGGACGCCAGCCGCTGGCGGGGGCGTCATTGGAAGACGGCTCGCGAGGAGCTTGAGGGTTGGCACGGCCACGCATGTGTGGGGGAACGTATCCAGTACGTTTGGGAAGGTCTGCTTCGGCGGTGGGAACATCGGACGGGGGTGCGGCTTCACCAGTAGCGCCGGCCGCGGCCCTGGCGGCTTCGCGCTCTCTCCAGCTTGGCTTGTTGCCCGCGAGGTTGAGACGAGGAGGTCCACGCTCGCCCTCTGCCGGACGGGCAGGACCCCGTTCAGGACCCCGTTCAGGACCCCGTTCGGGACCACGCTCGGGACCGCCGGTCTTGCGGGCCTTGAGCTTCTCCTCGGCCTCGATTTCTCTCTGTCGCTGTCTGGCAGCGATTTCGTCCAATTTCCTAAGCCATAATTGTTAGTATAGTGATGATGGTGAAGGGGTAAAAAGAAAAGTCTTGTCTCAGAGGATGCCATACCTTCTCTCCTCTTCTCTCTTCTCCTTCTCCTCGGTCAGTCTGCGGCGTGTCTCCTCCTCTCTGGCGGCCTTCTCCTCGGCCTCTCTGGCGATTCTCTCTTCCTCCTCCCTAGCAGCCCGCTCTCTCTCCTCGGCCTCGAACTGCTCGCGGGCCTTTCTCTCGTGGTACTCCTTGCGACGCAAGTTCATCTTGTTCTGGAGATCCTTCTCGGCAGCCTTACGGCGCTTCTCAAACTCTTCGTGTCGGCGCTCATGGACGCTGTCACGGAAAGACTCATAGGTGGCAACCAAGCGAGTAAGGCGGTGCTTGAGCGCAACATCATCCTTGTGCTTCTGCTCAGCTTCCTTCAAGGTGGCAGCCTTGGTCTCCTCATAAGCAGCGAGGTCACGCTCCCTCTGAGCCTGGTAGTCCCGCGGCAGAATCTTAGCCTCCTCCCGGCGGAAAGCACGCTCGAGATGATCAATACGCTTGCCAGTGACGCGAAGGCGCTCGCTGAGCTCGTTCTTTTCCTTTTCAAGCTGGGCAAGCTTCATAGCCCGGAGACGGTTGGTGTCAAGGTCGTCGAGATCCATTTCGCTCACGTCAATGCCCTTGACGCCAGTCTTGAGGTCCTCAATCTGTTTCTTGAGCTCCTCTTGGCGAATGCGGTCTTGCTCGGCCTTGAGGCGCTTCTGCTCACGCTCACGCTGCTCCTCGCGGAGACGCTGGTTCTCAGCCTCCAGAATCTGCTGAGCACGAATGCGCTTCTGAGTCGCTTCCTCCTTCTCTTTCTGAGCCAAAGCATTGGAGGCCGCGGTCTTTCTCTTGTCAATGACCTCACGACGGACAAGGGCCTCCTCGTGCTCCTTCTGAGCTCCCTCCTGGGCGCGGGCAAAGGCCGCGGCCTTGGCCTGCTGACGAGCCTCATTGTACGAGGGGTCGACGTATTGGCAGGTAAGGTAGAGCGACTTGGCAAGGCGAGTGAGCTGAGAACGAACAATCTCAGCGGGGGTGCTCTGGAGGCGCTGGACTGAGCTAGTTTCGCTCTCGGCAGAGCCGGCGGCGGTGCCGGGGTGCAGCGCCTTGGCAGACGAGAAGACGTCCGAATCAAAGGACAAGATACCGGTGGCATGGTCGATGCGGATAGCGAGATCACCCTTCTTGCAGCCGTTCATGATGAATTTCTCAATGGTACCAGAGGTGACTTGGAAGGGCTCAGGGAACTGGGCGAGGCTGTAGACGAACTTGAGCTCGACAGACTCGTACACCTGGGAGAGCTGCTGGAAGAGACGGGTGAGAATGACCTGCTGCAAAGGCTGGACATACTTCTCCATCTCAGGGTCCGCACCAATCTGGGTCAGGATGGGCGAGATCTTCTTGCAGATGGACAAGGGGTGGAAATCGACCTCGAGGATATTGTACAGGTCGCGGATCTCGGGACGAGCACGCATGAGTAGGCCCTTGTTCAAAGCATCCTTGAAGAGCACAGCACGGGAGGGAGCCTGGTTCATACCGAGAAGGTTTGTGAGCCGGGTGTTCTTGTTCTTCTTGGCCTCATCAACGTCGACAAGGGCACCTCGAGAACGAGAAGTGCTGATGACGGGGATAGACAGGGCAGAGAGCAAGACGAAGGAAGCCGCGCGAGTCATGTCAGCCTCGCTGACGGCGGGGTTGTCCTTCTTGAGACCTTGGCCAGCAGCAACGACGTGTGCAGACTGGCGCAAGAGATTGTAGTAACGGCTCCACGCAGCAGCGTGGAAGAGATAGTTCTCGCTGACGAGGAAAATTCTGGTCAACTTCTCGTAGTAGTTGGCCATCATGACGTTCTTGGCAGGGCGCTTGCTCAGGCTGAGCAGAGTGTGGATATCCTCAATACTGCGGAAAGCTTCCTGCCAAAGCTCGAGCTCGACAGCCACGTTCAACTGCTGGAAGCGGGTGTCGAGGTGACGCTGAAGAGTGTCCGGATCGTTGAGGTTGATGGCGTGCATCTGAGCCGAGTACTTTGCGGCGTTTTGCAAGTGATTCCGGAGAAGCTCACACAGCCGGCGGAACTCGGTCTTGCGGGCATAGTGAAGACAGAACTGGAAGGCTTGGAGAGCAGTGGTCTGGTACATGATTTCAAGACGAGCATTGTTCCTCAAGATATCCAAAACGGTGCGGTAAGTCTCCCAGAGGAACTTGAGCCACGGCGTGACGACGGCACGGTCTGTACGGTCACGAGACTGCTCTCCTGAGACGGTCGAGAGGAGGATGGATTCCGGGGTCTCGGTGGCCTCGAGATCCTCAATATTAGCGGTCGCATTGGCGGATTCGAGCGAAGACTGAATCTCCTCAGCCTTGGCTTGAGCCTCAGTAACCTTCTGCTCAGCAAGCTCGATAAATCGTTTCAAGACCATCTATCCCAAAAGTAAAGTATCAGTCCATCAATTCCATAAATTGTCCATTTTCGGGTTCCCATTTACCTCGATCGTGCCGACATTGGTGTTCTGCGCAATGTTCTTGTACTGGAAGAGGCCATCCTTTGCCGACTTGCCCTTGCGAAGATCAACGCAAAGCTCGACGAACAAGACCATCAGGGGCTCAAGGGCCGCAATGGTATTGTTTCGGGACCGCTTTGAGGTAACATGTTCGTGCAAGAGGGCCAAAGCAGCTTGCGTTTGGCCGACTCCGATGAGTTCTTGTGCCCGCTATATTGTTACATCACTGTCAGCTTCCATTTCTCATTGGAATTCCGATAATTCGTCGTCGAAGATATTCTTCAAATTTCGGACTTTTGCTGACCTTGAGAACGTTCTCGGGCTTGGTGTGAGGTGGAGGAGGCATGATGGGCGATCTCCTCAAACAAATCTAATCCGTTGAGGCGATTCAAAAGATTGACTCGATTTTGTCGTGCACGGTCGAAATGACGGTGATCGACAAATCCTCAATATGACAAAGACCCGTCGGAAGGAAAATATATTCGACGGTCTGTCGATGTGCGACGGCGAGGTCCCGTTTGAGGCTGCACAGTAACTTCCGTACTGTACAGATTCAGATCAGGCTCTAGGAGCGAGAGGGTAAGCGGCAGGTGGAACCCTTGTCGCCCACACAAAAATTTAACCGTCACGCGAGACAACGGGCAAAATACTTGTCCCGCCAAGGCAATATTACCTAAGGCCGATGTATCTTTACAAATGCAGAATCTAGAATAATACGATATGTACGTTTGAATATTTTTAGTCTACATCAAAGCACAGAATGCATGCAAAAAGCGCAGCATGCAAATGCTACATCACTGCAGCTTGTCAACATGCACAAAGCAAAAAATGAGAGAGGTGTGGCTCCCCCCCAAAGAACGGCGGGACCATCGCCAAAGAAACCCAAAAAGGAAATTTCCCTGCCGCTTTAAGAATCGAAGAAAAGTGGCGATTCCGACGCCCCATGTCTGCGTGAGAAACCGTAGAACGCGACAAACGCGGAAAGGAGTTTAGCCCGGTCCGAGCTGTCCAAAGAGAGGTCTATGACTAAGTTCTTATATAAACAGCGTTATCGTGGCGCGTTTCTGTGGGAAATTGCGGGAAAGGGATGGGTCTAACCGTAGATGGGAAGAGTCGAGCTTTCCGTTTCGGGTCCACTTTCCCGCCGTGAGCTTCTACCCATCTCCCTCGCTGTGCTCTCCCTCAAGGGAAATCCCCTAACATTGGAAACATTACTATCGACCCTCTCGCTACCTTAAACCGTTCCCCTGCACAAAAACTGAACTGAGCTGATACATTTTGGACCTCCTGTCCAACTCCGTCGCTCTTCCTTCCTCCCGTCCCTCCTTCTCGCCTTCTGGTCCGAATCCCATTCTCGCGGTACCACGGCCCTCTTCGTCAGCGTGCTGTGCGTTACTACTCCTGTACTGTCCGCCAACAGATTCTCTCCCTGAGCGACCGGATCCAGCTTGCGTCTCGTCAGCCTCAGTCCTTTTGAAGAGCCGCCAGCTTTGTCCCTTGAGGATAAACTTATCAAAGTCACTGTCAATCGACACTTGCCAATCTCCTTTTGTCGCGAATCTTTTTCTTTGACCAAACTTTCCATCCGCTGTGCTCAAACAAGCAACAATTTCCTGAGGAACTTGCCCGGAGAAGCCGCTCATTCACCTCCTTTTACCCACGACTGCGCGATTTGCCGAAAGGATCGTGATTGCGTACGCCATCTCTATCTTCAGCTTAGGAATTCCGCTGTATACTAGAGATTCTCCTGTGGATATTTTTCGATTCGTCATCCGAGTGTAACCTTCTATTCTCTCCAGCTGAGCAGCGCTACGGCAACCTAAGGAACTCTTTATTATTTTCGCACCTTTCATCTACAAATCAATCCAGTAGTCATAATGCCGGCTTACGAAGTACGTACTGGCGGCGACGTTAAGAATAAGAAGCAGAGCATGGCGGATCTGAAGCTGCGCCGCCTGAATGAGCTCAACTTGCGATTAAAGGAGGATCTGGATCGCCCGCGAGTTAAGGTGTCTGAAGCTGTTCTCTCGTATGCTTTTCCTTGTCACTGAAAAATAATCAACGGCAGATATTTTACTGATGTGTTGCTGTCCAGTCTCATAAACTACACGAATTCCACAAAGGACTTTATGGTGCCGTCACTGTGGGGAGCTGTACGTGCCATATGATGACCTAGTTTGTTTGGACGCAGAGACTAACAAAAATGGCAACAGGTCGACAAGCGCGAAGATCCCTATGCGCCACAGCAATCCGGCGGCTGCTGTACCGTCATGTAATATGCTTTCACCATTCTTCTACATTCTCAGCATATTGCTTTCTGTGCCCCGACAAAGGGCATCTTTGCTTGATACCTCCTTTCTCCTTCTTTGCCTAGTGGAATAAGGCTTGTTCAGTTTATCAAGGATATTGATATACGCAATGGCCAATCCGTCTGGAGACCAGCAGCCAAAGCCATATCGCTTCCCTTTTTTCTCACTGGGCTGAATAGCTGCCTGTCCCTAGGCCACATTTCGCCGTGTTCAATACCGATACCCTTCTCGATCGATGGCGAAGCTCATCAAACTTTGCTTATCTCTTCTAATCTCCAATATCGGACACGGCTTCTTTTAAGCAGATTTATGCATGTAAAAAGGATTTCAATTCGACTTTTTTTTTTCCCTCTTCAATTCTCTTGTATTTAACATCTAGCGGATATTATTTATTGCAAAGAAAAGAGTTGCGTTGCCAAGACAAACAGGGGGGGTAATGTTTTTGAGCCATTGATATAATTTATATTCGTTGTTTCATATTCTATAACCGCAGTGTGAGCCCACGGCAGTAAGCGTCAAAAAGTGCGTATCATGTCCAAGAATAATTCCTAGAATCTGATGATCGAATACGTCAATGCATGCTCCTAGTACAACAACGCCAATCGTGCCTGTTTTATTTTCTTTTCCATCGGGAAGCTTTTGGTTCTTACGACCTCGGACAGCTTACGGAGTAATCGTTCGCTTGGTGTTCGGTGCAGCCAACAACCCAATGACATCAATTCTAGCGTCTCACCGCCCTACACCCACTATCACTACAGTATTGCCCCTCCACCAACAAGTTAACAACTTCAACTTTCATATACAGCATCCTGTATGCTTTTTTTTGAGTGATATTTGATTTCCATTTTTTCACGTGCAGCAAAAAATGTCTTCGTCTACTGTTGAACAGCCTTCATCGGTGAATAACGCTGCTCCGGCACGGCCTGAGCCGGCTTCTACATCTATTCCATCTGCGTCTGCCGCCGCAACAAATACCCATTTTCCGCGCATATCTATCACTTATTGCACGCAATGTAAATGGCTCTTGCGCGCTGCATACGTACGTTTTCTTCCTTCCTTCCTTACTTTCTTTCTTTCTTTTTTCTCTCTTCTTTTTGTTGTTATTTTTCTTTGCTTACTACTTCATTTCATTTCAATTTCAATTTCAATCTTCCTTGGCCTATCCTTGCCATTCTTTGGTCTTTTCTCCTGGATCCTTTTCTTTCTTATGCTTCGCTCTTTTAGTTCTACTTCATCATTTATCAAGGTTTTTCTTGTTCCCTTTTACTTTCGTTAGTGATTTTTTTCTTCCTTTGATGATTCTGTTTCGTCTCTTTCTGTCTTCTGTCTTTTTTTTTGTCAATCAAGCTGCTCATACGGCCTTGATCATCGTCAACAGTAGCGGCGGGAGTCTTTTGGATATACATTTACTTCCAGTCCCCAGGATCTTACGCTCCCAGCCGCTTGCACATTCTCTTGCATATTCCTTCATTTGTCGCTCTTTTGCGTCCGCCATTTTGTTTTTCTTGTTCGTCTTTGACGTTCTTTTCCCGTTGCCGCATCATCCTCAAGACCTGTCTGTCCTGAACCGCAGACAAACTATATATTGCTTGACGACATTTTAAATGGCAGCCAATACTTAGCCAGACCAATCCAGTCAAGGCAGGCAAATCAAATGTCGAGAAAAAATGAAGCTAATTTATATATTTATCTAGTTCGCCCAAGAACTGTTATCGACGTTTAGTACAGACGTGGGCGAAGTCGCACTGGTTCCTGCCACGGGCGGGATATTCCAAGTCGATTTGTTCGTTGCCGGTGCCAGTGCATCCCAAGACATTCAGGTCCAAACGCATAGACTGTGGGATCGGAAAGTAGATGGCGGGTTTCCAGGTATTTGTTTTATCGTTATCCATTTATCCATTTATCCATTTATCCATTTATCCATTTCTCCTATTTCTCCCATTTCTCCCGTTCACCAGAGACAATTTTCTTTCTTGTTTACCTCTCTCTCTCTCTCTCTCTCTCTCTCTCTCTCTCTCTCTCTCTCTCTCTCTCTCTCTCTCTGTGGCTCTCATCATATTTCCGTTCCCTTCCATTTCCTCGATCTCAACCCCTGCCCCATCCAATAATAATAAAAAGGAAGTGGGGTTTGGTTTGGCTAATACCACGACCTGAACCCATACCCATCCAATAAAAAAGAAGCACCCATCCAATAATAATAATAAAAAAAAGAAATAGTAAATGGTTTGGATTGGCTAATACTACGACCAGAAACAAAAGAACTCAAGCGTCGACTCCGAGACGTGATCCAGCCGGGCCGCAACCTCGGGCACGTTGACCGCGTGCATGCCAAGCCGGCGGGTCCAGATGCAGCTGCAGCTACAACGTCTACAGTGTCTCCATCTACATCTACAGTGTCGGCTACACCCGCGGCTGCATCCACTGCATCCACTGCGTCTACTGCGTCCACTGCAACATCCGGACCTGCACCGACCGCACCGAATGCATCGAAAGCATCGAAAGCATCGAACCCAGACATAGCAGGGAAAGGTCCAGTATGCGAGGACTGCGTCTAATTGTAACTCTGTCTGCCTGTTCAATGAATACTAGTCTCCCTTATGTTTGTATACACCTTATGTAAATATTGATCTTACCTTGTCAGAATTATCAGAACTGGACTAGGCTGCTGTTACACATCTTCTTCTACACATCCACGTGTCTACAGGGTTCAAGTCTATACATAAACAGGTCATCAGGGATGACAGACATGAGACACTCAGATTTATTTCAAGTAACGTACAAGATATCCAACGCCAAAGACACAAGGTACAAGGTACAAGACTCAACACCCAAGATCTAACATTTTAAGGGAAAAAAAAAAAAAGACAATACATCAAGAGAGTGCAAATGCATAAAGGAAACACATATAAACATGGTAAGGGAACACACGCAATGCAACGTACAAAAGACATACAGACAGTCATATATATACTCAAAGTTTTAAACACGACGTGAATACATGCTACATATTACAATAATTTTACTCGCCTACCTATCTGTGTACCCCAGGTAGGTAGGTAGGTATCAATTCAGTCAATTGGCCACGAGTCACGACTCATGGCCATACAACCACAACCACATAACTACAATTACTCGACCACACACTGCAATACCAATGACAACGAGTTTCAACTACTTGTACATTCAATCTACCAACTAGACAGGAGTCACAGGAGTCACAGGACAGACAGCATAATAACAAGTAGTGAAGAAGTAGAAATGTTTCGGATATCATATCCTTTAACTTTACAATAGTTATCAAATGAAATAGAAAATACAATATAAAATGAAAAAGAAAATACAATATCAAACAAAATGAAAAGAAAACAAACAAAGAGAAAAACAAAAACAACAAAAGAAAATAGAAAAGACGATAAACCTGATAAAAAGATAAAAACGACAAACCTGATAAAACCAATAAAAAGACGAAAAAGCCTAACCTATATAACCTGCAAGACAAGACACCACTGCAAGTAAATATAACATAAACATCAAAATCGCGGGGGGAAAAAGGATCAACTAATCGAAAGAGAAAGTCACATGGCCACCGCGATGGCAATCGCAGTTGAAATCGCACTACACTGCACTGCATTGCATTGCATGGCATGGCATTTCGCATGGCCATATAACACATAACACAAAACACATACCCAGTGTACATTGAACCCACAGACAAACAAACACAATCCTCATAGACCTTGTATATGATCATCAGATATGGAAGTAAAAGGAAAAAAAAAAAAGGTAAAGCAAGCAAATACAAGCGCCGTCGCCAATACAGCCAAAGAGGAAAAAAGAGCCAAGTGAAATAAAAAGTAAAACCTAGACCCAAGAAACCAGACAACCAGACAAGTAGACAAGTAGACAACCAGACCGAGAGAATGATCCGAAAAAGGAGATAGGCCCCGCCGAGAAAGGAAAATAAAAAGTGAAAAAGAAGAAGACGAAAAGTACACGTGATTCTACAAAATCTCTCCCCAATTCTTTCCTTATAAAATCTTTCCGCGTTTGATACAATGAAAAAATGAAATAAAAGGGGAAATCAGAGAGCAACAGAAAGGAAGAGAAAGCACCGGAAAAAAAAAAGAATACTCGAACAAAACGATAAGGGAGATAAAAGGCCGGGACAACCAAGAATACATATCTCATACATTAAAATAGTGGCAATGACTAGGAGCGGAGTTATAATCGAATTTCCCTTCCTCCAGAGACTATAGGTTGAAGATGAAATCTCAGAAATACAAGCTTGGGTGAGATTCAAGCGGACAAGATGGGCAAAAATACCGTAAGAACACATGACTAGCTAATCTCTTGGACAAGCTTCCTTACTCTGACTTCGACTTTTGGACGACTTTTTCCGCCAAAAGTCTAGTCGAAATCTGCTCGTGCGACGTCGAATCGTCTTGGGTGCTCCACTTATTGATGTCACAATGTTATTCTTTTCTTCCTTGGGAGGCGGCGGCGGCCGCTGCTGGTGGTCCGCATTTTCATGCAAAGACGAGAGTGGGGGGGAGCTGCATCGGTTACTTTGTGCAGTATGGGACGCTGCGTCGCCGCTGGCGACAGAAGTTGCTTGTGTTCCTGGCGAAGGAGACACACCTGACGAGCCCGGTCCAGGGCTCCAACCGCCTCGAGCTGCTTGTGAGGAAGATGTGGAGAAGCGATTGTTCGACTCGTCATTGTTTCGACCAGAGGGGTGATGTTGACTCGGTCGATATGGGTTTTCGACAAGGTCCACATCGGCAGCGGCGGCGGCGGCTGGTCCAATTAGGGCTCCATTCGGTCGTGTTGTGTCATTTTCGGGGGCGGTAGCGGGCACACGGTTCGAGGAACTCTGCTGCTCGACACCTGCAGGTCGCTGGCTTGCCTCCGCAGACGGCTTTTCATCACCTAGCTGCAACTCACTAGGAACACGCGGTTTGTATGAGCCCCCGGTTTGCACGCTTGGCGGGGATATGCTCTTGAACGCACCTGAGGACCTCCGCGAAGCTAGATTAGAAGCTGGGGTCGCGAAGCCCGGCGATCCCAATGAGGACCGGCGTGACGCCGCGTGGGAATGAGATGGCGTGCCCTTTAGCGCTCCGACGGCGCTCAGAGACGACCGGCTTGCGGCCTCGGGATCTCCCTTTGATATGCTCAACATGGAAGACGACATGGGTGACTGACTTGTTGATTTTGGCGGATGTTCATTCGCCATATTCTCTTGGACCTTTGTCAGGTCCGGCGAGCTGCCAGACCTAGGCGAGAATGTACCGTCAAAGTCTGATGGTCGCGCTGGGCTCGTCTCCTCTTCGCCCCCTTCCAAACCCTTTTCCTTCAACTTTTCCCTCTCCTGGGCAATCGTAGTCTCCCAAATGACCTTGTTTGCAACAATCTCATCGACGGAAAACTGCATGGCAGGTAATATGTTTGCAACCGCTTCGAAAAGCGGATAAGCAAAAATGTTCATGAACCCAAGCTGGGATTCGCCGAGTTTGACGATTGAATCTTGTACTGGTGGCCCGCCAAAGAGGGCCGTAGGTATTTGGAGTTCTTGCTCCATCGTGCACTGGCGAGCAAACTCGCCAGTCAAAATATAAGCCCACTCGGCCGCGGTACTAAATTTGCGAGCCTTGATGTGCTCAATCAGCATGGTATTCTCATCGGCAGGCAGCTTCTTCATTTGAAGAAGGAGAAATCCATAGACTTACGACGTTGCTAATGTCGGCACATTTGATCAAGAGTCCGCAGGCTAATGCCTTGTATTCCTCCAAGACTTTTGGACTCCACCCATCAGTGCCCTTATTCTCCGCCAGCTTTTCCTGCAAGTTCCCGACATCCTTCATGTATTGAAAGTGAACTCCCATGTCGGTGGCGAGGATACAGTTGATAAGAAGTTTTCGCATATTCGTGTCCTGAAACGCCGCCGGCCAGTATCGCCGTAAAATCTGAGAGTAGGCGGCGCAGTGAAACGACTCCAGAACCGATCGATCATTGTAGAGTTGCGCAAGCGGCGCATTTAGCGTAATCAAAAACGCATTGTTCACACCGGGGTGACCAACATCATGACCAATTGCGGAGATGAGAAGCGTGAGAGCATCAAATGGCTGGATAAGAGAGCCAATCGGAGAAATTTTGGCCGTGGGTTGCACCGGACGGCCTTGAAAAGGCGGGATCGTGCCAATCTGAAGGAGGAAAAAGAAGACTGCTTGCAAGACATCGATGACATGGCGAAAGTTGTGGTACAGAACAAAGGAATTGTAAGCAGATCGGCTGGCCACGAGAAAAGCAAGGAGATCCTCTGTACAGAAAAAGAAGAAGAAAAAAAAAACGTTAGCCTCCATTTGTTTAGTAAAACAGTAGCAAACAATGCCCCAGGGATGGAGAGGTTGCATACCTGCGGACATCCGAAACTTTTCCAGGCCAGGCATCTCAAGCGCGTGCTGTAGCATAAGTAAGGCTCCGTAGACTAGTTCGTCATCGGTAAACTCGTGAGGCGAAAAGTCCCACGTGCCGACGGCCTTTGCAACAGCTTTCAGTCGCTCGGGACTTATTGAAATTTCACTACAAGGGAGAAAAATATCATTTAGCTTTTGGGGCGGCAAATTGTATTCATCCAGGAAAAGGAGCCTTACTCATGGTCATATCGGTCCTCAATCTCTACCGGTTTACAGATACCATCCATGAGACCAGACACCCTAGATGAGAGAATGATTGTTAGCGCAACACAGAGGTAAGAGGGCCAAGGTAAATTGATTGTTTCATACATGGCTTCTCGGAGATACGCATAAGGCTTCTCCTCGTCGACTCCGACCCAGGATCGCTTGCGTCCTCTTCTCGTGGGAAGAAAGCCCGTCTGCTGCTTTGACAGTTCCTTGTGCACACGATACGCGTGGACAGCCAAAGCGGCAATACGGTCTTTTGAAAATGGACTAGAAATTACGTCCACAGCTCCAGTTTCTAGGCATTGTAGCATTTTGTCGTGGGCAATGGTCGCTGGCTTCTCGTGGGGCGATGCGCTGTGAGGACCCACATCTGATGTCCCACTTGCGCCTTGTTGATCACCAAGGTCGACCATGGCGATGGGGACCACTAACTTGGACCAGCCAAACGAAAGTATATGCGAAGTGAGCTGCTGCAATAATACTGGTCCATACAATGGCGGTGCCATGTTTTCGGGGTCTTGCGGACGTTGAGAACGTGGTGACCCTGGTGGAGACGAAGCCTTCCAGAGCTTACTGCGGCCTTCTCCCACATGATGTTGGGAATAATCGTCCAATGGCATATCAAGGAAGACAAGCGTCGGCCGCAACTCCGAGGCTTGGAGCTCTTCAATTTCGCCCACCTTCTCTACACACGCATGCCCTGTCTTGCAAATGTGGACTAGTACCAGAACGTTAGTTTTTGTCAGGCCCACGGCATTATAGCAAACAAGAAGTTTGCGAGATGGAATAATTGACTTCTATATTAAAAAAAAAGAAAAAAAAAGAAGGTGCAGGACACAAAGGAGCAATGACTAACCTTGATGAAAAATGGAAAGTAATATGCGAAGATTTATTTGGACAGTCTCGTGTTCCGTACTAAGATCGACGTCTCCCGCGCCCGAAGATGAGGAGGCTCCTGCAGCCGAAGAGTGAGAGCGGGTCAGAGGACGGTCATGCCGCACCCGCTTGTCGATGTAGATAACGTTACAGGCGGCATAATCCATGATGACGATTGCAGCCACCAAGCGAGGCAGCAGCGACGTGAAGTGAGCCGGTAATTGTAGCGTTTGGCTGTTCTCCAGGACAAAATGCAAACGGTAAGAACAGTGATGGTGATGGGCTATGCAGAAGGGGGGGGAAAGGCGCGCAACGTAAAGGCGCAAAAGAGCAAGCGAGCAGATGAAGTTGTATTTTGTCGTATGCAAAGCTCAAACGACCTTGACCCGCAGAATATAGGTGTCGAACAATTCGATTCCCAGTTTGTACAGCGTCCTTGCGGACAACAATTCCTTTCCTCTTTTCTTCGTTTCGCGGATGAAAGTACGACGTGGTTTGCCGCCAATTTGTACAATACAGCAGATAATATCTCGGCTCGTTCGCTGGGACCAAGATACGTCGATGGTTTCCAATTGAGCCGGAAAGGACGAAGAGATGGTAATCGTAGCTGGGTATAAGCGCTCCCTGACAGCCTTTCTTTTGTTTCTTCTCTCGTGTATTTCTACACTTGTGAGCAGAAGGCGCAAGGCGGTTTGGAAACGGTATATACAATTGTGTGCGCGACTCGGTCCAAGAGGTGACGAGCAGAAGGCGTAAGATTTGACGACGATGGCAAGGGTCGAATCTAAAAGAGACCAGGCCTCAATGAGCACGTATATGAAGCCTGGAGCGAGAATGTCGATTTCGCAATGCGCGCCACAGAGGGGTAAGGGCGGTAAAACGATGACGGCGGCTGAGATACGCTGAGCAGGCGATGGCAGCTTGGAGGAAAGAAGCAAATCGAGATGGATGAAAAAAGTGGTTTGCAGGGCTGTGATGCTAGTTGGAAATTTCCGGATTGGAATCTCAGAGTAGACGCAGACAGGATATCGAAGCGCAGCAGCGCCAGCGTTGCACACACAAGGACAGATGAACGGGCCACATCCGGAGGAGAAAGAGAGAGAGAGTAGAGAAAGAGAGGAAAAGATGGAGGAGAGCTGAGCACGCACGGGCAAAGTTTGGGCAAGGCGGATCACAACGTCCAAAGGTGACAGGTACGATGTCTGACGCGCACGCGAGCTTTGGGGCGAATTCCCGGGGCAGGGATCGATTCGAGTTCTGGATGGCGAAGTGGGCCAGTCGAGTCGGGAACAAGTCCAATGAATCGCTCAATTCTCTTTCTTGAATTGAGTTCGTCCGGACAGTGTCGTTGTTGATAAGCGATGAGAATGGCTCTTTTTCACAGCTGCACACACACAATGTGTCTGTGTCGTCGCCTCTTCTCCCTCTCTCTCTCTCTCTGTCTCTCTCTCTCTGCGCTTTCCCTTTGCGTCTTTGGGGTGGGAAGGAGCCCTCGGAGGAGAGAGATGGATTGTTCCGGGACGGGGTACGGGAGTTGGGGGGGGGGGGGGCGTGTGTCTACAGCCGGTTTATGGGTAAAGAGTACTAACTAACTGTGCGTACGGAGTACAGAGGAAGAGAGTGTATACTTTAGGTAATGTAAGTAGATTTAGGCAGGCACATCACCCACGCTACGAGTAACTCTCTCTCTCTCTTGTGATGGATGGAGTCACTCTAACGTAGGTAGGTAACTACGATAGTGGCAGATGCAGGTCGAAGCGTCTTTGGGTTCTAGGCGGATTCTGGTCGATTACAGTACAAGGTAAGAGAGGGCGTTGCATTCCCTCTCTCTCTCCTCCCTTCCCTCTTCTCCCTCCCCTCTTCCCTCCTCCCTCTTCCCTCGTACCCTCGCACACTCGCACTGACTTTACCTCCAAGCGACTTCGGCAGCAGCACCTACCCGGGACTAGGTAGCCTGGTAGGTAGGGGGGAAGCTGCTTCGATCGGGAACTCTCGTCCCAAAAGAAGGATGGTGACGGTGATTGGCAATAATTGTCCCCAGCCAGTAGTCTTCCATCTCTTCTCATGCGCAATGAGCACACACATTTTCTTTTTCTTCCCGTCCGCTTAATTATCAGTCTTGTTTCACAATCACTACAATAAAAGAAAAGCAAGTAACAGGAAGTTGATAAAGACTGCGTAGAGGGACGCCAATGAGTCTGAGTCAAAGATACCCTGCCGTAGTGACAGGAATTATAGGTACGACACGTACTCTGTACGTATACTCAGTAGTCACTTTTTCGTAGATAAAATGGGTCATTGGCCACTAAAAAAGCATGATGCTACTGCTGCCTTACAAGCACCGAAACCTAACACTAAACTCTCTAGGTCGGAGGAGAGTACTCCGGAGAAGATACCGGCAGCTGATAGCTATCAAAGCTCCCAGAGGAGCGACGGAGTTCATCCCACAAACCAACAAACCCTTTTTCTATCTGCAGGTTAAAATGTACTCCGTAAAGCTAAACAGGTGCAGTAATCTCCGAATATTTCCCACACAAACCAAGCAAAAGCAGAAAATCCCCCTTTTAGCTTTTCCCTATCTTCACTTAGGTCTTATTTTCTTCACAATTTCTCTACCTCAACTTACCTAGGTCTTATTTGCTTTCACATTTACGGTAAATTTGCCTTGTATCACGTATCACGCTTTTCACATCGATTTGGTTTAGCGGCCAACGACCAAGGCGGCAACCTACCTACATGTTACATGTGCAAGGGACCGAGGACCTTGAACTGTATTCTTACAAGTTGTACAGAGTATACAAGAGCGATGATATGATTGCAGGACAACAAGGACATAATCTGGATTCTCCACCCAACGGAAGTGAATGAGTGAGTGAAACCCACCCATTCAGCGTTGTCAGCAGGCCCCTGGTGGGTTTATCATCCACTGAAGTAGCGGGTGGGGAAGAAATTCTAGAACTTTTCCTCATCGAGTAATGTTCTCCGCTTATCCTCTTCCCGTCCTTACGGAGCATGGAAGTCCAGCAGTACTCCGGTACACGATTGGGGGGACTACTGAAGTACCCCTTGTACCGACCACCTATGCCATATTGTGTCATCGATAACTCGTTACCCAAAAGGCTTCGTCAGCCGGACAAGCACTTGACACATTCATTATGCAGCTAGTTGATCTCCACTGTCATTGTACATGGTCACATGATTCACCCTTGTTGTCTGCCGATAGCTAGTATAAGTTACGTAGTACAACAAGTACAGGTCCGGTTGTTGATTTGGTGATTATTGCAAAATTACAAAGAGAATATCAATTAACCTAACTCCGGAGCAACTTTAAAAATATCAATTGCGCTTAACCAATGCATAGATGTTGAAGAGTAACAATCACTCTAGGTATCGAAATGATGCTCAACGTTATGTATGCCCCCTGATGATGATGATGAAGAAGAAGAAGAAGAAGAAGAAGGAGGCAAAGCATTCAAAAGTACATGGCTCACAGCGTCCCAATATCTTTCACTGCCCAAAGTCAAATGTCCCACATGTCCAGATTGCTCAAACTCGACCGTACTCACCATATATCCCTTCTGAACGCTGCAGAAGAATCATCTCCAACGTTCTGACCACTTTGATCTTGACCTTGACCTAAACCTTGACCTCCACCTCCCTCCCCATGAAATCGAGCAAGCACGTCCCTTGCCTCCTCGGCATGCATCAACACATCTCTCCACGGCACCATCGTGTCTGCCTTTGAATACAAATACACCCGGGAAACTGGAACCGGAACTGGATTCAGATATTTTGGATTAGGATTGCATCCCACCACAAACCCACTTTCCGGCGCATTCAACACGCGACGAGTTTTCGAAATGACATTTTCAGACACCTGGAGCGCGTCCAAAGCAGCAACCACGCCCACAATCACATATATGAGCAAAGTTCCCAGGATTTTCACAACCACATCTATCTTCTTCTTGTTCTTCTTCTTTGGCAATGCCGAAATGAGCGCATTTGCTGAAAGAAACGCTGACGCATGACCTGGACAGCTATCTAGTATTAACGCTGTCATTGGCAGAGCATAACCTTGCTGCTTGGAAAATGCTTCTGCTAGCTGCACGGCAGCATGGCCGCCGGCGTTGGAGAATGCGTGCATGACCAGCTCATAGTTGTTTTGTTGGTTTTGTTGTCCTTGTCCGTATTGTCCTTGATTTATTTGTCCTTCTTTTTGTTGTCCCTGTTTTTGCTGTCCGTATTGTCCGTATTGTCCCTGTTTTTGTTGTCCGTATTGGACGTCTTGTCTATTCTTGGTATTAGTTGGGCTAGGAATAGAAGTAGTAAAAGTAGTAGTAGCAATAGTCCGTGGTATTGTTGTTGTTGTTGTTGTTCTTGTTGCAGTAGGTCCAGGTATACACTCTAGAAAGTGCTGGATAACCGAAACAGCGGGCTCGAGGTTTCGGAGTTGAGTCGTGTCGCTAGTCCAGATCATATCGCCCGGTACGGGACGGACCAAGAGAATTTCGGCATGTGACAGACGTGTTTGATAAAGTTGAGCATACTTGACAATGTGCTTCGAGGCAGCGAAGAGCCAGGTGCAGAGAACCACCAACGTTGGGGTTTCGTAATATGCCGTAGAGGCGGAACGAGAAGCGCTAACTCTATCGTTCTTTCGAGCGGACCTGTCGGCGGACTTGTAGAGCGAGACTTGGGAATTTAGCTTAGAAAAGCTGCCCAAATAATTCTCCTGCTCCAGATGCGTCATTGTTTCTCCCCACTTATCTTGAACACGATGGAAGGGAATACAGGCTGAGATATGCAATAGTCGGAGAGGCTGGGGGGGAGAGAGGGTGGGAAAGGGAAAAGCAAACCGTGAGAAATGCAAGAAACCAGTATTTGTCACGTGCAGACTGAACGGCTTTCTTCATGGAAGGAAATTTAGTCTACCATTTGTATTTATTTCCCACAATACAAATGAACTAGGAGAGAAGAGAAAAGAGCAAAGGCAACATAGTAGACAAGGTTCCTGGCTCTAGATATTGAAACTGAATTGCTATTTGCTTTATCAAAATATCGGGGTTACTGTCCATTGAATGATTCGATTCGCCTGCCGTTATTCCCATAGAAAATGTTCTCAAACCGCTGTTTAAAGTAAGAAAGATAATGAAAGAAAAGCCAGATTCCTTATGTAGAAAGAGAAAAACCATAAGATGAAACGGATGTGAGAAAAGGAAAAGGCAATGGAAAAGAATAAAAGGAAAGGAAAGAAAAGAAGAATATACCAGGATTCTGATATGCCACACCGATCTCTACCATCTTGCCCACTTCTCCACCTCTTCGTCCTGATACTTTTTCGACAGCGGGATCAATCTAATGAAATATACATTGTGCCATGCAACGCAAATGTGATGCTCATGCTAAACTGAATAGCATAGAGAGAAAAGCGAAAAGAAAAATTGAAAATTGAAAATGGGAAAAAAAAAAACAGAAAGAGAACTTGAGCCGCTTTTCTTCACTCCAAAGGCAAGCTTTCCGGCAATACCTCCTGCATCTCCAGGATATCTCTCATTACCTCCTCAAACACTTGGGATACTTCCCTTCCGACCTTAGTTCGATTCCATTCGCCCCGTTCGCGCCAGATGCAGTCCATGAGCGCCGTATTGATCTGCTCCAGTTGCTCGACTGAACATCCGCTCGTGCGTTCGGTTAATTGATCATGTAGCTCACGAATGTACTCGTCGTCTAGGATGAGCTGCCCTCGCTGATCCGACTGATTCAGTATAGATGAAATGCTTCCGGAAGCGGCGTGACGATGTGGCGCATTGAAGGGGGGCACTGGTGGCTGAGAGCCCTGCTGTGACCGAGGTTGCGACTGTTGGCTGCTGGGAATGCTCGTCTGTGAAAATGCCATTTCTTATTTCCAAAAAACATCAGCAAATATCTTGTGTATTACCGGGGGAGTTGTTAATGCATACCTTGGGTATCGGGCAATTGAGAATCTCCAGACGTTCTGTCAGGTAAAGCAGTAAAGTCAGGGCCATCGCCTCTTTGCACGTGAACGTACAGGCCATTAGAGCTTTGTGTGTTGAAAAAAGGACCAGAGGAACGATTGGAATGGTCAGATGTCTTCTTCTCAGATGGTGTGGTTGAAGCATCATTCACAAAGTCATCGATTTGAGAACCCGGCGGCATCATCGTCAGTGCAGATTTCTGCGACCTGGGAGTATTCTGAGTACTCTGGCCACTAGGCTGTAACCAATTGGGAATTGCTGGTTTCTGCGATGAGTGTGCCTGTGCCTGCTGGTCATGGCCCGAATAAGAAGGCTGCGAATATTGCGTTGATCGATTGGAATCGGTTTGCTGGGTATGTGGTCCTGTACGTTGTCCCTCTTCACTGTCGGTCATATGCGTATCTCCATCGCCATGAGTGGCACCAGAGGAACCGTTGCTCTGACCGTAGCGGGTGGTTGAATCATGGCTAGAATCACCTTCTAGATACCCATTTGACAACGAAGTTGAAGTAGTTTTAAAAGGAGGCCGTGAGGGCGTCGTCGGGTTTAGATTAGATGTTCCAGGTATAGGTTCTCCCAGTACGACGGGCCCGGACGACTGTTGTTCAGACGAGGAACCTTGCTCATCAAGACGTTTTCTCGGGAAGAACGGGTTTTCTTCAGCAGCGGCCGCCTTCTGAGCCTTTTCGGCTTTTTGCTTTTCCCGTTCCTTCTCTCGTGCATAAACTTGTTCGCACTCTGCAACAAAAGCAGGGTCAGAGGTCTCAATTAAGCCAATGTCCACTTCGACATTCGCAAGCATCTCATTAGCTTTGAGCGTTCGGTCTTGATCTCCGCTATTCCGTGCGTCTTTGGCAAGTCTTTTAATATCTGCAAGAAAATCTCTTGGTCGCTTGTAGAAGCCATTAGAGAGCCGCTTCTCGATCGTGACGATTTCCAAATTGTAAAAGAACTTGTTGGAAGCAACTTCCAAAAGCCCAGGAACACCATTTTCATCTTGGCCCTTCTCATAGGGTCTGAAGAGCAAATGTTGTTGGCGTTGCTCCTGCGGAAGATCAGACGTGATTATTTCCGGGTTCTCGTCTTCAAACAGATATTTGATTTGTGAATCATCAACGATACCCGTCCTGAATCGTTTATATTTCAATCTGATTTGATCCATAACAGGCTGGATTCGCAGCTTGAGCAGATTCAGTGTTTGTCTATCTTTCCTTCTCTGGGCTTTCAATTCTTCCTTGGATATTTGAGGCTTGATGGGTGGAGGCGGTGGCGCTATCGGCAAAGTCTCCAACTTCCGCTTCTTCCGGTTCACAGGATCAGGGAAATCCTTTGGCGCCATTTGGATGTAGTTGATGAGATTGGAGAAGAACTCGTGTCGCCAGGGCTGCAGTGAATGTTAGCCATTTAAGATTTTGTGACCATCTACGACGGGGCATACATGTTGAGGCCTTCCGAGTTCGTATCTGCCCTTTCTTGAAAAGCCAAACAAATCACGAACGATGGCGGAGTCAGCAGGTTCGTCACCATCGTTTTCGAGAACACCCAGTACTAGAACTGGTTCAGAGGGCGAAAGACTTCGGAGCATGCCAAGGAAAGTAGAAATGGTAGAACCGGTCAACGTCTGGTACCACGTATTGACATTTGGAATGTAGATCACACTTGGCTTGTGTCGGCGAACTTCCGCGAAAAGCTGCACAACAGCGGCTTCAGGTGACTGTGTCCAATTAGCAAACTGAGAGTCCGTTTAGTGTCTACGAGTTTCGCCTACCCTTGTAGAGTCGCTCAGCAGGACGGATAGATCAAAAGACTGCACGTGAAGACCTTCAAAGTGATTCAATAGAGCTGCAGCAAGATATTGTTGACCCATGCCTGGCTGTCCTCGGAGGAGCAGTCGTGGTCGGAAAACCCGCGATCGTTCGAATTCTGTCACTGAATTAGTTTATCCTAGACACGACACGACTTTCGGGTCTCAGCATACCTTGCAGCATCTTTTCGCGGAAGAAGCCACCATCGTCTTGAGCGTCCTCGTAGTGGGCTTCCTCTAACGCTGTGAGCCGCTTCTTTGGAGGGAGAATATCTGCTAGAATGGCCTTGATCTCTGCAAGGGGTTGGCGCAGGAGCGGCTCGATAATCTTTGGCAATGGCGAGGCACCTGAAGACGTAGACCTCTCAGAGGATGGGACAATCTTTTTGACGGAAATCATAAAATCTCTGGCCGTCACATTGATAGAAGCAGGATCAATGACCAGCTTCTCGTTGGAGCTGTAAATCTGAGGATATCTTCTCTGAACTGCATTGAGAGCGGCTTCGGTACAGAGCGCGCGAAGATCAGCACCTCCATACCCTTTCGTGACCTCAGCAAGCTGGTCCTTGAATGAGCTTTCCAGTGGAGGATTCCACCCTTTGGTGTGAATGTCGATGATCTTTCGGCGCCCTTCGGTTCCGGGAAGTGGGAAGTAAAATTCGCGATCAAATCGGCCGGGACGACGCAAGGCAGGGTCGATGGAGTCGGGTCTATTGGTCGCACCAATGACGATGACTTGGCCCCGCCCATCCATGCCATCCATCAGAGCTAATAAGGTAGACACGATGGACGCATGAATCTGCTCTTGCTTGCTTGACCTGACAGGAGCGAGACCTGGCCAGAGGTATTAGTATACAGGATGTTTCAGAGCCACGAAAGATGACCTACCATCAATCTCGTCGAAGAATATAATACTCGGCTGCGTTCTACGAGCCTCTTCAAAAAGCAGTCTGAGTTGCCGCTCCGCTTCTCCCACCCATTTACTTAGAGCATCTGCTCCCTTTCTCATGTAAAAGGTGACTTTTCGTCCTTGAGAGCTGACGCTGGATGCCAAGGCACGGGCAAGCAGTGTCTTACCAGTACCGGGGGGTCCATGGAACAGGACTCCACGCGGAGGGGTAACGTGGAAGCGAGTGAAAATCTCGGGGTAAAGGAGGGGAAGTGATACCATCTCTTTAAGCTGATTGATGTGCTCATCCAAGCCCCCGACACTCCCAAAGTTTACATTTTGGTCCACGCCCAGTGGATCAGCATCAGCCAGTGTCTGCTTGTCCTTGACCTTCCCGAGATTTACGGGTGTTCCAGAGAGACCTTGTGCGGCATCTCCGAACATCGAAGGAAGCATGCCAGCTCCGCCCACAGACGCGCCGGCGCCTCGGGGGCGCTGCATACCCTCATCGTCGCTACTATCAGAATCTACGCCTCCGGTGGCTGTAGAATTGTGTGGGCCACCAAACAGCGGAGGAGGTCCACCAGCACCACCAAACGGTCCGTAGGTCGAGAAGAGACTGCGCTGCCAGCCACCACCGCCTCCTCCCCTGCCACGACGTGTAGGTGTTGATTCTGCCGCTGGTTCGGTCTCTTCAGTTGGAAACGCCAAGTCCGGTCTCATAATTCTGTAATCGACAGTCTTTCTGGCTCGACGCGTAGGCTTTTCGTAAATGATTTCAGTTCGAGCTGGGCGCTTCCGTCCGCTTCTCAGTTCCTCCAATTCCTCCGCCAGCTCCTCAGCCTCCTCAGCAGCATCAACTCCGTCGCTATTCGCTTCGGAATCTGAGCCACGTCTGTTTCTTGTGGAGGATCTTGACTTATCCTTGAGGCGGTGTGATCTACGCCCAGCGCTGCGGTCATCTTCCTCTTCATTTCTTTGACGCCCTTTTCGCCGTGAAGATCCTTCTGAGCCTGAAACATCTTCGTCACCCTCTTCTTCTTCGGGATTTGGTTCGAAATCGCTGCTCTCCTCGACCGCAGGCTTACGCTGGTTTTGTGAGCTTCTTGTAGCCCGCCTGCTTTTGAGTGGTGATTCGTCACCGTCACTAGCGTTGGCATCTGGCTGAGCTTGCTGAAGCTCCGGCACTGTGTCCCTCCCTGCCCTGCTTGCGCGCGAGCGACTAAATATGGGCTCGTCGTCGTCTTCATCGTCGTCGTCGTCATCGTTTTCATCATGCGCGGTTGCACCAGAAGCCTCTTCGTTGGCCCGATTTTCATCCAAGTCCACATTCAAATCGTCCTTATTCTCGATGTCCTGGCCTTCGTAGGTTGAAGCCGCTTCGGCCTCGTCTTTAGCTTGCATTTCGACGTCTGATGAATCCTGAACAGCTTGATCGAACTGCGACGAGCGATGTTCATTCGGAAACGAGCCCTCGTCCTCCTCTTCCTGAATCACACTTGGAACTGGCCCTTTTAGACCTTTACCCCCGCGGACCGGTCTCTTAGAAGGGCCTTCAGGGCTAAGACTCTGCGATCCTGGACGGATGATATCGGCATGGTGACCCGAAGTCGACAAAGCCACAAATGTTTCACTGTCATCATGTGCTATACGACTACTTCGCCGAGTGCCAGGAGTAGCTTGAAAGTCAGGAGTCGCTCCTCTGCCAAGCCCTCTACTGCCGCTCCGAGCCCTAGTATTTCGATACGGCGTAGCTCCACCCTTGGGAAGAGCAAGCTTCACCAGAAGAGATGATCCTTTCGATTTCGATTTGGACTTTGATGGTGTTTTGGAGGGATGTTTCTCCTCTTCAGAGCTTTCGATGAAGTCTTCCTCCGCCTCATCGTCGCTCTCCTCGTACTTTGGCCGTTGTTTTGTGGCTTGGCGTCTTGGTCGCCCAGTTATTGGATCGCGCTCAGGCTCTTCCTCCTCGTCATCGAAATCTTCAAAGGATCCCTCGCTCATGTCGTCATCGTCCGTAATATCGTCAGAACTGCCTCCGCCATAGCCTGCATGTCTCCTTTTCTTAGATGACTTCTTCGACTGGCTCTTCTTTGGTCTCTTCCGCGCAGGTCGCGCTTCCGCCTCATCATAATTCAAGTCATCCGAGTCGGACTTGTTCGGGTCAAAGTCATCTAAATTACGCTTCGAACGGTTCGGCATTATGACGAGTCCATGAGACGTGAAACCGGGACAAAGACTGCAGCCTAAGCTCTTAGCGCTTCAGTTATTGATTAACAGTGCAAACAAGAAGCTCGTGACCCTGCAGCTAATGAATTTTCTCGGACTCGTTCTGTGTATAGAATAGGTCGGCGACTTCCACGTTTTCTTTGAAAATACTCTTTGTTGAAAGAGCACTTTGAATCGCGCTTATCGGTCCGGTGTTCGAGGCACAGGAAACGTTGCTTTGGGGCCGCAAGAGTGAATTATTGTTGTCGAGACATACGGCACTCGAGTAGCTGGTCCGTCGGAAAAGATGGTATAATAAATTTATCAAAGAATGAGGCGATTGTATTGACTCGGAGGGTGGGAAGCGTGAATGAAGTTTGGGGCTGTCGAAGCACCTTTGGCTGTGTTTCCCAGACGGGCGGGCTACCCTCGCTTACGAAGACGCGCTAGCACCAACCAAAGTGGGCGACAGGCCCCTGGCCCGCACTCTGCCGACCACTCACGCAACACCGTTCGGCCGCCAACTGCCACGCTTTCGCAATGCAACCCCAAAACACTTTAAAATCCATCTTTTGAAATGTTCATCTCCATCATGACATTTGATGAAAAACAGAGGCAATTGAAACACTTTGTGAACCGGGGGAAATGTCGACTCTCCTATTGATTGCCTCTATCAACGCTGGTATTTTTATTTCAGCAATGCCCCTCCTCTTCCCCCGTTTCGGCTCCCCGTAAAAACGAACAAATATATTTGATTCTGCTTCATATCAACGATGATCTGCAAGCAGGTACGATCGGCGGCTTAAAAGCTTATTCCCATTAAGCTGCTTGTCTCCATCGTGGCGTCCGAGACCCCTCGGATCCCCGAAATATGTGGGGAACGGCTACAGTCTGGTATGTCCGGTGGTGGTGTATTTCCCAGCACTAACCTTTTTGCTGTTTCAGCAACAGCCCTAATGAATTTTGGACGTTTGGTTATCTGCTGTCTCTCTCATGTGGTATTTTCAATTTTTATATCATGTATTCCAAGGGAAATAATTTGGGTGCAAGTATTAGATCTCTGATATATTACAAATTTTTTGTGGTGATTATTGAACGAGATAATTCCAAGAATATTTCTAAAATACCAGCATAAATATTTCACCATTTATCCTCCACATATCCTGACTGTAATGAATAACCACCCCTTCATCTCACCTCAAAACATAATAGAAAGACGAGGAGAGATTCAGTCCTCGGAATAGTATATGTACTTGATAGGATGCCATCTAGCGCAAAACGTCATGGCTTAACTCTGGTGCTTCTAATAAACTATTCAGCGAATCATTTTCACAAAAACAGTAGGTAAATTAAGTGCCATGAAAATTCAATATCATACAAAGGCTCATAGGGTATTATCAACTACTGCACCTGCGCTCAAATCTACTTGATATCTAGGTACATATATAGATACTTAAAAATTTTGCAAAAATCGTTTCCAAAACGGTACTTTGTGTTTACCGCCAAGCGACTCAAAATCACCGCCTTGCGCCGAATCACCGCCCTCATCGCTTTCAGAGAGGTCGACATCCTTGCGGCGGCCTGTATCCAAATCGATCTCCAACAGACGCTGAAACCTTGTGCGGAAGAAGAATTTGTACGCAAAATAAATAATGGGGAAAAGAGGGAGCAGAATGTACGCATCGACAAAATTGCCAGCATCAAAGGGACTGAGCGTCGTCCAGCCCTGAACCAGAGCGAGGAATATATTTGCTGCAAGGCCAAAGTACGCAATCACCGGATATCCCATCGATATGAACGGCAAATCCTGAACATTGCGGCCTTGCTTGGCCCAAGCTCTGCGGAAGCGGATGTGGATGAACGATATTGAGCCCCAAACGAGAAAGGTCGACACGCCGCTAAGACTGATAATGTAGCCGTATGCCTTGCTGGCGCCGGTGCTGACGTTCATCATGGACAGTGCACCAAAAAGATTGGTGAAGATGATGGCATACACGGGCACACCGCGTGCATCCGTTCGGCCGAGGAAACGTGGGGCTTTGCCGTCTTGCGCCATGAACAGGATTGTGCGAGAGCCGATATAGATGGAGCTGTTCGTTGCAGAGAGACAGGTCGCGAGGATGAAAGCGTTGATGAGATTGACGCCACCTTCCCATCCGGCATTTTGAATAGCGATAGTCATGGGACTTTTCAGAGCACGACTCGCGCCGCCCACCAAGCCAGGGGCATTCGCCGGGCAAGTGAGACCGAAGAAAAACGCTGAGCCCATGTAGACGAAGATGATGCGCCAGAATACTTGACGGGTCGCACGAGGAACAGCAACCTTGGGGTTTCTCGTCTCAGTAGCCGCAATAGCGACGGACTCGCAGCCAGCGTAGAAGGTGGAGCAGAAGACAAAGACGGTAGCTACTCCCCTGAAACCGTGGCCAGCAAAGGCGCCTGGATTATGCCAGTATTGGAAACCAAGGGCATGTTGTTGACCCTTGAGACCGCCCGCTGCATAGACGATGGCGAAGATGAAGTAGGCCGTCAGGCCGGCGAGCTTGAGCAATGCGAGCCAAAATTCTGCTTCGCCAAAGGCCTGGACACCGAGGAGTTGAAAGCCAAGGAAGACGAACCAGAAGATCAAAAAGTATCCCCAGAGAGGCACCTTGTCGCTCCAGAAGACGAAGATGCTGGAAAGCGTGTTGTACTCGTTTGCAAGCACCGCAATCCAAATGATAAAGTAATTCCACCCGACAGCCACGCCAAAGGCCTTGTCCACCATGCGATCGGCAAGCTTGATGAAGGCGCCGCCGCTGGGGTACAGAGTCGTGAGTTCACCGAGTGACTGCATGATACTGAATGCAATGATGCCAATTACTCCAAATCCAATGATCAGCGACGCTGGCCCGCCACTGGACAATGCTCCGCCAGATCCTATCAGCAGCCCCGGCCCAATGATGCCAGCCAATGCCATCATACTGAGATGCCGAGTATGGAGGCCTCTCTTGACCCCGCTCACGGGGTCAATGACCTCTCCCCGACCTGCGCCGTTGTCCTCAACTCCATGCTGTGGCGGTAACTCGGTCGAAGGAGCGTCTTCTATTCCTTTAAAAGTCCCCATTGCCCAGACCAATCTGCAGGCACGGAGATGAAATTTCGAGCTATACTTTTTGACGTAGTATAACTTCAGAGCATGGCTTGTGTATATATTGTTGTTGTGCGGAACTGTCAGCGTATCCGATGTATCACTTGTAAGACTTGAAAAACTTCCAAAAAAGTGATGTCAGAATGCAGCATGCTTCTGAATTGAAGAATTTTAAGGTCGCCATCATTCGCTAAGATTCGCAATTTTGCTTTGCAGAGTCTGCAGGGAAGTCAGTTTTCCTTCGGTCGGGGTAGAGGCGACTAAAATGACACCATTCGGTAGCTTGTTGGATCATCGACAGAATGCGCTCAACCTGGCTCTATTACTGGTGTTTCCACCCAATCCATCGAAGTCTCTGCGGCGAAGCGAGAAATAAATTTACTGCAACCGTAGGACTTGCAACCATCCAAGAGTGGATGCGTGCAGCCACGAGCTGGGCCTTCCTCGTCTCTTTTCCATTCATTGCAAATTAGTTACGTATCAACAATCGACAATTGGTTGGTGCGGGTCTGTAGTCTTCGTCGAAGTCGACAGTTCAGGTTCTAGAATTTCTGTACATTCTACAATTCATACACCAACAGTTCCGTATATTTCAAACGCATCTTTTCGCACTTGAGCAGAAGCATAGAGTATCCCTCTGACTTCTCGCAGTGGAGATGCCGTGGTTGTAGCCATTGAAAATCTGCCACTAATCCTACTCTAGCTACACCTTCATCTTTTATCATTTATTCAGAATATACAGACTTGAGAAGGTAACAATAGACCAACCAGCCTACTGCAAATTACCTGTTTTTGTCGGAAAGCTCACAAATTCTATAAGAAAATCATCACCTTGCAGTCACAATCACACTTTAGTATTTGAAGAATTGAAGTGAAGGATGAAAGTCTGCTTTTGGTATTCGTAGTTGCAAACTATCTGAGAGCGCTCGTGCAAATAGTTTAGTAGTATAACAGAACGTCTCTTGAAATAAACGCAAGCCCGTAGATTCAACAAATCCAGGTTACCTAGCATATGCCGCTGAGATATTAAACAAAGGAAAATTAGAAAGGAAAAAAGCTCGTAGACACATTAACCCGAAGAGACCTATGCATTAACAAAGACGAAAGGGAATCTCAGAAGAGCTTGTCTCGTTCCGCCGAAATATAACTCCCAGGAATTTTAGAAATGCATTTAGTCAACCTCCTCCATGGTGCTCTCACCAGCCGCCTCAGCCGGAGCAGCCTCCTCAGCCTTCTCCTCGGTAGGCTCGGCAGTCTCGTCAATGTTGAGACCGAGAGAGACGAGCTTGTGAATGCGGTCGGCGAAGCTGGCGGGCTCGTCAATGGTGAAACCAGAGACAAGGAGAGAAGTCTCGTAGAGAAGCTGGGTGATGGACTTGACAGTGCGGTCATTCTCACCGTCAGCCTCAACCTTCTTGCGGAGCTCCTGAATGATGGGAGACTTGGGGGAGATCTCGAAGGTCTTCTTGGAAGACATGTACGAGCTCATGGAGGTGTCACGGAGAGCCTGAGCCTTCATGATACGCTCCATGTTGGCAGACCAGCCGAACTGGCCAGTACGGATGGCGCAAGGGGCACCGAGAAGCTTGTGGCTGACGACAACCTTCTCGACCTTGTCGCCAAGGACGTTCTTGAGGCTCTTGGCAAGATCCTCGTACTCCTTCTCGAGAGCCTCACGCTCCTTCTTCTCTTCCTCAGACTCTTCAAGCTCGAAGTCCTTGGTGATGTCGACGAGCTTCTTGCCGTCGAACTCCTTGAGCTGAGTCATGGCGTACTCGTCAATAGGGTCAACAAGGAAGAGAACCTCGAAGTTCTTCTCCTTGAGAGAGTCAAGGAAGGGAGACTTCTGGACAGCCTTGAGAGACTCGCCAGTGATGTAGTAGATCTGCTTCTGGTGCTCGGGCATGCGGGTGACGTAGTCGGCGAAAGAAGTGATCTCATCACCAGACTTGGTGGAGTTGTAGCGGAGGAGCTTGGCAAGAGCATGGCGGTTCTGGGAGTCCTCGTGGATACCGAGCTTGATGTTCTTGCTGAAGGCAGAGTAGAACTTGTCGAACTGCTCACGGTCCTCGGCGATCTCGCCGAAGAGCTCAAGAGTCTTCTTGACAATGTTCTTCTTGATGACCTTCATGATCTTGTTCTGCTGAAGAGTCTCACGAGAAAGGTTCAAAGGAAGATCCTCAGAGTCGACAACACCCTTGATGAAACCGAGCCACTCAGGAATGAGGTCAGTAGCATCATCGGTAATGAAGACACGGCGGACGTAGAGCTTGATGTTGTTCTTGGTCTTCTTGGTCTCGAAGAGGTCGAAGGGAGCGCGCTTGGGGACGAAGAGGATAGCACGGAACTCAAGCTGACCCTCGACGGAGAAGTGCTTCACAGCAAGGTGGTCCTCCCAGTCGTTGGAGAGGGACTTGTAGAAGGAAGCGTACTCTTCCTGGCCGATGTCCTGAGGGTTGCGAGTCCAGATGGGCTTAGTCTTGTTAAGCTCCTCTTCCTCGATCTTGGACTCCTTGACCGTCTTGGTCTTCTTCTCCTTCTTCTCCTCATCCTCGTCGACCTCCTCAACCTTAGGCTTCTTCTCGTCGCCCTCGGTGGTCTCCTCGGCTTCCTCATCAGGGACCTCCTTCTCGGTCTCCTTCAAGACGTGGAGGTAGATGGGGTAGGAGATGAACTCGGAGTGCTTCTTGACAACCTCCTTGATCTTGGCTTCCTGAAGGTACTCAGTCTGCTCATCCTTGAGGTGAAGAATGATCTTGGTACCACGGCCGATCTGCTCGCCCTCAGTGTCCTGGGTGATCTTGAAGGTACCACCGGCGCTGGACTCCCAGACGTACTGCTCGTCGTCATTGTTCTTGGAGACAACGGTGACGCGGTCGGCAACAAGGTAGGCGGAGTAGAAACCGACACCGAACTGACCAATCATGGAAATGTCGGCACCAGCGCTAAGGGCCTCCATGAACTGCTTGGTACCAGAGCGGGCAATGGTACCGAGGTTGTTGACAAGGTCCTACTTGCGATTAGCATTTTTTCAATGGAACAAGCATTAAAGCATTCAACTTACAGCCTTGGTCATACCAATACCGGTATCCCGGATGGTAAGAGTCTTGTTGACCGGGTCGGGAATAACATCGATTCTCAGGTCCTTGCCGGAGTCGAGCTTGCTGGGGTCAGAAAGAGCCTCATAGCGGATCTTGTCCAAGGCGTCGGAGGCGTTGGAAATGAGTTCTCTAAGGAAGATCTCCTTGTTGGAGTAGACAGTGTTGATGATGAGGGAAAGAAGCTGAGAGATCTCAGCCTGGAACTCAAAAGTCTCAGCCATTTTTGCGGTAAAACTAAAGAAGAAAAATTCTATTTAACTCTCAGTCAGCATTTAGCCTTGAAATCGCGAAGTAAGGACTATGGTTCGATTCAGAGCAGCGAAAGCAAGATGACTTGAAAGTCAAGCTTTTCTCGAGCATACGCTCGGGCTTATAGGCTGCCTGCATCTCACCAGAACCAATTCATACGAGGGAAAACTCACATTATGAGAGGTGATCTAAAGAGTAAAGAAAACAAGATATGAGAACGAAAGGCAAGGTCGTCAAAAGGGACGTGAAGATGGAGAAAGTTTGTGGAGAGATGGAGAGTTGAAAGAAAATAACCAAAGCGAACTAGACGGAGGTTTTATATCTTTGCTATTCGCTTCTTCAGGATTCTACCAGCCGGCGGCTCAGACTCTAGGAGCAGTTTCGATTGGATGCCATTCTATTCTAGCCGAGAAGCATCCCCAGGTCAAAGGCGCCAATAGCTCCATTTGGATAACTAACCGAGTTATCGGGCAAAATCTACGGGTCTAGGTCGTATCATATCTCCACCGCATCTTTCTCTCGCCTTCTCCCAGGCAACAACACTAAACAAACCCCACGCTTTTTCTTGAATGCGCGAGAATGGTTTAGAAGACAGCTCAGCCTTGTCACAGAAAACAGCTCAATGCTTAATAAATAATTGTGGTTATGTACATCAAAGCAATTCTTGCATCTAAGTTAGCACAGAAACCGGCAAACGAGGCAATGGAGAGAATAGAGTGGGAAGGGGAAAGGTATGAATGTCGATCAATAACCTATAAGGGAAATGAATATCAGAGAAGCTTCGAATCACCGAATTGCAGCACCACGTCAACCACATCTTGTCAGAAATTTGCGCGCCATTAAGTGCTTTCATAAAAGCACGAATGCGAAACCGAACGTCTTCCCTATGACGGGGCAGAGTGCTCCCAATGCGCCTAAAAGCAGAGTGGGAAGACCCAAAACAAAAAAACAGAAAAGTTGCCCCTCGACGCCCGCAATGCCGACATGATCCTGGCGTTACCATCGGACGTTATCGTTGGCCATCCACCATGACCTGTTCAAGTTGACCAAAGATCCTCCATTCATGAACCAGTTCCTTCCGAGCCAAACAATAAGACCCCCAATCACTCCGCAGCTGCCTAGTACCTGAAGGGCCAACCAGCTGCGCCTCTTGAAATCCTCATTCCATTGGAGCAATCCAAGAGGGTCATGAGGATTCACCATGGCACCGCTTCTCTCTTTGCCCGTGGAAGACTTAGGGCCTCGGTGGGCGGTTTGCTTCACTAATGCAACACTGTGCTCGAGTGAAGCAGGAAGAAGCGTGCCATCAATCACACATTCACCTAGCCTTTGTGTGAGCCACACAGCTCTCTCTCCTCTGGCTAACGCTTCGAATCTCTCCCTCTCATTCTGCAGACTCCGCTGCAAATCATTGGCCCATTTTGCCAGGCTGAGCTGTGCTAGATGCTCCTCTCGTTGTTTGTGATCGGCGACTCTTGCCAAGGCGTAAGAGGAAGCGCCACGGCCATGGGTGACAAGAACCTGAGATGGCGTTGTCGCAGAGGAGGCAACAAGAATTGAAGATGCTTGCGAGGCATTGGGAGACGTAGGCTTGGAAGAGCTCTTCTGGACGGACGTAGTTAGGCTTTGAGAAAGCATAGAGCTGGCCAAAGCATGATGCCGCCACTGAACGAATTTCTTAGCCGCAGCATGACGCAGCCAAGGTATGTTGTCGAAAGTTCGTGCAACCAGGGCTCTGAGCTCCGTCTCCACCAACGGTGGCATATAGTCTGGACTCATAAGCACACTTGCATCCATATTGTCTGCATCATTGGAGGTAGCGGAAGACACAGCGTAAGGCGCAAAAGCGCCAGGGCATTGCATTACATCGTCCAAAGATCGTCCGAAGAGGAACGGGCGGATATCAGCGGCCTGGAGTCCTGCAAGTATCGATTTTTTGAGGTTGAGTATGTTTTCATGTGTAGAGATATCCGCTTTGGAAATAAGTGGTATTACGTTGGTTAGAGGGGAGAGTCGGCGGAGATACTCGATATCTACGGATTTTAGACCTATAGGCAAATATATATGAGTAACCGGAATATTACGGCTTTTTGGTTGGCCGTGCAGAGGTCTTACCATTTTGAATGAGATAGAAGACAACGTCAACCTGTGCTCCACCGGATCCACTGAGAAGGCCAAGGATATCGCCATCGCTGAGATTAATCATCGAAGCGGTTCGAAACAACTGGGATTCAACATATTGGATTACAGAGTCGACGTTGTCCAGAAAAGCCGTGCCATTACTGTAGCCAGGCGTGTCGACAAAACAAAGGTTCCTTTCGAGAACGACATCGCCTGAGCCTTTCCTTCTCCGTAGTATCCTACTCTCCTCCAAATCTGACCACCAAGATGGATATGCCTTCGTACTAGCATATACCTCCTCGACTTCCTTTGTGCTATTGCGTTTGGCCGCATCATTACTCTTTGTGCTAGACTTTCGTGGTAGAGTCGGTAAACTTGGACTGAGCGGGTCAACGTGCACGATATCTTCACATGTTTGAACAATAGATTTAATTAAGGACGATTTGCCAGTTCCTGAAAATCAGTCAGTATCCCAATGACAGCACAAGTTCCCTCAATAATCATTTGGACGGAGACCCACCTGAATCACCAGCAATCAATACCTTCAAGCGCCCCATATTCCTACCTCTTTCAGTAAAAGGTCGCCGACTAGGCATTTGAATACTGGGCATGATGAGTTGTGGCGCACTGCTTTGCATCGAGGACTCGTTCGGCGAATCGCCCTCGTCTTCACCACTCGACATTGCTTGGCTCACTGCGTCGTCGAGGACCGATTCTTCGTCTGAATGGCGATACGATTTGGAAGAGATAGACTTTGGGCTGCTTGGGAGAGACGAGCCCAGAGCGGGCGAATGAAGAAAGAGCGGCGTGAGCGGCCGAGACAAAGAAGTATGCGACAGTCGATGGGATACTAATCGGGAAGGCGAAGCACACGATGCGTCCAAAGAAGTTGTAGTCACTGCATCACTCAGAATTTCCGTCGTTAGAAACGGAGAACCGTTGTCCGTAATTTTGGACGACTGTTGCGGAGATCCACCCGCAGGACCAACCCCACCACTACCATTATTCATATTGACTCCTGCGTCATCATCGTCAACCCCAGAAAACGACTGACTGTCATCTATCACCGCAGCCTCAATAGCATCTTCTAGGCTCTGAACACCATATACGCTGTTGCTGCCGCCGTTGCTTCTGGACGTTGTCGAGGAGCGCTGCATCATATCTTCCTCCCTAGCAAGGAAGAAGGTCGTCGGAGCACCGTGACCAGGGCCGGGCCCAGGTACTGACAGCGTGACTTGCGGGTCAGCGAAGCTCGATTTTGATGATCGTTCTGTGAGGGCGTCGCCGCCGCCCGCACTCGGCCTCATCTTGATTCCTTGAGATCGACTATATAGTATCCTAGGTTGTTGATGTCCACTGTGTCCTCGGACTATTATCCTAGATCACTGCAGGGCCAGTATATCCCCAGAACTATATTCCTTAGGAGTAACGACACAATAAAGAAGCCTTATAATTGTACAGAGAGTAAAAAAGGATGTAAAGGACTGTAGAATATCTTTGTTGCCTCTGTGCGTTTAAGCTTTCTGGTCCTGACGCCCGCACGCTCAGGTGATAAAGTTCCACAAGGAGTGGATAGGACGGGATGGGATGAATGTGGTGTGTCCCAGGCTGCTGGGCTCCCAGCTCCCAACTCCCAGATACTTTGCCTTCCCAGATACCGCTCATAATAATGCCCACTTCACCTGCAGTAAGCTCCAAGTAATCAGTATCGGTACGTCAGGTAGATAATACCTCCACTACTGCCGAGCATGGGTCCGGAGGCCGTACAAGGTGTACCAAGTGGTACCCCTCACCCCCACCTCGCCAGGCTGCCAGTTAGTCCGCGTTGCCCGCCCCTTCGGTTCGTGACGAGCGATGCCCGCCACTTTGCGCGAGCGAGCAAGAGAGTGGGACCGAGGGACAGAAAGACCGCTTGGGGCTGCCCTGGGCAGCTGCGCACCGGCGCCGCGATACTAGAAAGCCACCCTCAGGGTAGTACGTATCTTCAGGCCAGCCACCGCCGCACAACAAGCTTAAATTTGTCTCTGAGGAGAGTACGGTGACTTGTTGTGTGGACTGACGAACAAGTTGGGCACATTTCAGTTGCAAGAATCAATAACATTTGCAGGGCCAACAAGGAAATGGAAGCTTGCAGGACTTTCTGCGCGCACTGGAAATATGTAAGGTAGCTACTCGGAAGAAACTTCTGTGTAAGCTGTCAAGTCAAAAGCACGTGAGCAACCACTATATCGGGTTTGGCTCGAGGTCAAAATCTCGACGACTTCCATGACAAAAGCATTGATAGTAGGCCCTGACAAATGATCAAAAGCTTTACTACATAGGCATACACAAGCAATTATTTCCAAGGTCAATATTTAAAGATTCGCAAGCGGCTTCTATTGTACATGTACATTTTTGTGTCAAGCTCGCTGTATCAAATACACAAAAAATAGGAATTTGACCGTTACCCAGCTAATCCAAAGCTCTAACACGGCTCATTGAAGCAATACACTCATCTGCTCGCAACGCAATAGGCCGTCTGCAACCATGCTCACATAACCGCACCAGCTCAGTAAGTTCAAGCAAAGGCTCGAAAGGCCCGCAAAGGAGAAAAAGTATAGCTCATTTGCCGAAGACCCTTGACACCACAAAGACGAAACGCTATGCAGAAAATAATAAATAAGTGAAAATGCCACAGAATATTTCAAACAAGAAGTGAAAGGGAAAGAAAATGCATATGCCAACGTGAGCATTGTTTCCTCGTAAATTGGAATACAATCGTAATAAAGAAAATTCGACTTTTCCTGAAGATTCGCTGATAGACATCGCAAATGGACGAGAAACCGATAAAGTTACATAAGAATTGGCGGAAGGTCGAAACGAAGATGACCATGGCAAGGTCTCATGACTAACCAAGGTCTTCGCTAGAATAAAGAGATCGAGCGGTAGTACCCTGCCCGCTTTGGATCCGAGGGGACGGTGGAAATCGCTAAGGAGAGACAGCAAGTGAGTATTTAAGCAGCCTGGCTGCCACCGCGCGCCTTGGGGGCGACATTGCCACCCCTGCCGCGGGGAGCATAGCCGCCACGGCCGCCATCGCGAGGGAAGCCTCCGCGGCCCTGGGGACGTCCGTCAGATCCTCCACGGCCGCGGTTAAGACCGCCACGACCGGGGCCGTATCCACCATAGCCGGCACGAATACGGCGCTCTTCGACAAGGATCTGCTCGCCGCCTACAGTGTGAGGATTGGCAGAGACAGCGGCGTTGAAGCCAGCAGGAGTAGCGAACTCAACGAAGGCACAGTTCTAGGTCTATGTTAGCATCAATTCACTTGACGTTTAGAAAGCATCTCTTCCTTACCCTCTGGCGGCTGATATCAAAGTAAGCCAGCTCGCCAAACTTCTCAAGAGTGCTCTTCAGAGCAGCCTCCTCGACCTTGTCGGTGACGCCCTTGACGTAGGCCATGACATTTTCCTTCTCGCCAGCTCCGGCGGTGGGCTGGGGGCGCGAATGTCTCTTGTTGTCATTGCCTGCAGTTTGCCAGCCGGCACCGGGGCTAGCTTGGCCAGAGGCAGGAGAGGCATCTCTAGGAGCAGTGGGCTGAGCCTGAGCCTGAGCCTGAGCAGGCGCAGGAGCCGGAGCCGCAGCTGGGGCAGGAGCAGGAGCAGCGCGGGGTTGAGCTGGGCCAGGCGAGGTAGAAGCAGCGGGCACTGGGGTTACGGGAGTGGCAACCTTGTGGGCAGCAACGAGGTTGGCCCAAGTCTTGGGGGCAGTAGGCTTGGGGGCAGCGGGAGCTGCAGCAGGAGCAGGAGCCGGGGCAGCCTGGGCAGGGGCAGCCTTGGGCGAAGCAGCGGTGGGGGTAGGCTCAGGGTCCTTTGGCTTCTCAGGCTGGGCGGACTCGGCGGCGGCGGCAGAATCGGCAGCATCAGGAGTGAGAGCATCTTTAGCCTCCTTGGTGGCGGCAGGGGCACCAGTGGCGTCCTCAGTTGCAGGAGCAACCTCTGCGCCATTGGTGGCAGAGGCCGTGGGAGCAGGCTCAGGCTCCTTGGCGACCTCCTCCTCAAGCTCCTTGTCGATAATAGCAGCATCCTGCTCGCGGACCTTGGGGTCGGGAGAGTTGCTGAGAGTCCTGTGCTCAGGCTCAGTGGGAGCTGCTTGTTGCACGGCCTCGGTCTGAACGGCGTTGTCTACAGGAGCCTCTTCCGTCTCAAGTTCTTCCTCCTCGTCGTTGATGTAGCGGAAAATATCATTGAGCACGAAATAACCGTTGGGCTGCTCAGCCAGCACAAAGGTCTGGACAAACTTGCGGTGAGGCTGGGACTTGTTGGACATTTCACCAATAACCTGGACCACGATGTTCTGGAAAGAGGCCTGCGAATCGACGTTGGAGACACGGACTTTGCAGTCCTGGATGTCAAGCTCCTTGATGCGCTCGTTGATAGCCTGAGGTGTTTGCTTAGCGACAACTTCAACTGAAGCAGGATCCACGGATGTAATCCCTACCTTCTGACCAACGCAGACAGCCACTTTCTCGGCCTCCTGACCAGAGACAAATTGAGAGCGCTTGGAGTAAAAGAGCTAGCAAATTATTAGCGATATTTCGCGTGAAGAGTCTCGTATGGGGTCCCCCCAAATGTGGCATTAAAAAAACTTACGTGAAGCTTCTCCGGGCTCCGGCTCAAAGTAGTGTAGTACTGCTCAACAAAATACCAGCCGACTTCATCCTTGGGGATGGCGCCGGTAGCAGAGGCGCTGCCGTTGGAGCCAGAGGCGGCGCTGTCGGTGGTAGAAGGACCGCTAGCACCCTGGGGGGCGAAAGAACCAGAAGCCGGACCGGCAGCTTGAGCGTGGTACTCCGAGCCGTATGGTTGGCCCTGGGGGGCATAGTTGCCGTTAACAGGGAGAGTGTGCTGTTCTGTTGCCATTGCGAAGTATGTCGCGAGGTAGAATAAATCGGATAGTTCGGATTCAGGTGAGTAGAAATGAAAAACGAGGATTAAGGCAAGCTATCGGATGCTGAAGAAGCTGTCGGCTCGCCGTTTTAATAGAGAGTTGTAAGTGTTCGTAAGTGAATTAAAAGGTGAAGGCTATTGTCCATTATGAATTAGTCATGGATGCGCAAAGCGCACGTTTCTCTAGTGCAATTGGGATAATGCGAGCGAAAAAAAAGTCGAAGCAGAGCTCACTTACATTGCGTCCTGGTGCAACAAACAGTCGCACTACCAGTAAAATGGAGAAGAATAGATTTTAAGGTAGCAACGGATGCTAATTCGATAAAGTTTTAAAAGGTAAAAGAAGAGTCGTCGCGAATGGGGGAGAAGTCGTCTGGGGTTTAAGGAGAAGTGATCGAGTGTGGGCGCGAGAGAGAAGATTGACTAAACTCAGTCTAGTCTTAGATTGTTTAGATGCTGAAGAAGAGATGACAACGGAAGGTTTTATCCTATCCTGTATGGAAACAGCCCAAAAATAAGAAGGGTCTGAGAAGTTAAAAGGGCGCAAGAGTGAAGAGGATATAGTTTGATGGTGAAGTTGAGGTAGAGGGTTTCGAACTCGGGGAGCAGCCTTTTGGTTGGTGTGGAAAATAATCGAAGGTGTAACTGGCCTCGCTTGACTCCTCCGCTTGAGTGGATCTGGGCAAACGCCAAAAGGCACCACAATTGAGTGTCTGCAGCACATAATACAGTACGTGAGAACGTGTCGGCACCATTTTGCTGGCTCGGGAACATGGCTCGCTTGTCGGCTTACCACGAGCAGATTCGCAGTTACTTGATACAGCACCAGAATGAGCAAGGTGTACATATATCGATGCTTGAGGCATTAGGTGTCTTCTAAACCAGATCCAAATATCAATTGAAATCTTCTATATTCTGATACACATCACTAAATCTAGGGATCACGAGATCCATATTATCATGCCATTGATCTGTCTCTTTAATGTACAGAAGTATATAGTGAATATCAATGCAAATCTTCTTTGTACACGGTGCATATTCAAGAGTTACCATAGCACACAGAACCAGCGATCTCGGCGGGCAACGGGCGTCTCCATTTATATTCCCGAGCTACCTAAGTTAGTAGCTACCTAGGTACTTACAGATGAGAGGATGCTCAAGCACGAGATAATAATCAAGATAAACCCAGACCCGCACAGCCAATTGGCATGCGGTATTACACCACCGCTTTACACCAAACAATATCTCCGTAGTCACTCCACACAAATATAAATGCCATGTCCTACTTCTGTAGCATCTGCGCCATAAACTAAAACTAACTACCTTACTTGCATCATATAATTTACCTCAACTTACTTCAACCATTGTAATAATAATTTCTCGCAAGCAATGTCACTCAAAACCAAAGTCTCTACCGGTCTCGAAGCGCCTAATGCGCTGCATTCTCAAGCCATTATCAGCAATGGCATGATCTACTGCTCCGGCAGCGTCGGCGTAGATTTGAAGACGAAGAAATTCGTCGAAGGCGGAGTCGGTGCGCGAACTGTAGGTATTAACGTATTATTCGCTGAGTACAGCAATGTAAAAACCAATTGATAATTGATACGAGCCATCAATCGATATTCTAGGCACAAGCAATCCGCAACCTCGCCCTGATCCTCGAGAAGGCGGGCAGTCACTTGAACAACACCGTCAAGGTCAATGTCTTTTTGACGACCATGGACGACTATGATGAAGTCAACAAGGTGTATAGGACCTTTTTTGCGGCTGAGCCAAAGCCGGTAAGTACCAAAGCCCATCTTCGAAATAATACCTCCTTCGTACAATTTTGGGAAGACGGGTACAATTGGTCGGAGACATGCTGACGAGTAGCTATCAGGTGCGCACGTGCGTGGCAGTCCACCAGCTGCCATTTGGAACTGATGTGGAGGTTGAACTCGTTGCCCATGCGTAAGTCACCAAATTTTTTTTTTTTTGTAATTTTTTTTTTTGTTTCTAAACCTCTCCCCCCTCCCGGGACACTCCTCCTTTGCTCCGCTATAGCAGATAAATGCATCGGACGATTGTTGACTGACAGCCGTATTTATATACAGGGGCACGACTACCCAGGCCAAGCTGTAGATTTCCTAGCAATGAAACTGAGGTTATGAGAGGGTATAAACAATGTATATATGTACATCTGATATCTCTGTAAATATGCAACAAGATCAGAACAAAAAATCGTATATGCATGAAACAGAATTAATATATGAAATAAAAAAAGAAAAAGAAAAAGAAAAAAAGATAATTATAGCTTCGCCCGCAGGACATGATCCTCTATCAAATCAGAAACCAAGCCCAGGACCTTCTCAGCAACGCCCCAGCTCATCTCATACCCTCTCCCACCAACACCGTACGCATGAACAATGCTTTTCCCGGGAGCGACGCTCTGGACTTCTAACCTGATACCCCCTTCTCTTGCCGGTCTCCGGCCTACATTATCCCTGATGACTTGCCATTTTTCTCCCGGCTTCAGGATCCAGGGAAAACATCGTTCCGCTGCCTTGAGGAGTTTCTCTCTGGTCTCCGGTCTGGGCACATCAGTCATGTCGCCGACTTCTTTTGTTCCTCCAACGACTGTCCCGCCACCAAGCGCTCGAGGGATTAAGAATGTCCATGTGCCATCGGAATTCTGTCTTGTAATCGTCTGCAGGCCGCAGTCGTTCTCGACTAGTACCGTCTGACCACGAATCACGAAGCTCTTAGGGTCATTGAATCCACGACCAGAGCAATTGACCACAACTGTCCTGTCTGTCCTTTCTGTCTCTTCTGATGAATCCTGACGCAAAGAAGGACATGAAGCACCGCCAGAAGCCAGCCCACCGTCATCCACACCAAACGCATCCTCTACCCTCGCCAACTTCTTTTGCACAACTTTCCCTCCTCTGTCCACAAACCGCCTCAGCAGCACCGGGCAGTAGACATTCGGGCTAACGCAGAATGTCTTATATTTGTATCCCCACTTCACGCCCTCGGGCAATTCCCGAGACGGGATGATTTGAAAATCGTCATTATCGCCGGCATATACGCTTCCATCCTTCAATTGCAAATGTTCTGGAGCCGGCTTCTCAAAATATTCCACACCATCCACAAGGATGATGCCATTGGCCGGGTCGGACGATTCCTTTTTAAAAACCTCAAAGGCACGCCGCGTTATCTGAGCTTCTTCCGCAAGTTGACGATGTAATGCCGGCGTTTGCGATGAGGACGGATCGGTGAGAAAAGGAATTGGCCGGTAATGCGCGCCGGCCCAGGCAGATGCGTAGTCGGCAGAGGAGGTCGCTGAAAATTGCTGATTGAGAGGAAGAGACTCGGCCACGATGATGATTTTCGATGTAGGGTATTCTTGCTGCAGCGTGAGCGCAGATGTGAGGCCAAGTATGCCCGCGCCAATAACGACAATCTTTGACGGCGAGGACGTTTCGCCTGATGGGTTTGTTGTTTTGATTGCCATGTCGTATGCCTGACTTTCCCTCCGTCGTTTAGTTTTATTCTTTATTTTTTTCCCTCTTATGGAGCAGGGGTCTTTCTGACCTTTTATTTCACATGTCCCAGCTGTCTATTTTATACAGCGCCAAAGGGTGCATACAAGGGAAGGAACATAACCAGATATTCAATGTTTCAATGGCAGTGGCCAATTAACCCAATGGAAAGTCAACACCGCCCAAACAACCCAGACCAAAGCTCAGATGTGGTCATCATTCGTATAATGATATTCAAGTCGGACAATGGCCATGGTCCACTGTCTGATAACTATTAGTTACCTTTGGTTCTAGCTCGCAGGTAGCTTATCGCCCACAATAACAACAACCGAGGCAGGGGAATCGCAGTGTATGCAAATATTCGAACCAATCAGACAAGTACATGTACTTCACCGCCCGAGCGCCGGCCGGGAGAGTCCCCTCAGTCCACCGACTTCGGCAACGCAGACTGGACTCGCCGCCCACCTTTCCCGCCCCAGTTGGCCCGCTTTTTTCATGGTGGGTGTTGTTACCGGTCACTGAGCGCAGATGTCACGATTTATTTTCGTGCAGATCGGAACAATAGATTAGAGGGGGTTTGATTTTTGATAGTGGCATGACTTGTAGGATATACGAGGACAATAATGGGGCCATATGAATCCTAGGACATTGAAATGGGGAGGGTTTGTGTCAAGCATACCAAAGGACGCTTGGTAGGAGCTCAAGGGTAGGTAGGTGGAACTTGGGCGCTTTATAAACGGTATCATCTGACAGCACTGGGTGGAGTCCGTCATGTGGACTGTAAGGATGAACCATGTGGACAATGGAATGCAAAATGGATTCTACGAGTAAGCGACGGAAATCCTAGGCGGGGTAAGAGAATGAGTCCGCATGGCTCGTGGCATATCTCGGGCGTGAGAGCTTAGAGCTTGAGCTTTACTGTGTTTAAACACGCTGAAAAGATACAATTGGCATTTGATCTGCTGGCGGTGGAAAAAGAGGGTCGATGTTATATGCCAGAAAGTTGATATGCACGGCAGTCTTGGTTGATCAGACCAATACGATAATGAGAATTCAATATCAATTGAAAAGGTATCAAAAGGCCATCAAATATTGCAATTCTAACCGAGCAGCTCCATGGTGTAGCCAGATTGGAGAGAAGATGATCCTCAAGACTAGCCCGAAATTAAGAAAGAAAATAACATAAATCAGAAGGAAAATTGGAGAATTTGACGAAATCGCAACGTAGTGAACCGCCAGAACGACAAGGCGGCCAGAAAGGAGACATGTAAAGCTGCGCGTTATGGGATATTAGGCGCAGCTGTGAAGAACGAGAAACGAAACGAAACGAATAACACCATGTCCAAGGATATCATGCAACTCAGAAGAGTCTGCGTTTTGTGGTGATGGTGGCGGCTCGTCAGGATAAAGTATCAAATTATTTTTTCTTTTTTCTTCGATTCGCCAGCGGTTGGAGAATTGAAAGTCGGCCTCACACGGCGAGATCGGTGGAAGGGAGCGCTCCGAGGAAGAATGAGAAGACCTAGGACGGGAAGTCCATCGTTCATAGATCAAGGGTCCCTGTCGCAAGAGGATTGAATTGTGGAGGATATGGTTAAAATGCAAAACCATGTCAACGACGGTCAACAGGCTTTACTGCGCAGCAGTCTTCTCGTTGTATTCTTTCGGCTTGAGCTCGGCGTCCTGGCCAGTCATTCTTCTCGTGAGAGCTCTCTCGACTTTGGCACCGAGGGCAAGCTTGCTCAGATCGGCCGTCTTCTGAGCGCTGGGGACGAAACGCTGAGCCTGGAGCTTCTTTTGCTCCAATCTGTCAAAGCCAGCGTTCCAGGCCTTGATGTCGGCAACGCGAGGGTCGTTGGTAGGGGTAGAGGAATCCATCGAGTCAACGGTGGGCGACATGGATGGCGCCTGGCTCAAGGTAGAGTAACGTTGAGAGTTTCGAGCAGAGGTCTGAATTGCGACGAGAAAGAAGAAACAGAGTCAATAAAAATACTTTGTAATGAAGCAGGTGAATGCAATGTGTGAGCAGTGAAGGGTGGAGAGTTAGTAGGTTGGAAGTCTCATGGCCCAAGAATAAGCCAGCGAGCGTGAATGTGTGGCCACTGCGGCCACAAGAGGAAATTTCCACAGGGAGAGGGAGAAATGCACTGACATCGCTCAGCATCGGGCGGGAAGACTCAAGAGACCGGCCCATGGTGAAAACGTGGTAGCGACACTGCCGAAAGCTTGGAGAGGATGGTGATTTGAACCAAGTAAAACGGCTATAGGGTTGTAGGAGAGAAAGTGGACGCTGACTACGAGGCTAGTGGGATCGCGAAAGCTTCCGGATCAGAGGTGACTCGTCAAAGAAGAAGGGTTTTGTTGGTGGAGGATGGATGATCTCGCTCCTATTATCATTTCACATGAGATCTACTGTATTAAAGAACGTCCCTGAAAACGTGGAGTGGGGCGAATCTTAGGCCGCCAGACGTTCGTGCGACGTAGGAGGCTGGTGACCGGAGAGGGAGTGCGTGAGACTTGGAGGTGTGCGAATGGTTCCCCAGGGAGCCCAAAGGAAACAACTCGCAGTTTTGAAGGCCACTCACCACGAATGAAAAAAGTTGTGATTGATTTGTTATGCGCTTTGGCAGGAGCCCTTTCTATGGCACATTGATTGTCACTTTATTATTCAGGGACTAATATTTGTGGAGGCTCAGGAGAGATCGATATATGTCCGATTTGTTCGCCTGGGGGCTTGCCCCTTTAGGCAGGGCTGCGGCCCAGCTCTTGCAGCAAGGTCTTTGCACTGTTATTGGTGCAGGTCCAGGCTATTTCCCCTTGTCTATAGGTATACGAGAGGTATGATTCGCCGCTATCACTAGCCATGTTCAGGGAAGAGCAGAGAGCGAGATTTGCCGAGCACGTGGCACTAGGCCGAACTCTCTGGCTAAATCCCAACCATCCCTGCTAACTCCAACTGCCTTTTCTCCCCCTAAAAGGGTCCGTCGCGCGATGATGGTGAAACGGACTTAGTTCGTACCTGTCCTGGCGCGCCATCTGTGCTCTGGTGCTACACTACTCTTTGTAAACAGAATCTCACTGCAAAACAGTTAGGAGTCCTGGCAAAATGTACCGCGTCCAGCCAAGGGCCTGAGACACGAGTCTATTTCGCCCTTGCAGAATCTTCTCAAACTCTCTTTATAGCCGAATGGACCAAAAAAACAACAAGCGCAATGAAGCTGCTTGAATCCCAACGGCCATTTCATGTCCTAGCGAAGAAGAATGACTGCTACTACCATAAGGGGGTGTGAATGTGCCTTCAAGCCAGGCCAAGTTCAGGGTCAACTCGTGCATGCTATATTGGACAGCGCAGGATCCTCCACTCATGTATTCTTGACCGCCATGACTCCTCGCATCCGTTCGCAATAATACCTCGCTGCCAGGCTTGACTTGAGGTCAAGGAAATGGGCCGGCATAGACAAAAGATTAGAGCCAAACCATCCTCATCACTACTGTTTGTAGCGAGCCACCTTCCATCGTACAAGCGGCAATACAAGAATGGCAGACCCCAGGACCAGGCTCAGCGAGAACCACCCAATTGATGGCCTAGAGAAATAATTTAAAATGGTAGAAAAGTCGATAGAACCCAGTCTCATCGCCTCTTTGGAGCAGCTGTGCTTTCGCTTGCGCTTCGCCATCACCAAGAAATTGTCACACTCCTTTAGAAGATCGGGAAAATCGATAGAGTCGGCATCCTGGACCTTTCCTTTCCTACCATCGGCAGCAAGCTGCTTCTCCAAGTGAGATTTCACTTCCACGATAGATTTGTATCTGCCATGCCAGCAACCATCAATGAGGGGTCCAAAATCAACGGTGTCAAGTGTTGGAAACTCGCAATTGGTAAAATGTTGTACGATTGTTACAGGGTCTAATCCATCAAAAGGAGTATGCTTTGTTCGAATGGTATAGAGGCATGAACCAAACGCAAATTGTTCACTGACTGGACTGGCTATGCCTGGCGTACCATCTTTGCTGCGTCGACAAAATCCGATGGGAGATGCCTGGAGTTCATGGCCGTAGGGCACAGTTGTATCAAAATCACTGAGCTTGACGTTTCCACGACGGTCAAGTAGTATGTTTGCTGGTCGTAAATCCCCATGAACGAGCCCAAGATGCTCGAGCCATGCGTCAGCTTCTGCTATTTGCAGGATCCATTTATTCTCCGCTGCTATCTCGATCGGATCACTGTCATGACGATTGATCCGCAATTGAAGATTGTCGAATAATCGTTCCATGAATATACCCTCTGGTTCAAGGCGAAGAGAGCGGACAATGTTCGGGTTTGGATTTTTCATCAGCACATTATACACCTTCTTCTCTCTCTCTATGGATTCAATGCGCGATTCGCTAAGAGCCACTTGTTCAGGACAGGCGTTCCTTATTATGATCGGGACTTTGATAACGACGTGTTCTGTGGTAGTGAAGACGTAGCCTGACGCGCCAGAGGCAAGGAGATTGTCAGCTGTTAAAGATGAGAACGGCGTCCATAGATATGCCATCGCAGCAGTTATTGCGGCGAAGATCCGACGTAGAAAAGAACACAGCTACGTCGCAATCTGGAGGTTGAGCACAGTGTACTTTAATTGATAGACATTGTGCTTATAAAGTTACCCATGCTCAGATATTCAATTGAACAAGCGGTCTCACAGCTGGACAACCAACCTCGCAAGTAAAGTACCTATCGTAGTAGGTACCTTAGGTATAAAAATGTAGAATTCAGGTATATAACTCTATAAGACAGTTTTCCCAGGCGAAGTTTAGTGAGGACGGCTCATTTCATGCATATTTCGAGAGCCATCTTTATCCTGTCACGTTCTGCAGCGTTAGGCCAAGGCAGCGGTGCCATCGAATCAATCCCGCTCGACTGACTGGGGTGCCTACACGGGTTTTAGACAAGGCTGATACTGTTGCGTATCGCGAGCCTTGACCTAATTGGTGTCTGTTGCTTCTACAAATAACATTGATTCTTCCCATCATGGGAGCTTCCTCGTCGAAGACGCTTGATATCGAAGTGTCTTATACCACCGACAACTGGTTCTGGTCGGGCTTGGGTTGTATTTCCATTAACTCCAGCTGGCAAGGGCAACTCGAAGCCCAATCAACTGAGGTGATAGCAAGACCACACAGTAGAGAGAAATCAAAACCAGCAGGCACAGGTGCTTCGGCCGTAAAATTTATTTATGCTGATGAGATAGAGAAAAGTAGCGGAATGCATTCATATAAAGTGTTTTTTACTCTAATTGGCCTCATTGCTCGGAGTAAGCTCGCTCCATATGATTGCTCTAACACCAGGAATATGGTCACTTTATGGGAACCCAATCCAGGAAAGCCTTGTCGAGTATACATTCAGTAAATCAAACTCCCTTCTTACAATTTGAATACAATCATGGGCTTTGAGTATCATAATTTCTATTTCTCATATAGACGGTAGCCTCCACTAAAAGGAGTTGCTTTGCAAACATTACGCTCATAAATACAAATTTCCTCCAACGCGTGCCGTCCAATTCTAGCATTAATATTCGTTTCTCATGAATGTACAATATCTAGCTGCACTGCAAAATATCCATCGCTAAGATTTGCACACGACTGCTGTCGCTTTATCCTTGTCTGCATTGCTTCCCCAGCTCCTGGACATAATATATCATGGCAATATCGCGCCAATCATGTCAACGCAGAAACTCCCAAAAGTGTGTTGTGATATTATCACCAAAGCTCATGTCGAAAAAGTCAAACGCGATAGTCGGTATGTCCTGTGCGACGAGGAGACCATGTCCCTTAGAAGGGCAACAAAAAAAAACGTTTAGGTAAAGTCCACCCTTCCTCCGCCTCGCGAAGCTTGCCGTGCTCTCTCCGCACGTCGTCGGCGCCGATTGTTTGCAAAGTCTGCGCTGGCTTCCGTACCGGTTCCGTCATAGGTCCCAGTTACTGTGCCCGGAGAAGCTATACTAGTCCCGCCGAGGACAGTGCTGCCCATCGGGGGAGGTGGCATAAGACCGGCAGCGCTTGAATGACCCCCGGATTGCGCTTTAGCTCTTTCAATGTCTTCAGCCTGCGCACGCTCAATGGCTTCGGTCCTTCGCCATCTTTCCCCAGGATCGGTTCTCGATAATTCACTGGCACTTCCAGCCCGATAGCGGCTGCCTGACTTTTCCCGCCTTCTGGCCGCTCTCTCAGCAGCGGCTTCCTGTTCGGATAATCGGCGGAGCGTGACTTGTCTCCTTTCATTGTCAATGTTTAATTTGACCGAGACGGGGGGCGAAGTAATGCTATGATCTCCGGCACTTTCTCTTCTTGAGCGGTCCCTGCGTCGACCTGCTTCATAAGCTGCTGCTCCGGCTCCCAAGCCGGCGGCAGCGGCGACAGCATCGCCTGGCAAATGGTGACGATGATGAGGTCGACCGCCAGGCGAAGTATAAAGCTCAGAACCTGAAGACTCTGGATGGAGAACACCTTGTGGGTCTGGTGGCATTGGTGGCATGGCTGCAGGCGGAATAGAAGCATGCGAGTAGTTGGCACGGGAAGGATTCAGCTGGCTCGAAGCTGCTGCAGAACCAGCCGCAAAACCTCCTCCTGTTGGTAGAGTACTCTGTGATACGGGTGGAGGGATACCATGATGATGAGAGAAAGCAGTATCTGTTTCAGTCAGGTCTGTGGTTTCTGTAAATGAGCCTCTTCGTCGAGGAGGCGGGGGAAGACCATCTCCAGTAAATCTGCGGCTGTTGGCTCGGGCTAGGCGCTCATCCTCAATCTCTCTTTGGCGAAGGTCTTCTAGCCGGCGCTCTTCTTTCCGCTCGCGACGTTTCCTAAAAAGTTCTCTCATAAGGCCAAGCGCTCCAAGGGTTGCCAATCCGTCTCGGACAGTGTGATGTTCTCGAGGTCTTGCATTTCCTGTAAAGCTTGTTTGGCTAGAAATAGAGCTGCCGCTTACACTGCGTCGATGAAAAGGTTCGTGGTAACTCGAACGTAAAGGAGACGGGCGACCCTCCTCAACCCTGCTCAAGCTGCTTTCTCTGATTGGATGCGCGCCACCTAGCGGAGCTGTGTAGTGGTCAACATCGCTGTCTCTCTCATCTTTTTTTCGTCCAAATAAGTTCTTTGCAAGCGCGAGCCCTCCAATTAAAGCTCCTCCTTTTAACAGACGATCTTTCCAGGTACCGTTGGCTTGATCGACATCTGAGTACTTTTCGTGCTCAATGTAGGAAGCTGACGGCCTACGGGAGACCCTGTCCGTTGTAGCACGGTTTCTCGATCGACTACGGCGCCTGCTTAAGCCAGCGAGAGCCGCTCCTGCCGCGCCAGCGGCTGCAAGCGTTCCGAGACCCCCATGGTTATGAGTGTGGTCCTCGGTCACTTCTGTCGTTGGACCTGAGATATAGCTTCCTCTCCCGTCGTCAGTGATCACAGGCTGGCGAATATATGATAGGATGAAATATGCCAAAAGGAAAAAAAATCCGGCTAGCGCGTAAAGAACGAAGAGCACAACTGGAGAGCCGTATAAGGTCAAGCCAAGCCCAATTTGCACAAAGCCCAGCAGCGCTAAAGCCCGACCTATCCACTGGTGGAGCTAAATTAAACGTTAGAATGCTTTTCAAATTAGGCAATCAAGCAATAAACCTTCACGAACCATTAACTTCAACGGGATCCGTGTCCTCAATCTACCCTTTTCCCGAGAGTGAACCCACCAGCCACTGATGGCTTGGTAAAGAACGATGACGTAGATTGCCAACCCGATTCCATGATGCGGATTTGTCAAACTCCGCTCTGGACCTACAGCAAACCACCCAAGTATGAATATGACAGTCGTCAACCCCACGGTCAGAATCTGCAGCCAGATGTGAAGTCGAAGGGCCCATCGCGGCTGCCGATCATAGAATCGAGCAATAAATATAGCCGAGGGCACGATGAGAATGAAGACTATCGCTGCTAAAATACCATGTCCAAGGATCAGGGTATGGTATTGTGGCACATCCCGGAAACGATTGCCCATGCCTGTGGTTTTGTCAGATAATAATCAAGAGGTTTGTTTGGGAAAGGAATGGAGCACTGACCATTATAACGCATGGTCGCAAAGTTTAAGCCCATAAGGTTCGGAAGTAGAAATGTATTCCGTGACGCATCCCATGTACCATCACCGACCGACATTGTGTTCGAAGAGTAGCTGCTGCTCCCTGGAGGAGCCAGTTGCGATGCCGGCGACATGACTTGATAGGACGCGATGACCGGGGATCCTCATAAGAAAGAATCGCAGCCTTTTTCTCCGCTCTTTGTCGAAGATAACGCAAACCAGTGCCGAGGTTGCTTTCCGGGGTTTAATGGTAATATTAGGAATTCAAGGTATTGTTCATCAACCTTGATACCGCCTCAGTTGCCTCCGGTGAGGCCGACGGCCAACAGAGCCTTGACCTCCGCTATCCGCCGATGATATTGAGTAGGATCCTCGAAAAATGTTTCGATCCTCCAAATCAAAATCCACGCCTCGTGGAAGGTTTCGCAGCAAGATGAGTGAAACCGTCTGGAATGAATAAGGAATGACCAAGTATCAACAGCAGGGCTGGATCATTGACATTTGGGTGGGATAGTTGGCAGAGGAAACGGTATACCAAATAAGGTATAGCCCCGGGGAAGTTGGTTGGCCCATCGACCATGGAACGAAACCTTAGCACTTGAGCCCCAAAACTTGTGATTCCACGACATCCGCGCCTAGGAGCTCGCTTTCGAATCTTTACTGTCGAAAGTTTATTTCAATCGCACAGTTGGAAGTCCAGGGGAAGCGTCAATAAGTTGTTTTCAAATCCATGTAGTATTTGATCTCCCCTCACAGTGTGCGTGTTCAATAAGTGATATCACGTGGTCTAGCCTCCAATATGCTACGATTCTAAGCGGGAAGTACAACTTGAGAGGATAGCCTCATAACATTGCTTTGAAGATTTATTTCTCGGGCATCTCGAATGAAAGGCTCAGCCAGAGACATTCGATCTTTCTGACTCGTTTTTGGAGGGCAGCGGCTCTGTTAATGAGTTTCCGTTGGTCAGATAATTGAATTTGGCTCTTCCACCATATAATATACCTCTGGCCCGTCTCTTTTCACAAAAGTTCTAAACGCCAGATGCATGACGGACAAACAAAATTATTTATTAGATATTCGCTGAAGCGCTATCTCCTCTAACCCTATTTCTGAGGACTGAGATGTGCATTTAGTTTTCATCATCTCGCGGTCGACCAAGGTCTTGGTAGTTTGAATTGGCCGTTCGGGAAATTATATCCCGCGGAAGAGAACTTATTAGACCCTCGCAATGCATCAGTGTCCGTGCTCATCGATCCGCTTCCGCAGCTCGTAGATTCTCTGATTTCTTCTTATCTTTAGACGCAGAATGAAATGAAAATGGTATCAGACCTCCTCCCACATGATTTCTGGAGTGGGAAGCGCTGGAGGGCCTGATGTGGTGATGTGCTTCACGCTGCAAGTGCTCTCGCTCCTTTTCTGCCTCAAAATTCGCATTAATTTTGCACGCCAGTCTAGGTCCAGCTAAGAGGATTGAAGTTGCCAGCGGCATTTGAGGAATTATCTGCTTTTCTTTCCCTATATACAGCGTAAGCTGCCAGAACCGAGCATATATTTCAATTCTCCTGGCAATAGACTACGCACGAATTATAATATATCGGCCTTGTTTCATGTCAATTCTTTAGTATCTGTCGTCTCCAATGAGGGTAAATGGGGAAGAAAATGTGAGTCTTATGTCGGCCTGAGCTGAGGGTTTCCCTGTTGTCAGACCAACCCAAGCCAGGGGCACCTTCGGTTCTCACGGAGTTTTATTTTCAAATAATCGCTCGTAGAGAACGGGGACAAAGTACCATACAGGCCTTTGCATCGTTGAGCCGGGCGAAAGGATCCACCAGGCAAGCCGATGTTTCCGGAAACACTTCGTGGCAGTCGTCATTCGCTCATCACCAGTCTAAGGGTAGAAATTGCTGCTTGGGCGAGTATTGAAACTGCAAGCATTTATGATGTATCTAGGTTTCTTCAGAACACAAGTACAATTAAATGTGAGCAATATTCAAAGTTGGCAATGTTACGAAGAGTAATTGCAGATATGCAAAGGTAAATGAAACAAGGAACAGACGTTGGGTAAAAGGTTGCACCGATGATCTGCCGACGTAGATAAGCTCTCGGCGACATTGAAAGACCGAGATGAGAAAGATTGATAGTCAACTCAGTCATTCTCATGGCGAAAGTTAGTAATTGCACCATTTGATGCGTGCCCAACCCCTTAGCGGAGCCGTTGAACAGGCGATGTGCCCCCACCTTCTTTAGCAAGATGGCCGAAGATGAAATCATCTTTTCGCAAGCTGTTCGAATCAGGAGCCATCGGACAGGCCTGGAGCTGGGCCCTCCAATGGCTCGGGGGTACCTATCGATCCCGGTAGGGCGTGCGTTGCTGTAGGGGCCCTCGGGGGAGGAAGGAGATGATCTTGACCACCAACGAAGATCTATGCGACCGAGACCCTCTCAAGGTGCGTCGGATACACTTGCGCTTAGCAACAGTTGAGCACTGGCTTGATTACTCACGGACCTTTCTCGGATGAGGTAAGACACCTATTCCGGGGTTGCGAGCTTACTTTGCACCTTGCCCCTGTCTGGTTTAATATTGACACGGATTGGCGGTATTTGATGGTAAATCTACGCCCTCTAAATACGATGGACTGAATGGGACGCATGGACAAAGGGTTGCTTTTGCCGGGGTCAAGACCCAACGCAGCGGACGAACAAGTGATGATTTAATTGACTGGACATGCTAAGGCGAATTCATGAGGAAAAATACAGTAGGTGACTGTTTACTGGCTAAGATCAAATAATGGGAGCCATAAATCTGGGATTTGAGACGGCACAGCAAACAAAGTCCAGGGGACCCGCTCCTTAGATTCTCCGTTCTCCTGTAGGACCACCCAACAGCACGCGGGAAGCATGGGAGAAAGTGGTCTAACTTGGCGCCTCAACCGCCTCTCGACGAATACCACCACCTCTCCAAGCTCCCGGGTTTGAGGTTCGTCCCACTTCCAATGAAGCCCCCATGATCATTTTATACGGGGACCTTCTACGAGTACTCCGTATAACATGAAAATGCAAATCCTTGCCTACTCGTAGACGCATTGCGTTTTCGAGACACGCTATCCTCTATGCTTACCCACATTTCTGTTCCCAGCAGGGGCACTTGGCACAGTACAAGCTCTGATTACCTTAAGTCAAGCGGGGCTATGTACCGCATTTTTACACAGGCCCTGGTTCATGTGCGAAAATCTCGAGGCTTAAGTAAACAACAGTCAAACTGTTGCAGTGACTTACCGTCGTCAAAGAAGCCGATTGCCGAAATCAACACTCCCCTTACCTAAACAAAATGGCCGCACTCTGGCAATCCCTGAAGACATACAGTAACATGGGATGAAAGGATGCGCAAAGAGGAAGCTTTATGGATTATCAACAATGTGGATTGGGTCGGCGCCGGAATTATCAAAGGTGATTCGTCAGTAGTCGGTATGCGATCAGTAATCTACATTACCTCAACGAACAAAACGTCTCTGCAGAAAAATGCCAAGACGAGCGAAGCACTGCCGCCTTGACCCGCGACCCTGCCGAGCGATGACGTTTCAACCCCAAACCAGGGACCAAAGACCTCCTGCCCCCCTTCCGAGCCTCCCATTGCGGCAAGGAGCTTGAGCTCTGAGCTCCGACACTCCGAATACTACTCCGTACACTGCGCTATAGAACAACTGATCAGCGTGGAAGAACTTGCATCCCATCAACTGTAGCGTTTTCCCCTTGTAGCCCGAAACCGAATGGCCTTCTTTGCTCTCCGCCACCGGTGTCAGTTAGGTAACATTCAAGAAAGAAAATTCCCGGACACCCTTACAAATTGCTTTTGACTAATCGGATGTGTCATGAATTCATTTTTACCTTTTCTCTTCTTCAGTCCGCCACTCCTTTCCTTGGATGGAATGGATGGTCTGGCACCAACCTGGGAAAAGGTGGTGCAGAGAAGTGATGGGGGAAAGCAATGCTGCTACCGGGAATGGCGGTACGAACCGTCTCACTGCTGTTTGACCCGGCAGCTCTGGATCTTGAGTTTGGTGCCAAATCCACCAACGAGATACGCGTGACAAGGAAGCTTTCCGGGGCTGCCGAGAAGACGGCGTCAAAGCTCGCCCACAGCGGATCTCGACGGTATCTCCACCATGGGCTCAGCCTGACCTCATCCTAATGGATTGTAAGCCCTTCTAAGTTTGCTTATTCTCTCTTGTTAACCTCTCCCGAAAAGGAGCACGGTCCACTGAGCCGTAAGCTCCCTTGTTGCTGCCATGTCAGCCTTCTATGTAGTCCATGGGCCCGTGTATCCTCACCTACTCTTCCTTTAAGCTCTATGCGGCACATCTTGGGCGCAAAAGGTCTCTAGAAGCAAAGAGACCAAGATTTATCGCAGACTCTCAACTCGGAATCATATCCTCACTGCGCTTGCTAGCTGCTCTCTGCAACACTTTTTAGACCATCAGGGAAGCTTTGGTCTGGATTATCTTTCTTTTTCTCTGCATATTGCGGAATTGGCAAATGGAGCTTCCGATACTCAAGTTAAAGATTTAAATAAATATATGGACTACTTGGATTGGCCCGCTCCTTGACGATGGCAGCCGGCTCCAACTGGAAACGGCCATGGGAAGACGATGATAAGAGTCGGCATTACAATCGCCGGCGAGCAGACTCAGATTCAGCGAAGCCCCAAGGAAACCTCACTCGCAACCCTCCATTCTTCTGGCCTGCTCAAGTCAAGGACGAAAGGAAACTTGCTCCAATCGCCGAAACACTTAGGCCTCCAGCAAACTCTCCACATGGTGGGCAACAACAGCCGCTTTATATGCCGGCGGCAAGGGAAGCAGAAAGGAGTTCTTGGGGATCGGGCACTCAATTTTCAGGATCGCCGAAGCGCCAGAGGATTCAAATCGAAGCTGGACGTGGCTTACCTAGTTCCAGACGGCTATCCGAAAGCGCGCTGAAGAAGCATACGGCTGGCATTCCTGGTATTGTTAATGATATCGCTTCCTTATGGCTGTGTATCACGCGCTGAATAATCTCTTTCCCAGCTCTCCCCGCACCTCCGTTGGCCCCGATCTATACACCGTTCGTGAACGAGCATCAAGAATATACACGCCCCAAACCGAACGGTATTAGTCGGTCTGACGATCGATTGACTGGAGTTGATGCTTGGAATGGCGTCTCGACGGATTGCAGCACTTGCCGGGATTTGCACGGGATTGTCCAGGAGACGTTGACTAGCCTTGTACTCCTGACTACGGAGCTCCATCATGGCCGAACCCCTGGGTTGACAGAACTCTCATCAAATAAGGTACAGATACATTCGTTGGGGTGTATTTGCCGATCTTCACATTGTGCTCACTTCTTCGACAGGTTCCAGACGTAGCTTCTATCGGGTTGAAAGAGTCCATGGAGTGGGCTTTGGAGATACTCACTAGAGCTATGGTTCTTGCCAAGCGCCCTGCCTTTAATGCTACAGTGCCTGTCGCCGCTGATCCTGGCCGTATCAACATACTGCCAGGTGTTTCGAACCTTGGACCTTCTCCGTCAGAACTTTCTCGGAGGCGGGTTGAGGGACCTGAGGTTGAAAACGAAGATTTATGGAAAGGCATCCGCTTACTTAACTCTGCGCATGATTTCCCTCGCAGCCAGGAAACCCAGACGACGGACGAAAGTTGTCGAAATAGTTTGGCAGGTGATCTTCCGTCACTGTCAACTCATTCTCCGCCGCGAACTTTGTCGTCTTCTGGATCAGTCTTCATGAATCTTCACTCTCCTGTGCAGAGTGCGCCATTGACTCGATTACTGCCCTCGCCTTCCTCGCTCAACCTGTCTTCGTCCCAGCCAGCTTCCGGTAGTTCCCCGAACATAGCCCGTTCAGATGCTGTACAAGCTGCTCACTTGGGAGATCTTCAGCATCAAGTGAGTACCAAGACATTGGCCCTCCAGACGCTTCAACAAGAGCATGATAATGTGCTTGGTGCACTCTCTCGATCACGAACTCGCTGCGCGGCTTTGGAAAAGAAATGCCAGGCTTCTGAATCCGAGTTCAATTCGCTAGCTGAAGAGCGCTTGAAGTTGCAGGGCCAGATTGAGAATTTGGACTCGCAAATTGAAGAATTAATGAAAAGCCGCGATGAGGCCAGAAAGCAAAGTGTTGCGAATGGTGGGCAATATATGAAGATCATGGCCATGGCAGGGAAGCTGGAAGCACAGGGATCAGCCGACCGACAGAGGTGGAAGTTGAAAGAGGAGGAGTGGGAGAAAGAAAGATGTAAATTGAAAGAAGCAATACGGAAACTTCAAGCCCAGCTCTCCTCTGAGAACCATGGTCGAGACCAAGAACCCTCTGCTCACATCGACGCAGCTGGACCCGTTTCTTCTCCTGGTACAAGTGACACGTTTCCAACTGAGTCTCATGAATCCGATACAAAAACACCTGTTACTTCCGTTACTGTTACTTCACCAGACGCAGCCATAGCGGGCGATGCCCCAGAGATCTCGACTATGTCCACATCAGAGGAACTTCACGCGGAGATATGTAGACTGCGATCCGTTTGTCGTGGAATGGAAGCTGCCCTACGAGATATACAAGCCGAGACCCGGAGCGTGGAAGCCACCGCGCAGGCATTCGGGTCTTTAAGCAAAACTATCATTGAACGAGTTGAGAGCGCAGTAAATGCCTGAGCTCCGAGGTCGGCCGGCGGAAAGCTGCCTTGGACGAACAATGACATTTCCGTTTGCGCTTCATATACGTCCTGCTAATTGGTGATATGGAAGTCATATTATTATTGGGTCATATCGCACGAGCTTGGAACCGGAAGGGGTTCTATTATCCAGAATAAACTCAGTGTCGGCTTTGAATGGGCATTGGATCAGGTATGCCAGCGGGAATTATATATTCTGGCGGCGCGAAGCTTTTACTGTATATACATACACTTTTGCTTTCCATAATTCTGACTTTTACAGGAGTTGTTCGTTTTGTCTTTTCCTTCACAGACTTTGTCCGTTCATTTTTTCTGCATTGGAGCAGGATTCTAATGAGAAGATGACGCTCTCTATCCGCGTTCCGGTTTGTTCCGGTTTGTTCCGGCTATTATATTGATATCTTATTTTGGCCGCGCGTTTAAATGTTGTGTTAGTTCAGACGATAGCGGGACTGCCGTGTATTGCTTCTCATAGTGGGCAGAGGCGCCATGACACAGACGGGCATATGACGTGCTTGCTTTGATTGATAAAATCAGTTACTATTCGCCAATTTGGCCGCTGGCTGCGCCCTCCATTTACCGCCATGACACCTTTGCAAATTTGAAGGATCAACATTTGGTTCAGCAATTGAGCGGCAGCCAAAGCTACGTGGCAACGCGGGGAATGTTTCCCGGAGAGCTAGAATCTTGAATATAACCAGCTACGTACGCGCATTTTGTTAATGTGCATATGGAGGAAGCGGTCGAGGAAGAAATTGCTAGTCGAGGTTGAAGTGAAAAAAAAAAAAAAAAATGAAATGTGACTTACTCTGCGACGACTTGTAGAGTCGTCGTGCTCGAAGGCTTGTTCTGTCATCTCAACGATACGGAGCGTTGGTACAAATTTTGCTATATTTGGTCCAAGGATCAAGAAACTGATCAATAATCTAAAGAGGAGCCAGCAGAAATCGAATTGGAGTAATGCCAAGGCGAAGCTCGCAATTACGCATAAGACTTGTCAAGCTTTTCTCGGGTATATGGATCGCTATTAACATGTAATATTTTGTTTTGCCGGATAAAATGATCCGCTGCAGCGAGCATGCACCAAGCGTTCAAGGTTTCGCGCCGGCGATCCGCCGGGTCTTTGCGGCCAGCTAATCGTGCATTTCACTCTCTCCTACGTACATCCCAGCCCGAATCTCCCTAATAATCCCACCGGCTGACCAGATGAGATTTTCCTGCCCACCGGGCAGCACCCATATTGCATCTGAAATTTTCTGGGACGCCGAGTTCCAAAGTTATGAGACGTGAAGATCGTGGAGCCGCCTATCCAGCTACTGATGTGGGTCCTACTTGCAGATGATGATATGGAGCAGGGAATGATGAGGTCTATCTGGCTTCAACCTTGCTTTGAAAGGCAAAAGTATCTGGCATCTCATAACTGCAGGATAGTGCTAACTTGTCCTTTGACCGTCCGCCAATATTGCCAAGCCAAGGCTTATGCGTTGACACCACCACTAACTCCTTCCATTTGCACAACCCGAGCAACTGATCTGGCCCTTGAATTTAGGATCGAGCTCAGTTCCAATTGCAGTATTCGGACCGCTAGCCGGTCAAAAATCATTCAAATAGACTTTTGCTTGAGAGATCGACCTTTCCCTTCTCCTGATTCACACATGATGGATGGATAGACCTTTGAGAGCTTGTTGAGGCATCTATAGACACTTGGAATTAAAGGCCTCCTATTTTCACGGCTTTGGGAGCTCCTTCTCCACCCACCACCACCAAGACTCCAGGAAAATCAATCCTTAGACTAGAGTTGTCGTTATCAGGTTGGATGTCCGTTCCTCTGCGAGTGGGTGGCACAGTCGCTTCCTGACGGGAGGCAAGAAGGCGGTCGGACATGATACATGACACGTGCTCGTGCCAGGGCAAATGCCAAGGTGCGGCAAAGTCTATAGAGAGAACAAAGGGTCACAAGCAGAGCAGTACTGAGGGTGTAGACCGGACGACGCTTCCCTTCCCCCAAGCATGATAGAGCATCTTGTAAACACAACGTCGCTGTTACCTCCTTTTCGTAAAACCTCCCTTTGAACTAGCCCAGACAAAACGGATGGCGACGAACCATTAATATGACCAACCGTGGCTTGCCCCGACTCTTCCAGGATTCCAGGAGACCCGGCCGCTAGAACTGGTAGTTATGGCCCGTTGGCGTGCGTCTTCTAATACATACCTGCCATTCACTTCGACACTGGAGAGAATGAAATCCCTACTCTTTACTGTCTAAGATGCTGCAACTTCGGCAATCCAATTCTACTCCTGGTGCAGATCCGCCGATCGTGTCCATTCTTGTCTCAATTTTTTCCACGGTCGTATGGCTCAATAGGGAAGAACAGAGAAGCCATAATGCCTTTCCATAGTCGACTTGGCTCAATTTCTGAACCTTGACAAGGGGATTATTTGCTGTTGAGCGTGGGTCATGGGACGAGGGGAGCACTCTGCTTTTTGCAAGAGTGACCAGAGGAGACTTACAGGGAGTAGAGATCCAGAACTCAACCGGGGGCATAACTAACCTAAAACTTGCATACCGGAATATTATTTATGCTCTGCTACCTGTTGCTCGCTACCCGTGGACGTTTTGACCGTTGGTGTTAGCTCACCTCTAACCTCTCGATAATAACTTGCATATTCGATCAGTCTCATCTCAACAAGTACTCCCTCACACACGCATTTCTTTTTCCATGTGACGTCTCAGAGACTGGAGATAAATCTCCCAGCCCAAGAGAGATGACTTAGCTCAACAAAGAAGCTCAATCGGGGCTTCGCATACGCCTCTCTATTGTACTGTGCCATCTTTGCATGGCAATCTTCCTTGTACTGTCCTGGGCCCTTGTCAAATAATACAATTTCACCTGTATCATGGCACGCCATCCTCCGGGACACCCCCGGACGACTCTTTCTCGTTAAATGGGACCGAGGGGGACCACACAACGCCAGTCGATCCATCTCCTGCAGACTAGGTCATTGGCCCCATGTCGACCATGTCGACCTGTCGATCAAAGGGCCCAGGATCTTCTTTCGCCTCGTTTTCTCTGGCGGTGCGGTCATCCGTTATGCTCCGGCCGCCATCGTCTTGTTTGCAATCAATCCGTCTTTGGTCTTTCATTTCGTTACTTCATCTATTGCGCTTGTGTCTTCACTTTTATTTTCTGACGGGCTGATCTGCGACGTCGGAAGGCGGAAATGCCCGGCATGTGGCTTTGATCATTACGCCAGGCGTTCCATGTCGATGTGGATTGGATGTCCAAGGGCAGAGCATCGGTCGGCCAACTGCTCTGATCCAATCGTCCCCGCAGAGCGACATCCCTTGTGCGCAGATGGGCCTTGAAGCTGGGGTGGGTAGAGGAGGAAGAAAACCAAACATCAAATGGGAGCGCGTCTTCTCACCTAGCACCTGGCACCTGGGCACATGGGAGCATTGCCTAGCGCTCCCATGGCCCCTATCGCCTACAATTGAACATGGCCTTGAACCCGCGCCACCGTTTTTTTGTTTGTGCAACCCGCTCCACTTTCCAGACCTGATAAATCACTTTTTATTGGATTTTCAGGGGTGCTTGATTGCTTTTGGGGACAGCTTTGTTGGTGGATGCGGGCGTTGTGGTAGATAAGGCTTCGCTCTTTCTCAGTTTCCCTGTCAGTCGTTTGATTCGCATCCGACTTTTGTTGTCCTATTCCCAAGGATAATTAGGCTTCTCAGCCGATTAGAAGATGTGGGAGCTCACATCCGTTCCCACGGTTGGCCGTTGCGGAATGACGGGATGATCTACACATAAAACCGGGAGCATGACGCATTGAATCCTCTGTCCCTGAACAGCCTTTTTTTTTTCTTTTTTGAGAGGAAGACGTTCCTGGGGAAAGTCCGATTATCTATCTCCGTCTTACCTGCCACTAAATTTTTTTCTTTCTTCTCCGATTAACGCCCTACTTTTCTTCAAGATACCTACCCATCTATGATCACTGGGAAAGGTATTTCACCATCAAACATATTCGCCGAGTTTGCCTCGAGTGTCTGTTGCAAAGAGCTGTAGTTTTGATCGAAAAATTTCCAGTGTCCCTTTGAAATGCCCGAAGCTATATAATAAAGCTCTAGAGCTCCTCAAAATATATTCAAAGTCTCTGTTCTGGATGCATATTTTGAAGAATAATCTACTGGAGAAAGAGAACATCACAAGATGGCGAATAATGGGAGCACGCCAGGTTTGGCTAAAGCAAAGGAAGAGGATTACTTTTTAGGAGTGAGTGGTGTAAGTAAGCCCCCTATCTGCCCTCCAAGGAGCATAGCCTCGGAAATTTCTAGTTTTGTTCAAGCTGGTAACGGCAATCCTGGCAACGCAGCTTCCCCCGAGATTCAAATGGCAAGATCTCAAAGACCACATTCGCAAAATCACCCCTCGGATCGGAGCAAACAGCGTTCACGTCCCTGTTCTTCCGACTGGACAAAGCCAGGGAGTTGGCATTGTGCGGATTCGGGGCAAGGATGAGGCTGAGAAAGTCTATGGTAAACTCCCCAGATGATCATTGAAGATAATGCTCGAGGACTTATACAATTTCTTTGAAGTATTTCTTTCGACGCACCCTTGCGACGGGAGCATGCTTCAGGTCAAAATGTGCCCAGCGAGTGCGACAAATCAAGCTCCATCAGGCGGCACATGTCCCCCTCCCATAAGCTCAATGAATCCGGGTGCATTTTCACCCGTGTCTCGGCCGTCAATGGCCGCTTTCCAGCCTGAACCTGCCAAGAACGTCTACATTGTCAATCCGACAATGGATGCTACACCTCTGGCAGTGCCAATGAACCATCCGGAAGTTGCTTTGGGTCGGACTCCCTTCTATGGGCCTCAGTATGCTGCGCCTCCTCTTTCTCCCGGCAATTTCGCCTTCCAACCGGCCCTCCTTGGCCATCCTTTTCCTCCTCGTATGGCCGACCCTGTTCCTTACGCAACGCCACAACCTTTCGTCGTCCCTCCAGCCGCAATTCCCTATCTAGTTCCCGGTCCCGCGTACCCTGCGGGGATGTCAGGGCCAATCTACGCCAATGCCACGGATGGGACTCCGGTCAATGTTAGCCACGGCGCCGTGCGAACAGAGTCCACGAGTGTTTTCATTGGCAATCTGAGCTATGAAGCAAGATGGCAGGACATCAAATGTCTCATGGAACGAGTGGGAAGCGTACAAAAATGCAATCTCATTACAGACTCCAAGACGGGAAAGTCCAGGGGTTGCGCAACTGTCTCCTTCGGATTGGCACAAGAAGCCGAGCAAGCAATTGCTACATTCCACGATACGACATTTATGAATCGAAAAATAATAGTCAGGGCCGATAAGGAAGCGTCAAGTTTGACCACTGGTGGTCGTGTGCGCGGAAGCAACCCAGCTGTTGTATATCCCCTTAGCCAGCAACCTGTCATTGCGAATGGTTCTACGAACTTACGACCGGCTATATATTAGGCGCGCACGCTATGGCATGCATTGGAATTTTGTGAGGCGGGAAAGCTGAATCATGTATTCAAAAAGCTTTGAATTTTCCTGCACAACTTGGCTTATTGGCGGATGCCAGGGAGAAGACGAGGACGAAAACGCAGCAGCATCTTTTCTAGAGTCGGATCTGTATAGTACTGGACCTCGGGTTTCATGTCAAATATTGTATAAGCAGGCGGGCGGATGTTGTCTATTTGATAGAGTGGTCATGTTTAATGGATTTGGAGCACAGCTGGCATGCTCAACCGTAGCTGGCTGTTTTAGACACGTTGTGCTTTTTTGGTCGATTTATTTCTGTTATTTGTGAAGCGAGGGATTTGGGCTGTGAAGAGAGTCTTAGAAGTACGGAACGGTCGACAAAAGTTTATTTTCGCTTTACTTGGCTTTTTTTTAATCTTCTATGCAATATGGGTATTTGTTTTTTTTTTATCTTTACACTGATCTTATTAGAGTGAGGATTGCTTCATTGAGCGCCGTGATTCAAATTTCTGACTTTCAGAATATTGAGTCTTCGGTTGCCCATATCACAGGCAATCGAACTAGTTATTGTTTAGCGGGAAGAGGGAGACGTCTTTCAGTCAACGCGCTTGTTCGGCCAATGTTCCCTAGCAAATTTGGATCCAGTATTTGGTCGCTTCACCTTCATCCTTAACCAATCTTTTGACAATGCTGGCTCTGAACCGATTATTATCACATGCTCATGCCAAGATATGCAATGGTATATGTATATCTCGTGCAGGAGCCCCGAATGTGTTTACCCAACGATTAGCAAGCCGAATTCCGGTCTCTACATCCCTGTGCAGATACAAAACGTCATCTTTACGCTTCCACGCAAGCGTTCATGTTTGCCCTACCTCTTCCGACAAGCTATGGCTCGCATTGAACAACATCTCTCAAGGATTGCTGTAATGACATTTTATTGTCGAACGGCTTATATTATACATATATTGTACGATGAGACCAGGGTTCTTTGTGGTTATTCGGCTTTTTGACGTCTTGCTACCAAGAAGGACTTTCATAGCTTCTTTGTCTCTGGCTGTTGCTAATACAAGTACATGCCTGATTCTTTCTTCCGCCATCCTTTGGCACCAATCGCTTGATTCTCATCTGTGCACTTGTGTCTCAGAGGGTGCCACCAAAATCCCATGCATACTTGATTTCCCGCAATGGCTTGCTTTCATGCTTTCTTGCTTCGCTTACTGATCACTTTGTGTTCCCTGAAGCCCCTAATAGTAATGCGAGTATGGTGTGGGTGCCACTGTCACAATGCGGGGTTGAAGGGAGCCCTCGAGGCTGAGGCTTTGTTGACCGTCAGGGTTGGGCTGAAAGGTAGGGTCACGGCTGGATAATTATGCGCGACTAAGTCTAGCTGGCCGGAAGGTAGTTGATACGTTGTGGCAAGAAAAATATTAGGTCTTGGAACACCTGGTCGATCTGCTGCTTAACTGGTGAACTATACTGGATCGAAGTCACGAAATTTGCTCCCGACAGTCTGTCACCAGAATAAGCCTCCGGCTGCTTCGTTGCTCGGTATCTGTCTCCCAGCCCGAGCTGGATTGGGGCGGCTTTGACACGAGCAGAGCATCAAGACCCAACGGGCGAGGGAGGCACGAAAGCGTTTTCTTTGTTGGCTCTTCTTCCGGAGAAGATATACGAAGAAAAAGTAACGGAACTCAAGTTCTGGTTGACGCCAAGCCACTGGAGAGGAAACTGCACCTCGAAACGGATCTCCTAAGCCGTGCGACGCGCAAAGATCAGAGTCTCCATCGCAAGTCGCAAAATGACCAATCCTACCAAATTGGGAATCTTCGAGCAGCCCGTGGTGATCTATGAAGCTTTCCAGGTGTTGAAGAGGGATACGTGCGCAAAGGGATTGTATCTTTGCAGCAATGGTGGCTGCTGTCCGGATGGGCGAGCCTGTGGTATTACGGATTGCCCTTTGACTTCGACGACTTCAGCCTGCAGCGAAGCGGGCTATACGGTCTGCGATATTGTATATGGAGGTTTGTACTGATAGTGCTTCGTGTTTCGTCCATTGATCGCGTTTTGAATTTGTTTCTTATATTGGTGATTTGCATCCCTGTATCACTGCCAAAAGAAAGCTCCATTCTTTTCTTTTCTTTTATCGCACGTTGGCACTGACTCAATGTATAAAACAGGTGGTTGCTGCCCTTCAGGTTTTGCGTGTGCCAGAAACGAATGTATTCCGCCATCTGGCTATACCATAACATCAGACAATTGCAGCAGCGGCTCGAGGCTTTGTGGGGCCCAGTTTGGTTACGGATGTTGTAGGAATGACCTTGACTGCGGAGTTTCTACCTGCTATCCCAGGACAACTTCCACGATCGTAGCCACTATAACTATCACGACCACGGATTCTCAATCCTCGCCAACCACGGAGCTCAGAGTCGTAACGTCAGTATATAAGCCGGGAACCGCTCCCACAGCAACTGTAAGCTCAACCGCAGGTGTTGTAACAAAGGTGTCCGCAATCCCAAGTACAACTGCTGTTCCAAAGAGCTCTGCACATGCCAGTGGCTCTTCTGGATTGTCTAAAGGGATAACAGGCGCGGTTATTGGCGGGGCAATTCTTCTTCTGCTTATCGCGGTGGTTGTGAGCTTCTTCGTCTGCCGAAGACTGAATCTCATAGTTCGTAGGAGCAAAGCTTCTCAAGCATCGCAGCGTCATCCTGGCGATGGGCACTTTCCTCCTCAATCGTCGACTGCCACGCCATTTCAAGATAACCAGGCAATGTATGCTTCACCGGGGCCAGCAGGCTATTATGCTCCAGTCCCAACCGCGGAGGCTCCGGCAAATGTCCATCCACAACAGGTGCAAGATCCCCGCGCAAATCCGCCATACAATTATGCTCGTCCGAAGCCTACTCCAGACCAGAGCTCCTGGCACGGCCGACATCACTCAGGTGATTCTGGCTTCTCTGATATCTCTTCCTCTCCCCATGGCCGCACTCGATCTCATGACTCTGCAGTATCCGCCATTGGCGGGTATGAGAATTCGGAAGAACACGGCTATCCGAAGCATCACAGCGTCGACTCAAACGTGAGCCATGAACTGGATGACACAGGCAGGAGGGGCATATTCTCGTGGCCGTCTAGACAGCGTTTCCAAGCGGTGAGACTAGATATGAAAATTCCGCCGTTCCACAGGAAAGAAATCCAACAAGGCGTTCAACATGACAGCCTTTGGGAAAGGAAAAGGCTTGCCTCAGTAGAGGAGGGCAGTGCTAGCCAAATTCTGCTCGAATCGATCCCGCCTCACCAGCCACGATAATTGAAATTCACTTTGAAGTACACCGGATAGCTTCGCTTGGGATTGCTAGTATGGACAGGATCTTATAGCATGTGGTATGAAATCGATCTTCATTTTGAATGCTGTTGAATTTTACATGTATTTGTTCATATGTGCAATGGGTTTCTCCCGTATAGTTTTTTTTTTTGATATTGTCTTCAACTCTGGCGCTGCTGGTAATGCTGACGCTCAGGCTCAGTTGCCTTCCTTTCATGAGGCCATTTCTAGAAACAGTGAATCAGAACCTACTTTCCCTAGCCCCGACTTAATTGACGTTAGCGAATTGGATATTGCCGTTCTGCTTTCCTGGTGGCTGGCCTTGCGTGAGGCTGGTATTGATCCTATTCAGGCATCAGTTGAACAATAGCAAACCCCAGCCTCTTCGACTATTCAGGCCATCTGCTACCTTATAAAAGGCAGCTCCCCCGACCTTCGTTCTTACCTTCGTTACAGATATTTCGTTTCAAGCTTGTTTCGACTTGAGGTCTCTGCAAAGGTATGTAGGAGCTCCCCAACTCATCGCACTTTCTCGATTCGGGTCTTGCTAACTTATCATACTCAGCTCCACCTCAACTGTATCCATCAAGCTCACGGCATATCTATCATACACATCAGCCATTAGCAAATACTGCAAGCAACATACCTTGGTCCTTCTCAATGTGGGCTTCAACCATGTTGTCACCAGATTCTCCTGGCTCTCAGAGCATGGGATTACCCCTTGTTCTGCCAATGAATCACCAACATCTGCTTCAAACCGGGCTCGGACGCGCCGCAAGCTCAGCTCCGTTCAACCAATCCGGCCATTGCCAGCCAGAACACACTTTGTTTTATCAGTCTCTTTCTCCTTCAACTGACGATACTCCGTCTAATAACGATGCAATTTTGCGTCCACTTTCCGCTGATCATCCACTTATGGTTGAATTGCGGGAAGTGCGCCACTTTCAAACTCAGCTTCGACGCGTGTATTTCGAATCCGTGTTCGATCTCAAAGAGCGCGGCTATGACAAGAAGCATTTCGAAGACGAGCTCGCTACTTTTGAATTTCTTCATGCTGAATCGGAGCAAAATATCATTGACTTAAGCGGCCAGATCAAGCTCGCTGAATTGGGCTACGCCTGGAATCCTTTGCAGCCATATGGCCATCCATTGGCAAAAGTGCCACTAGGTGGAATGAGACGTGATTCTGAAGTATCTGAGTCTTCCGATGAGAACGTACAAGAGTCTTTACATGAGACTAGAGTTTTCAGAGGACATGACAGAACTCTTGCGAGCCAGTCACATCGGTTCAGCCCGTACTCAAGAAGCACTCGCCACGGCAGCAGCAAACAAAACACCAAGAGCCCCAAGGACGAACCTGTGATTTGGAACGATTCCGAAGAAGAGATCGCTCTTGAACGTTGGTTGCTCACAATGGGCATGCACAATGGCGAGACCTCTCCTTCTCCGTTCAAACTTGAACCTGGACGAAAGACTGGTATTACTGTTTTCAAGAAAGAGTCTCAGGGATGCAAGGAGGAGAAAGACGATGGATACTCTGCCTCTGATGAGCGCGACGACTTCAAGTATCACTCTGGACAGCTTTCTGGGGGAAAGAATCCTCACCATCATGGCAAGATTAGAAATTCCAAATGGACCAAGACTATTGGACGCCGCACTCCAGCTTCAGTGAGCATATCCAAACGCCTCAATCGAGTCCAGAAGTCCAAATCATCCAAGCGTATGTCCAACAAATACAGCAACACAACCGGACTCGGCAGCTATAACTTCCGCAGCGGTAGCAACAAATCCGGTTATTACCGTCGCAGTCGCAGCCCGCCTAGAGACCGTTGCGAGCGATGGGAATCATACTCAGAAGAGAGCAATTCTCCTGTACCCGTTTCCTCTTCCAACTTCCCTCACAGACGGGCAGAACCTTCTTCGCCAGTCTATCTCGCCACTCCGCTTCGATATCCTCCCAGTTTTGTCGGACATGAAAGCTACCCCCCAGACTTGCCCTTGAATCTTAATCGGCCCAGTCTAGTCGAAGAACGACAGCAGCAAGAACAAGCGGAGCAAGAACGGCTTGAGGAGCAGATGCAGGAGGAGCACGATAATTACACTCACTTTATGGACTTTGGTGAGGCGCCTAACAGTGGCAACCCCCTGACAGCTCAACCTGGAGTCATGCGGTACAGTGAAGAAAGAGAGGCCGACGCCGACGCCATGAAGAGAATGATCAAAGCAGAGCAGGAGGTGTTTACTGAACTGGTTAGTTCTTCTTCTCTCTCTGACCGCATGATTCTCGAGCAAGGTCTTTTCGTCAGCAGCCACCCGACCGCTCAGCGCGACTTGTCCGCTAGAAACACGTCTTCCTCCTCCTCGTCGCGTCGTCGGGGCGTTTACTCCTCCAACCCTTGCGATCGAGGCTCCGACTTTGAGAGACGCAAGAACGAAGAGCTCGATTACTACAATTCTTTGGTCCGCTCTTCTCCCCCGCTGACTGAGCGCCGTCCCAACAATTACACTTTCTACACCGACCTTGTGCACCGCCCCCGCCCAGACTTCTGCACCTCAGCTAGCTATCTTCCTTATATGAACCCTACTCCTACCATTAAGGTTGAGGAGGATGACGACGATGATATGTCCGACCTTTAGACAGCTCTCAAGCAATACTTGGCGTGTCTCAGTTCCTGAACACCCTCTCTGGATACAATCCTGCTATCCCTTGGTTAGTTTCCGCGATTGCCGCTGGATACAAACTTGACCGATGACCGATCCGAACACGATTAGATTTCATAACTCTTTCTTCTTTTGTTTTGCTTTTTTGCGCATCCTTTTATTGTTTGCGGATCCTTCTATTGTTTTTTCGGATCCATCTTTGTACTACGCGCGCAATGCCTGTCCGTTCTCAAGGGCATCGACTTTAAATATCACTTAGTATTTGCTCCATTAGCTCCATTAGCTCCATTAGCTTTCGTCCAATAAATATTCTCGTTTATCCATTTTTCTTGGTATCTCCAATTACAAATTACGTATATTGTACACTTAAGACGCCATACGCTTTGTTACTTTGCGACAGTACCTACCATTGTAAGCATGCTGGTTACCAGCGCCGTTGACCTGAATATAGAATCCATTGTCGGTCCATTTCAGAGGTCTGTAAACATGCATGAATGGTTTCTTAGGGGCTCTACGGCAGAATTGTAGCCATAGTTTGTCACACACAGGAAACTGTGAACCACCATACGACTTTTAGACGAAAGTAAATTGTATCTGTAATGGCACTGAAGATGATAGTGTCGTTGATATGATGAGGATAGTGAAATAATGAGATAGAAAAAGAAAAAGGAAGGAAATAAGTCAAACACCCCATAACGCCTCGAAACGCGCAAGTTTTTGTGTCTTTGCCCGACAATGAAAACATTACTCTCTTAGCGCTTTTGATCCAATCATCCAATCCACACTCTCCCCCCATCCCCCCATCCCCCTCCTCCCCTCCGGCGGCCCGGCCCCCCAACCCAAAAGACTTTCAGGCTTGAAATCTAAATCTAGATTGCCCACCGGTAACTAGCATACCGACCTGCCGTTTCAGACTTGCGGATAATCTTGACGACCTGACCTCTTCGGAGGCCGAGATAGCGCGCCACGGGATCGCCGACCTGGATGCGGGGAAGCTGAGTCTCCTTCAGCCGGTAACGTTGCAGGAGAGCGGCCTTTTCGGCCTTGCTGAGCAGGACATGTTTGGGGACGAGTTCGTGGTGCGTAATGTTGACGAGCAGATCCTGCTCGAGAAAGGTCTCCATGATGGCGGGCAGCACGGTGGGGATAATCTTCAGCGCGGCGGGGGTGATGGACACGGCGGTGATCAGGATGCCCGTCATGTAGTTGTGCTCGGCAATGTGGTGGGCAAACGTCCGCATCTGCTTGATGCCCACGTTCGAGTCGCCGTTGAATTCGACCCAGATGGTGCCGATTGCTGGAGGGGGCGGGTTCGGGTTTTGAGGCGTAGCGGGCGTGGAGTACTTTTCGAGCATGGCTTGCGAAGGGCGGGCGGAAAAGGTCATTTTCTTGCGACTTTGGGGATTGTCAGCTTATTTTTCTAACAGAGCCGTCCTTTTTGCTTTTTGTTCTTTCTGTCCGCACAATGATGCCCGTAATTTCCAGGATTCCAGGATCTGGAAATATCGGCTTGTGACAAGAGGGCGGAGAGCTTGTTTTGAAGAGATCAAATCAAATAAGGCGCCTTACTCGGGGAATCCGTCCACACCGGCATATTGTCTCCGAAAGTCGTCGAGCGAGATGCGCAGTTCTTCTTCAGCCAGCTCATAGCCCTGCACAAAAAAGGGAGAGTTAATATGATAGAGCTCTATAATGTTCCCATAGCGTCATTCAAACATACTCGGTCGTGGACCATCTCATGAACAGTTCGCCATGCGCGCCAGAGCCGGGTCAGTTCGCGCTCAGCATCCTCAACCTGTCTCGCTTCCTGATCGCCGGACATTGTGTCTGTATTGATTTGCCGGTCCGAGAGGTTGGGAACACGTGCTGAATGAGGCGATGCGCTGCGTGGAAAAAACAGGGAAGGGACAAAAAACGGAACACCTTTTTTTGGTGATAATGTGAGGATCAAGATGGGAAGTTTCACAGAAAGATTCCGATTCGCAGAATTGCCTGTTTGGGTGTTAGCGTGGAGATCAATTGTAGGGCGACCGGGGGCGACCAATAACACATTGGAAAGTGACAGATTCTCAGGGCGAAATGGACAAGGCGAGAAATTCCCCACAGAAATTATAATCTGAACTGTTATTTATCCACTCCATCCACTCCCACCACGGATCTTACAGCCGGACTCCTGAGAGTTTGAGCATTCCTCCTCGAGAGAGCTATCCCTTTGTTCTCTTTCTTGTCATCCTTCGACCATGGCCGACGTCGCAACGCCCCCGGCCGCCTCGCCGAGTCCTGCAAAGGACACCAAAGCCCCCAAGGTCAAGCCCGAGAGGCCTGACGAGGAGGCCTACAAGGTCAACCTGTCCAAGGCTGAGGCTGCGCACAAGCAGGCTCAGGAGAAGCTGGTGAGATTACCTAGGTTTCCATGATTGTCTGGGTCACCTTGGAAAGAACTGCTGTCATGTTCAGCAAATGTGGTTTTCCGAGAAATGACTCGATCATGGACTGTGTGACTCGAAAAAGGAGCATTGAATGCTGACGTGCAAATCAGAACGCCATCAAGTCCAAGATTGAACTTGCTCAGCCCCCAAGCAAGGACTCCCCCGTCGCCAAGCGCCAGCAAGAGCTCCGTGGTGAGCTCTCCAACATTCGCCAGCAGCAGCAGGGCCTGAAGTCATCCAAGGGCAACCTTCAAGAGAAGATCAAGTCGCTCGATGCCACCCTCAAGTCACGCATTGCCGAGCAGAAGGCTGCCAAGGGCCGTGTCAATTTCAAGAATGTCGAGGAGATTGACCGTGAGATTCAGAGTCTCGAGAAGCAGGTCGACAGCGGTACCATGAGGCTCGTTGATGAGAAGAAGGCTCTGGCGGACATCTCCAGCCTGCGGAAACAGCGCAAGGGCTTTGCCGGCTTCGATGAAGCTCAGAAGGGCATTGATGACATCAAGGGCCAGATTGCTGAGCTCCGCAAGGGTCTTGATGACCCCGAGGCCAAGGCTCTCAGCGAGAAGTACTCGACCATTGCCAAGGAGCTCGACGAGATCAAGGCCAACCAGAACGAGGCCTACAAGAACCTCAACGCGCTCCGTGACGAGCGGACCAAGCTCCACGCTGAGCAGCAGGAGAAGTACACTGCTCTTCGCGCCGTCAAGGACCAGTACTATCAGCAAAAGAAGGCCTTTGCCGACTACGAGCACGAGGCCTACCGGCAACGCAAGGAGAAGCAGAAGGCCGAGCGGGACGCTTATGAGAAGGAGAAGCGGAGAAAGGTTGCTGAGCGCAAGCTCGAGGAGGCCAGTGAGCCTGCTTACCTCGACGAGATTCTGTCCGCCGAGGGTCTCATCCGCTACTTTGACCCCTCATCTGTCGGCACCCAAACTGCTGCTGGCCCTGGCAAGTTTGCTGCTCAGGCCCAGCGTACTGTTGACGACAGTGGCATCAAGGGTACTGCTCTCGTGAAGAAGGATGACCGTGAGGACACCTACTTTGCCGGCACTGGCGGAAAGAAGGGTAAGAAGGGCAAGAAGGGCAACAACGGGTCCTCGCCCGCCCCCGCCGCCGACAAGCTCAACCTCAGCATTGGTATCATTGAGGAGTTTAGCAAGATCAACGTCGACCCGCCCATGAGCCAGTCTGACGTTGCTGGCGTCGTCGAGAAGCTCAAGGAGAAGCTCGACCACTGGAAGAAGGACCAGGAGCGCAAGACCAAGGAGGTATGCTCGACTAGAATATCCAAGATCGATGTTTGTTGAAATGCTGCTAACCTTGAATATAGAACGTTGAAAAGGCCAAGAAGGAAATCGAGAAGATTGAGGCCGAGGCTCAGGAGGCTAAGGCGGCCAAGGATGCATCCGACAACAACAACCGCCGCTCCAAGGACGGCGCCAAGAAGCCCGCGCAGAAGAACCAGGCCGTCAATGGTGACGTTTCTCCTCGGGCCGAAGTTGCCCAGGAGAAGGACGCCGTCGCCGACGCCGCCAAGGAGCTCAAGGAGGCTTCCATTGAAGACAAGACTCAGTAAACAGATGCATTACACCGACAAAAAAAACACTACAGGGCGCGGTTGGAAGATGATTGCATGTATGCATACCACGGCGGAGAATGTGCGCCTTCTTTTTTTGAATTAGAATGTTCCAAAGCGCATACAGGATAGCGAGAGCTGTTGTTCGATTGTTCGATTCTTTTGCATTAGAAAACGAAAAAGGGGGGGGGGGGAAGTAGGAGATGGAGAAAAAGCATATGTATTATCATCATCATCATACTGCTGCTGCTTTTTTTTTCCCTTCTTCTTTCTGTTGCCGATGCATTGCCTGTCAGTGCTTGTCACCATTAGAAGATTTTGTTTTTCTTCTGATGGGGTTTTGCATTGAACTTTTTGTTTCTTCGGAGGCTGTTATGTTGCTGGTTCTTGCGAGCTATGGCTTAAGCTGCTCCTACCTGGTTCTTTTTTGGCTCTCCCCCAAAAAGTTCTCTGTCTCTTTTCTCGCCCATACCTTTTTTTTCTCTTCCTCTTTTCTTGTCTTGTCTTGCCTTTGTCTTGAACCTGTGTTTTTTCTTTTTTCTTGTCTTCGTCTACTTGTCTACTTATTATTACTATTATTATATCACTACCTTTTTTCTCCTCTCTCTATCTCTCACCCTCTCACCCTCTCTACCTTCATCTGCGACATGTTATTTCTTGTCTCCCTAAAAGAGAGTAATGATTTTCCCATCATTGCACAACTTTCTCCTTTGCCATCCATGTCTGGCCCAATTTTTTTACTCTACTCTACTCTACTCTTCCGCAATATAACTCTTGTATCTCTTGGCTACTATCTCTCCGCTCTACTCCGCTCTGATCCTTTCAATTCAGCCAGTCATATTCTCTGACCCCGAATCTTTCATGCACTTGGTCTTGGTCTTACTCTTAGTATTGGTGCTAGCTCCATTTAATGTCTTCAATTGAACTCTACCGATAGAGAAGATATTGGAATCTAAAAAGGCATGCTTATTTGACCAGTATTTCTTTTTCCCTTTTCCCTTTTCCCTTTTCCCTTTTCCTTTTCCCCTTTTTTTTAAACTAAAGAAAAATGTCATTCGTGTCATTTGTGCAGCGTGCTCTTTTAGCTTTTGAGCCCCCATCTCATGCCAGTCTCTTTTTCATAATTCATAATACGTTCTACATAAAAATTTTTTCTTTTTTTTTTTTTTTTTTTACCGTAGTGGCTATATATATTATTTCATTTCATCTTGATTTTTACCTCTGTCTAGTATTGTCCTCTTTGACCTCTGTCTAATATTGTCCGGGGTCCCCTTGAAATTGAAATGAGTGTAGAAGAATCATTGAGTACCCTAGGTAGTTTTATTGTGAGATTCACGTAACTAGGTATTCCGTACTCGCGCGGCGCGCCTTTACTATGCCATTTATGCCCAAATGCCAATAGATGGTTATATAATGGCAAAGAGATTACTTTATCTTGTCCTTACCTTCCTTTCTTTTCCTTTCCTTTCTTCCCAACCCTCCCTCCCCCTTTTTCTCCCTGGTTCCTCGTCCCGGCCGGGCCCCCGCTCAATCAGTCTCATCGGAGGGCAACCGCACCTTACATCCCAACGGTCCTTCAATATCCGCAAACACCGCAGTCGCATCCGTGGCATAGGTCTGTTCAAAGACCGTATTCTGCGCAAGGAGCATCGCAGCAAGCGAACCGCCGAGGGTAGTGAAGATCCAGGAGCCGACATCTCCCGGTTCTGAGAAATTCTGAAAATGCTTGCCGTGACCAACGTAGCATCGCTGCTCGACCACCGACTTTGTCATCGAGGAGGAGATTAATGACTGTGATTGCAGTGGCAGTGGCAGTGGCAGTGGCAGCCTAATTACCGAGCTGATCGGGTTTACTGTACCCCTTGTGGTACGTGTGGACCGTCCATATTTCATAACAACTTCACCTGGCTTAAATTTTGCGATTCCACTGATGTCTTCGCGGTCGAATACATAGGAGGAATGGCGTGGGTATTCTTGAAAGAGTCTTGAGGGGAACTATATCGTGTTAATTGTCAGTCTTATAGAAGGCTTGTATAGCGTCTTTCAAAAAAGATAAAAAGAAATAAAATAAAAAATAAAAGAGAGAGAGAGAGAGAGAGAAAAGAAAAATCAAGACAAAAAAAAATACCTTATTTGGGATTGTGGGGATCCTGTTCCTATTCGGATCGCATTCGACAAGCGCCCAGTCAATGCTGAATCCGGAAGACGCATAGACTTGTCCAAAACTGCAGTCGAAATCTTGAACCTGCTCAATTGAATCTGTGGCTTCGGCTGCAAATTTTTCGAGCAGGCGTATTCTTCTCAGCTGCGAGTGAGGTGTGGTTGTGGCTCCTGTCTCGTGTTCTGTAACTTCTGTTTCTTTGAGGGTGTTTTTAATCTTCCGCGCCTGTTCGAGATACCGTTTACTGTCGTCACGCTGTTGTTGCATTGCGTCGCGGTGGTCTGAAAGAGAAGGGATATTGGCTAGTGGCTTGTCTGGGTCGTTTGGCTTGACAGCTGGGTTATCAGGACCTTTTGCAGACTGTCAGTCACGAAAATTGAAATAAGGGAAATTGAGAATTGTATCACGAAGGTTCGAAATCGTCTCTTGAGAGTGAACGAAAAAGACATACCCACAGCAACATGATGGCTCGTCATCGCCAGAACCTTTTCCTTTCCATTTATCGTCACGACAACATACCCGCCGAGCGAACCCGCAACAGCTCCCTGTGATGATGATGACGCCTCCTCGCCCGTGGCTCTAGGTACACGACCAATGCTGCTGCCAATTTCACAGGAAGTCTGACATAAATCCATTAAACTGTCCCAAAAGGAACCCTCCTCTTTCTCATTCGCCACAACGACAGTTCCATTGACGACAAGCACGTCGATATCTTTGAGGTCCCGGGCCAGGCATTCCTCTCGGATTGAGCGTGAAATGGTCTCCCAGACTGGAGAATCCGCTTCTGATTCCACAGTGATGATGATCGTGACGAGATTACGTGAAAGCTCGCGGTCAAAGTATCCGCATCTCAACACGTCAATTGCGACCCATGTGGTCTGATCGCGTATTGAGTCGAGGACGTATTCCTTGAGCCCGGCATGCCAAGCTTCCACGATAGGATGGGCTTCCGAAATAGTGAATACGCGGCGTAAAGCAATGTTAATTGGGTCGATTTGGCTATAGCGTGGATCTGGGCTGGCGGGTTTGTTGCTGGCAAGTGTTGATAGCCCGGTCATGGTGGTGATGTGGGATACACAAGTGTCGAACGTTTCGGTGGAACAGACGATATCGTTGCTATTGGAGTGGGCAGTGTTCTCTTTTGTCCCACCGTCAACAGGAAGGTGTTCCTGGTCAGACATGACGGAGGATGATTTTCAGGGTGTCGAAACGCCCTAGGTGAGTGAGAAACGAGAAGTGATGAAAATGTGTTTGAAATTTGACCGCAGGAAGCGAGGAAAAGAGGGTGAAAGTAGATTGTCGAATTTTAGTTGAGGTGTTTCGATAAGTTGAATTTTCAGGGAATAAGTAATGGAAACGTGTTCAAAGGGCAGTGAGTAGGTGATTTGTGATTTGTGTGATGAGCATGTAGTAGCTTTGCGAGACAATACAATTCTACGACAAGAGGCAGGATATTTCTTCCAAACAGAAGGAAAGCAATGTTAATAGTTGTCTCTTTAAGTTGAACAAGTAAAGGCCGCTGCTCAAAATTGAGGATTTGTATGTGATTTCAAAATGGACAAGCATAGTTTTACTGACAACAATGTCAATGTAAGATGGCAGGTCTAGATTAGGGTTAGTTCTGATCCCAATTTTGAACCATTAATTAGTCCAGATGAAGGCTTACATGGTTGCACCTGTAATAGGGCATTTTAATCCTTTATTGTTTTTAGTTCTCATTGACCTTCAAGTAATAATGGATGTTCTAATTAGAAACCACAAGGTGAGTTGAGCAGGATCGACCGTTGACCGGTGATTCTGCTGTAAGCATGTGCTGTTCAGTGTATGTAAATGGTTGGTGATTCCTGTTGAAAATCTGGATCCTGAGGGAAATAGACCTTCATGTTGCTGAAGTGGATTTTTCTTTCTTGTCTATTTGGTAGCCCAACGCTATATAAAGGCTAAACCATTCCCAAGACTTCATTTGGCAGAACCCTTGTCAACAACATGGGCTCTGACCATCATGGGTCTAATTTATTACCATAGTCCTTATCTAACGTGAAGTTGTGTACTAAGACCAGATCACCACTTGTGGTTTGGACCATATAGGGTTTTTGATCCTAGCCATACATGAAGTGTGGTCCATATACCCCATAGCTGCTAATTCTTGCAATTCCCATTGAGTGTCCTGGTGAAGGCATGCCAGATGTAGTGCATCGCCTTGAGAGGGAGAACCATTTGTAGACTGTGTGGCAGGCTGAAGGGTTCGATCCAAAGTGGGTTGATAGCCTAGCATTAGCTGTGTGGGCGTAAATCCATGGATCCGAATCAGTCTCGTGTTGATACTGATCGCGATGTCTGGCACAAACGTAGACCAAGCTGGGTTCCGCGTTTGCAGAAAACGAGCTCGGAGCTGGCTAACAATCAATTGGACTGTTCTAACTTAACGGGTGGTAGCATTTGCAATAGCTTATTCGACATTTCATGGATTGAAACAAGAAGAAAGAAAAATAAACTTACTTTGATGCTCTAGGGCTTTTGCTAGTCCAGGAATGAGAACCTGAATGGTTGAGGGTTTGCATTCTTCCATTTTTTTTCGATCTCGTCAATTTCTTTATCTAGGAATTGTACATGCTTGGATAGTGGACTCGAGTGAGAGTCCAGACCCAGCTTGCGTTTGATTGACTCTCTCGTTGGTATGGATGATATCCACACCGATGGTTCAATACAAAGGCAAAACACTCCAGACTGAGCAATATGACAGTGGTAGGCCGAATAATAATTGTGACTAGAGCTGAATCAACCTCGGAAACTGATTCCAAGAATCCAAGGCGAAGCCATAGGGGGCTTTTCATTGCCATTGTCGTCTTTCTAGATAGTTTTAGCAATTAGTACTGTTCTCGATCTCCTGTAAGGACGCAATTTTCTGAGCTATTGTGTGATCGGAGACAGCTTGCACAATGTCCTTTCTGTTTTGGCTATTTCAAATAATAGACGGTTCGATACTTCCAGATCTGGTCAAGTAGTGACCGTGAGTCAAACGAATCACGAAAGATGTATTTATGCGTGCCTTCCATTTCTCTTCAATAAAATAAGAAAAATAGTATAATTCAGCGTCTCGTTCAAGAAATCAAAGATACTTAGTTCAAGTTCATTTAATTTCTAGGACTACCGGGTAATGACCCAGCTGTGTTGCCAGGAATTTAACTGACTCCTGATGGCTACCAGTTATCATTGTTGTCTGAGAGTACTGAGTGAGGCGTCCTGAGGCTATGGTTCGGCCATCCACTACTGTAAGTGTTCGTGCTTATCAAGTTGGGCGAGTGGTAGCTGGTGCTGCTGAGCAAAGCTTCGTTCAATGAAGGCAAGGGGCCAAGGGCGGATGCGCCACTGTCAATTAAGGCATGGGTGAGAATTTCTTTAGAGTTGAAGACGAGTTTAATTGCTATAACCAAGTGGTCCACTGGTCCCCTTCTAAACTATCTTCCAGCGAGCTGAAGATGAGCGTAAAATGAGATGTTGGTTCGATAGAGCGACCAAAACAAAAGCACAATGCACAAAGCGAAGCAGACAGCGTCTAGGAGAAGATGATCTTGTATAGGTATATATATATACCTCTTCAACGATGAATGAGTCGAATGACCATGGAGATTCACGAGGGGTAGGAATACTGGTCTATTCACACAGGGTCACAATGTAGACACGAACTCAACTGATAGGGAAGCCTGTGAAGTGATCATTGAAGGAAATTCTCCCAAAAAATAAAATAAAATATTAAAAAAAAAATAATGAAAGGGATTCACCACCAACGTACGGGACACACATGGATCGTCGATTCGTTAGTTCATTGATTCATTACTCACGGAATAAAGCAGAGTAAGTATAGGACAGGAAACACAACGCGGGGCTCGACCATGCTGTCGATATTCGATTCTCGATTCTCGATTCGCAATGCCTTTCAGCTGATAATACGTATGGACTTTCACATGTGATAGAGAAATTGGCGGTTGGAGATGGAATGCAGCGGATGAAACGTCGAGAGAGCACCAGGCGTGGGGAGGGCAGTGTATGGGCGCGGCTTACGCAGTGTATTACAATACAGTTACAGTAAGAGTAAAGAACTGCGGGGTGATAAGTTTGATAATAGAATAATGTATTGGTTGGGATGGGACGGGACGCGATGAGATGGAATCGATCGATCGATCGATGGCAGAAGGTCAGACGGATAGATAGGTGACTGGATGACTGTACGGAGGTATGAATGATATAAATGATATGATGGGTGGGTGAACAAGTAGGTAGATGGAATGAGGAATGACTGGATGACTGGATGAATGGATGAATGGATCTGTGCGACTGTGACGCGAGTACCCCTTTCACTTCCCTATCGTATTAGGCAGTAAAGTAAGGTACCTAGGTAGGTAGGTAAAGGTAAGTGGTGAATCAGTTGCCCTGTGCGAAGGGAGTCAGGTCAAGTCAACTGATTTCCCATGGGGATTTAGATTTTCCGTGGGGGAGACGATCGGTTGGGTTGGGTGTGAAATATTTCGATATGAACTGGCAGTGCACCTGTTGTTAGTTAGCAGAGAAATGTACCGAGTAAGCAACACGTGCAAAATGGTCGTCCTGTCGTATGCAGGAGTAAAATAGGTAGATTGTTGACGGGAAACTTACGTACAGAATAACATATATCAGCTAAGACGCGTAATCATGCGAGCCCAGAAAAACGCGATATGAAATGGCGATGGTGATTGGAGTAAACAACACGATTACGGACTGTAAGCAACAGCTGATGCAAAAAAGTATGTGGTCATAATATCTATTCTATATGGCAACGTATATCTGCCATTTTCTATTGAATAAAACAAATACGCTTTTTCAACGCCAATCGCTATGAGCTAAACTTTGAACCAGAAGCAAGTTTGCTTGCGCTGTATGTCGTGATTCGAGGGGGGAAAAAAAAAAAAAAAAAAAAAAAAATAAAGGCCAAAGCCATTCAGCAGGCTGCAATGTACGTAATGTAAACAGGGGTATTCGTGTACTGTGAAAGGAAAATTAAAAGAATAAAATCGTTTCCATCCATCCGTCAAGAATGGTGTAATATACAAGAAATTAAAAAAGAAAAAGAAAATGGTGATGGTGATGCATCAAAGAAGAGATGAGATCGTAGATTCCAGCGACATGTTGCTGCGAGTGTTCTGCGATGAAGAGCAAAGAAGAGCATCCAGAAGACGGCGTGCCGAATGCGCAGCAATAGAATGTAATTGTTCAATAAATACTCCAGAGTATAATGTTGCTTGGTCGCAATAATGCCGCATCAGTTGATACAACCGTCGATATACCATAAGCCTGAGCCATCGAGTCGCCAACCGGCGCCGAGACTTATCCGATGGTTCGATGCACTCCGAGCGTTGGGCCTAGACCCGAGAGCCGAGAACCGATGTTTCACATTTCCGACCAGAAATTATTGTGTAGCAAGGGACGCAGCGAGAAAAAAGGTGAAACAAGAGCGGGTGGTTCTTTGGTGGTTAAGTGCATCGGTAGCATCGACCCTCTGTGGGTGCTATGGTTGTTCGGATAAAGTGTTTTGGAAACCAACGAAACATGGCCCAGGCCGAGATCGGCAAATCGGTCGTAACGTTACTCATACGAGCAGAAAAATCGAATACAGTAATGTTGTCGAGTTGAGATCGTTGTAAAAGATCCAGAGCTGTGATGATCATCATGCGATTCAGGTCCAGCCCGGTGGGGTCCGCTCGGGATCTGCGTCGCCGATGATCACTTTCCTTTTGGGGTAGTCGAAATGGTCCGAGTGGAGTTTGAAGGCGGTTGAGAGTCGTCTTTTGGGTTTTGTGGGGAGCAGTGTTGGAGAGAAACACCATGAATCTCTAGTGGTAACTAGGCGGTCCACCGCTCTCCCTTGGAAACATCCCACGTTGCACGCGGCATTGTTTAGCGTTTCAGGCCGACGAGGTCGGCGCAGCGACGGCAATAGTAGGAGTTGACACCGAATCGGACCATGCCATGAACGGGAACATCAATGTTCCAGGTGCATTGGCATCGTGAGCAGCGAGCCATTCCACTCAAAGACACTGCTGGAGAGACGGCCGCCGTTCGTGGTGGTGAGGCAATGACAGGCTTTGCCATCAGCTTTGTGCTGTGCGTAGCTGGTGAGAGCACTTTCGACGCCTCCATTGTTGATCGTAAATGATGATAGGCGATGGTGGTTAGACAATGAATCGTAATTTGTTTATTTTTGCTTCCAGAGCAATTTGGTCGATCAATGAAGTCGATCAATGAGGAGTGCGCCGCGAAGTTGGAAATATTCAGAAGAAGAAAGAAGTCGAGATGGAGTTGGCGTGTGGTTATATAAAAAGAGGCAATAAACACAAAAGATGCTTCGGCACAAAGTGTATGAGTGTTTACGCGTCTCGGGATGTCAGCGAGAGATAATTATGCAGGCTCGAACAAGGTTGGCGGATGCTGCGGAACTTGTGGGGGAGTTGGGATTTATTTTCGCAGTTGAGGAGTCCTAGGCGTGGCTGGCCGGTCCCGAGGCTGAGACCGAGGTGGGATTGTATCAGGGCCAAATGCATCGGCCGACCGACAGGGGACAAGTATTTTGATATGCTTCACCCAGGAACGACCAAATCGTTGCATGTGCGGGAGAGACAGGCATGAATCGGTGAAGAGAGGGAAGGGGGGAGATGAGGTGATGTTATGCGTTCTGGCCTTTACTACGGTAAGCTTCTCCAGGCCTACGAATGCTTCGTCTCATCGCCCCGCTAGTCATGATGATGATGCCAACGGGCATAAGAGTAGTACAGTTGCATTGCACCCAAGGTAAACTTCAAAGGCACGGGAAGGGGGGGAAACACAGCTAGAGTAGTGAGTGTGGACGCAAGCACAAGAAAAAGCCCGATCTCCACGGTGCACCAGGATCCGGAGCGCCCTGGTCGGGTCCAGGTAGGTCTTTGCAGGGGGTGGGTGGATTCGCAGTCAACGAACAAAGAGGCATCTGGGAGCGACAACAAAACCCTCAGTCATCTCATTGGTAGATGGACCTCAAGCATGTCGCCCAGAAAAGAACCTTCATAGTTCACCACCTGTTTTGGCCTCTCCGACGGTTGTGACTTCCAGGTCCCTTTGCGCCTTTCTGCCCTGTTTTCCTTTCGATGGGCGTCTCTGGGCGTCTCCAGTGGGGGGATTTGATGGGGTCAAACTACCCCTTCTCATGGGTTTTCGTCCTGTGGGGTTGTGGGAGTTGGCCTAGATTTGCCCTGGAAGAGTACCGAAAGGGAAAGCGGCAGAGGCCAAAAAGGAAACATGAAGAAAGAGGCGTGATGCTCCAAGCGTCTTGTCCATCTAGCAAAGGCCAAGTCTGCGGACGGATTCCGTGATGGTGTCAATTCACGTCACGTTGGCGCGGGTCCGTCCCCCTCCGGTGTTATACCAATGCAAGGTTTCGCATCAGTTTAATTCCAACCAAATTAAAAAAGTTATAATTCTACGTTTCATTTTTATGACCAAGGCAAGAGCCCTTGAAACAGAAAGGAATAGGTACTCTTGGCCATCTCCACTTCGGCCCTCAAAGAGCAGAGGATTTCTCTTGGCCCAACGGCTATCGCGAGCCTACTACGTATACCTCGTACAAAGACCCCCAAGCGGCCACGACAAGTGGCCTGAGTCAAGGGACAGTTGAGTCAAGGGACAGGGTTCGATTTCATTGAGTCTTACATGACTGCGAGGAACAGGAACAAAGAGGATACAGCTCTTTCCGAACGTCAGCGCGGCAATGACGCCAAAAGTGCTCGTGCGCCATTCTCTACAATAGAGGGCTTGACTCCTACATCGAGATTGCCCTGACCGTGCGCGCATGCGCTTGTCACCAAGAGGGCTTAAAGAGATTCGTCACCTTTGCGTCCGGCAGTGGCAGATGGGCTGGGTTGCTGCCCAGCCAATAGCCTCAGTAGAATCCTTCCAAGGAGAGCCATCTCTGGAAGAGAGTGCATACATCATCTGGGCAAGGCCCTTCCCGTCCGTTAGTTAGCCTTTTCACGACGGGCGGTGCGCTATTGACCCAACGCCCAACCACTTAACCCGGTTCAGCATAGAGTATACAAACAACCAAAGAGAGAGGCGGGAGGGGAGGTGTGAAGTCAGGACGTGACGTCTCGTGGAACCATGGTGAGGTGAGATTAAAAGTTTTCAAGTGCCCATGTCCACGACAAAAGAAAAGCATTTTAGCTACCACGACTGTTTCCAACCGAAGAAGATAGGGAAACTGCTTATTCGTAGCCTACGAGTACCTCTCGGCTTTTCCCTGCCCAATAGGCCGGTCCAATGATTTCTAGGTAGATGGCGATCGGATCTGCATGAAACAGATTTCGCAGAGTCGTTTGAAAATCAGGCTCCGAATCGTTGAACCAGAGCTCTACTGCCCACATATATGATTCTCCATCCACGGGGCACATTTGCTGTGACGAACGACGAGAACGTGGGCAACGTATCTGTCTGCGGCACATGGTCCCCACTGTGGCCCAAAAGTTCTACGGTAATATGACATCATAGTTTCGCTGTCATTGGTCGTAGCGAACCGCTGTCGTCCAGAAGGAAGAAAAGAGAGGAAGGGGAGAAGGGCAAGGAAAAGAGACTTCAGGAGTCTTGCGAGAGAACCTAATTCGCGTTTTCTCGTTCCTGAATTCTGAGCAATCTTACCTCGGTAAAATTCATCTTGAATTTGAACACCAATTACTTCAGGGAACCAAGAGTAACCACAGGTCGATGTTCTGCGCGATGCAAGGTGCATGAGAAGGTTAATTAGAAACAGGAGAATAAGACACAGCTCTGGCTCTGCTTCAAGCCTGCGCTTATAGTTTGGTGGCAATTTTTGACAGATGCAGTACTTAACACATTTTGGGTTTCAATTGAATGGGTCCGAATCTACTTTTGCCGATTACTTCATTGCGGTCACATCATATGGCTACCAAGTGCAGAGCGGGGCCCAAACGATGTCATGACCCTATTACCGTTGAGGATTTTGTACAGTACTCTGTACAATCGTGAAGTTGTGGCGTGAAAACTGTAAACCTTATACGCCTTAACCGAGTGTTACAGTTAACAACCGCTTTCTATTTGCTGATGTCCATCCTTCGATCGGACCTCGCAGAGAGGAGGATGAGCCTCGGAATGAAGCCGCAAGCGCTCCTTGTACAATTGCGTCAGACGCAATGTCGCGGCCGAATTTTATTTCAATGTTTGTCTCTTTGCTGAAGATGACTGAAAGACATCAGCCAAGGACCCTGATCCGCAACGTGAATAATGTTTGGTGCGATAAAACGGTATTGAAAATCTCCCAGAAAGGGGGAGGGCGGGGGGCTGCCCTCACACAATTTCCTCGTAGGGGAGCCCTTACCCGCCCCGCAGCAGCCTTGGACCGTTTCAGCTTCGACTTAACTGAAATTTGGCTCTCTTGGCTCATTTCGGCATTGAAAATTCTAGCATTGAACAGTTAGCGTTCACAGCGAAACGATTAATTTTGGTTTCATACAACATGTGGCCAGCCGTTTCTTTCGTACCCCAACGGTAGGTAGACAGAGTAAATGTTCTGATATTACATTATCCCTTTCGTACTCGGCCATCTCCTCCCTTTTTCTGCTTCTTGTTCTCCTCCCGTCCTGCAAGCAAAGCTCTCGCCAGGTCTACATTCCCCCAATGGCCAACTTTGCATGATCTGTACCTGATGGATACGTGCCACGAGACTTGAATTGATTGCAATCGTCGTGCCCTGTGAGACAGAAATGGTTGAGCGAGTGATAAAGGCGTAATAGAATTTCCTACCAAACAGAGCTATGCAAAACCGAAATGACAGCATAACTTATCTGTACGTGACGGGAGTAGTCTCGGTACCTGAGATGGGGCTCCGTACCGGTACCCTCCCTGCCAGTGCGTGAGCCGTGGTACTGCGCGATCAAGTATTCTTTGAGCTTCTCTCTCCGTCCCTCCTGTTCGGGCTTACCTCCGTGGCACTTTCCAACCCAAAATCCGTCGCCTTCCGTCATTATTGCTCAAAACGCCCATTTCCTCGTCTGGCGATCTTGACCCCCCACCCCAATTCATCAGTAATCTTAATCTCCTCACCCAAAGCTTGACTCTCCCTTTTTCTTCTTCAAGTCAACAACATCATCAACCTCTCCGTTTCAACCAGGCGATCACGACTGCCATCAAAAAACGAAAACGCACACTTTCAATTCACTGTGCGACCGGATTGTTCCAACTCAACCAGTGCATGGTCGACAACTGAAGACCCCGCTTCAACTATCATTAAGAGACCTCAAGTCGCTCTCACCTCAAGCCTATCACACACCTATTTCACCATGGGCAAGCAACCGAATCTCTACTCGTTCTCGAGCTCCGACGCGCTCGCTAAGAACCTCCGTTCCTACGTGATTAGCTCTCAAAATGACGGTTTAAATCGTCACGATGCCTTCAAGATTGCCGTTTCTGGCGGCTCTCTACCTGCCGTTCTCGCCAAAGCTCTCCTCACTCCGGGTAACGGCACCCCTGAAGATACTGTTCGCTTTGACAAGTGGGAAGTCTTCTTCGCGGATGAACGCGCCGTACCATTGGATCATGCCGACAGCAACTACAAGCTCCTCAAGTCGGAGCTTCTTGACAAGATTCCGGCCGAACTGGGCCAGCCCATTGTGCACCCTATCGACGTCACGTACCTGGACGATGTTCAAGAGCTCGCGGATCAGTATGAACAGGAACTGGTCAAATCTTTTGCTGCCAAAGACAGCGTCAAACTCCCCATCTTCGACCTTCTCTTGCTCGGCTGTGGCCCCGACGGCCACACTTGCAGTCTCTTCCCAAATCATTCGCTCCTGCGCGAATCGGACGCTTGGGTTGCTCCCATTAGCGACTCGCCCAAGCCCCCGGCGAAGCGAATTACCCTGACTCTTCCTTTAGTGACTCATGGCTTGAAGATCGCCTTTGTCGCTACCGGCGAAGGAAAGAAGGATGTGATGAAGAAGATCTTTGACACGGAAGAAGGCCAGGGTCTTCCATGTGGCTTGGTGAACGAAGGGGGTGCCGAGAAGGTGAGCTGGTTCACCGATGTTAGTGCGACCCAAGGAGTCGGCTTCCCCAAGAGAGGTAGCCTTTAAAGGAGAAGATTAACAACTTTTTCTTGCGTTCGGAGGGAGTGGGGATAGACGGAGGAATGGGTATACCTTAATCGCAATCGAGTGTTCGCGGCGTTTGCGAGCAGGCATCCTCGGGTTCTTTTTCCGGCATTCGTTTCAAGGAGCTGGGGTCCTCCGGCATTAGATGACCATGATCGGCTCGTCTTGCGTTTTGTCATCCATATGTTGCTATTTTCATAAGCAGGTAGAAGATTTAAATTAGTGCAGATTCCCAGAATTCAAAGACAATTCTCAACAAAGGCAGGCGGACAGAGAACCGGCTTAATTAGCACGGAAAGCAAGCATGCAGAAAACTTCGAGCGATTGAAACATGTTCGAGATCGTCTGGCGACCCCACACCTTGTTCCACAAACGTGCCAGATCTATATTACGGTTCCTATACAAATTTAATTTCAAGAATACTTGTAACTTATACTATCTATTTTTGTCAGGTATACCCAACCTGTGTGGTCCCCGCGTGAGCTAAAGTTGTTCCTTTACTCCATCCCTGTTCAATCCCCTGCCGACCGTTCGGGAAACCCCGAATTTCGAGTTCGAATGAGCTCTGGTGATCTCCGCAAACCTCAGCTAAACTATATACTGGCAAGATTTCGACTACATGTTATATGTTCTCATGTAGAAGTCGGTGGGCGAAATAGACAAGGCTAGTCTTTGGAGGTTTGGGCTGATTGACTTTGTTCGGTGGTCTTTGAAATCCTCAGCTAATCTAATATTGGGCTCGGCAGATATCGCGAACGATGGTAAACAAACATGACGAAGATACGACCTTAAAACAATTTGGGTTGTTCTCCCCACCATCGCCTTTACCTATGCATGAGGCGACTAGAAAGGAAAGTGGAATCATGAAGAAGTCTCTGCTCCCACAGAGGACGCCATCGAAAAGAGGCCCGCAGGGGAGCACGACTACAAGAAGCGTTGACGATGTGGTGGAAGCACGAGAGCCGCGTGCGAGCAGATTACCAACTGAGAAACGCAAACTCGGCCATTACGCTCCTTCAGCCGCTTCTACCCCAGTCACTTCTCGAAAGGATTCTGAAGCACTTGAGGCTGGTCGCTACGCCAAAGCAAACGCCAGTCAAAGCAAAATTCGCCGTCCTGGCGAACAATATGATCAGTCCTCTGGTTCGAGCTCTCGGTCAGAGGCTAAGGGAATTTTGGGAAGGAGTAATACGATTGCTACACCCTCTACAAGCCTTGACCGGCCGAGCTCAATACGCCGACCAGCACCTTCAGCGGCCTCTTCCGGTAATCCTAAGCATGAGAGTCACATTCGTAATCATTCTACCGAACACAGTAGAGTCGTAAAGCCACGCTCAAACACCATTTCTACCCGCAGTGGTATCTCTCATGGCCAAACTCCCGATCAATCGGTGTCAGTATCTTCTTCAGCTTCCGTGACTCGCTCAAACACACCACAATCTTTCGAAAGCTCCACACCCAATCCTCTCCAGCCTGAAGGCCGCACAAGAGGCGTTGCCGGGAACGACAGATCAGAAACCTCGACCAAGGGTCACTCACGAACTAGAAGTCAACCTACAATTATACAGAAGGACACGCCGCTGACAAGATCAAAATCTACCCTAGTAAAGGTGTCGCAGACGAGAAGCGCCACAACACGGCCGTCGCGGCCTCCATTTACAACACTACAGCAACATTACTCACCTAAAAAGATAACAAGAACGCCAACTAGCTCTTCAAATTCACGACCGCAAGAAGGTGCAGGCTCTGAGCAACCTCTCACTTTGGAGAGCTTGAGGGTCCAGGTGGAGCTGCTACAGCTACATTTGTTGCACCAGACCGCGAAAGGAAGCATCACATTCTGGGAACGTAGTGCGGAGCAGCAACTGGAAAAAAAATTTGGCGTTGTTTTGTCAAAGTATAATGATTTGCAGGAAATCCAACAGAAAAACCAACAACGAAAAGACGCCGCTGCATTGAAAAGCTGGCTGGGCGGTTCGCACATTGGGTCGGGAGAGCAAACGCAAACGCTGGCGCGTTTATTGCAAGATATTAGCCAAGTCAGCGATCCTGAAGGCCGATTTACGCGACAAGGCAGATATTTCGATCATTGGCTGAATTACGTCGAGTCCGTCTGGCAAGAGAGACATCGATCGGATGTTAATGTTAGGTCTCTACGATTTGTCGACGGACTTGAAAACAGCTGGAGGAACGAGGGTTTCTCCTTGTCAAGGAGAATGACGGCGTGGTTGGAGGAGCTTGAGAACCTAGGAACAGTGGTGTGCGGATCGAGCTTGTCCGCGGCGGTTGATATCTGCAAATCCCTGGTGAGGGATATGTCGTCTGAGTTGGAGGGCATGCGGCAGCTCGAAAAGGATATCATGCAACAAGAACAGGAATGGGTTCGATGCATGACAGATCAGGCAAGAAGAGTGGTGGCCGATGACGAAAGGCCCAAGGAACATTGCCCTGTCTGGGACGAAGACTGAGCAATCAGCTTCGTCTTTCTCTTTCCTCTTTACTTCTTTTGATTCTTTCATTTGCTACGATGGTAGCTCTTCTGAGCGTTCGAATTCTACGATACCCAACGCGGAACAGACTGCATTTTACCCATGTCTGGTCAACCAAACCCAAAGGACCTGTCCCTGAAAAAGGTGGCATACTTCCACCGAGCTTCCAAGCCCGATTATCCGGCCATAACCTAAACTTTACATAAACATCATCGCCTCGCCTGAAACTGGATCAATGAGAATGCTCGGATTCATCCAGCGACAGGGTATCCGAGCGCCAGGTAACAAGGGCAACCCGCTGAAGCGAGCAGGGTTTACTTCTCGATCCCAGTATTCCGATAGATTCTTTTTGGGCGCATTCAGCGGTTAAGTGCCGGTCAAAGCAGCAATGACAGTCTCTACGTCAAAGATACAAAATGATTGAAACGGTCTACCTAGGGCAGATACTCTCATTACCTTGTGCACACAACAAAACGATTTGACAACTAGACTCGACATAATATTTTTCAGAGACCCTGTTCGCTTGGTCACACTTCGAGCGGCGCATACCTGAGTCTACTTCGTAGAAAGCCCTACTGCTGGAGTGACAGCTACGTCCCGTACTGCGGTAAGCTCAGGTGTTAGGTCTGCCGTGCTTAGTCATGTAACATCGGGAACCAAGTCAGAGAGCCGAACAATGCAGTCAACAGCCTTTACCAGTTCTGGTTGATCTTATACCCGTTCCCACATATTTTGGGCATATTTACCGTTGCCGTCCACTCCAAATCCCGAGCGATCTCTCCAAGGGGAATAGAAGAGCTGATGAATCCCCTTTCGAGGACAATTGATGACCTTTTTTCTTGGCCAGAATGGAGGAACTTGGGCCAGCTGGTACCTAAATGCTTTCACGATGCGTTACATCCTTTGCCGGTATCGGATGAGCAAGTTTTTGCCCGCAATCCTAACCCGAATCGGATAGCTGCTCGAATTAATGATGATTTGTCGAGGACATTGGGCTGGGGCAGTGGAAACGGGGGGTGGGGATGGAAGGCAAAGAGAGAAGCGGATTGAACTAACTTGTACAAGAAGCTAGTGTGGTTGCGAATGGCCTGCACGTGCACGTTCCAGCTTACTTGGCCAAGCGAAAGCACATGGATGGCCAAGCACTACCTACGCCGGGGTCCCGAGCTTTGGGATCAAGCAAAGTGGATTGGATGAAGCGAGAGTTGAAGGGAACGAGATTTACTCATTACATCCCCCGAAGTGCAAATAGGGGGAAATCCCCCATACGTACCTATCTATGTAGCGGCGGCAGTAAAAAATTTCCCGGACGACACCACCTTTGTGCTATACTAGTCTGAATCCTCCATCGCAAAACGAATTTCGGTACCCAAGGCACAACTCAAAGGTCCCTAGCAATGACAGAGAGGGCGATAAGATGGCTGAGAAGGAAGCGGAGGCCAACGGTAGGTGCCGACGGGATCTTCCGGGGCTGCTGGTAGAGAGATACGGAGTGCTCTCAGATGCTGCAGATAAAGGTTCCTTAAGGTATATACCTTATTATTACTTTGTACTTGAATCGCAACCGGGCTGAAGTCCGATCGGACCGCGTCTATCCATTTCCGAATCGCGTCACATGGCTGCCTGATGGACTGCAGCGAGAAAATCGGGAGCGAGTAAGTGGTACGAGAGAAGTCAACACTAAGTGTATTGCTGAGAAGGTCTCGACGACCAAATACCGTGGAGACTCCATGTAACGCTAAGGGTAACTTGGCAAGCTCGAATCACTCGTTGCATCAGGTGGAGTCTCGCCTCAGACTGTTGGTCGTCACCACTAGTGACGCCTCGTTTATTGGGGAAAAGAGGAGAAGGGAGAGGAGGGATACCCTTCCTATTTGGGCGTTCCTCCGCGTCCTCTCTTCCCCTTACCCCCGTACTGCACGAGGTGATGATCGGTTGGCGAGAAATGCGTTAACTACTGGACTCCACATTCCGCTTGAGTTTACTTCTTCTGCGTCTCATAAGCGTCTTCATCAATGGCTGACCATTGCATGTACAGGCAAGTTGAACAATGCATTTGAACGGAAATTGGAGGTTCTTTCATTTCAGAACTATATGCCCATGAGTCTCTGGGTACATGCAGATGGAACACTGCCCATTACTTGCCATTATTGAAAAGAGGGAAAAACCGGACAAGCATTCATCTGATCTTGATTCTCTGACGTAAATATGCAGCCAAGATCTCCTCCTGGCATACCCAACCATCTACGCTCTGACCGGAGACACGCTTTTCTCCCCGGGCAATGGAGAGTTGACGAAGAGTGATACACTGTTCTCAAATCTACATGCCTCTAGGAAGAGTTGCAAAGAAAGGATGCACTATTTGGTCAGAGAAATCATGTGCAATCACTTCTGGAAAACTTGGGCCAATTTATTGTTGGAGCACAGGATGCCCATTCCAATGCCCTTTTTTCTTGTGTTCATCGGGTATTTTTGGGTCTCTCGAATTCGCATTAGTCCTCACAACTCCTGGACATGCAATTATACCTTGTCCTTGCGAAACATAGGACGAGACAGCAGAGGACAGACTCGAAACGAATCCGCGACGACAAGCGTCTTTTTGGAGGGGCGGAGTTCAAAATGAGTGGCATGGGCTCTTTTGCCGGTCGAGACACGAGAGGCCAGTAGCATTGCGCCCCCCCCGACTTACGTTGGCCCCAAGGAAGAACCAGACGTTCGCGCCCTGAAGCTAACGCGAAAGAGGATGAATCTTTGATTCTTACCCAAGTGCCCTACAGCCATGGACCCAACGTCCGCTCTCGACCTTACCAGTAATGGCACGGCAAGAGCCTTAGAGGTAAGGTGTTTGAATCGAAAAAGTCTCTGCTCTCTCTCGTTTTGATCTTGGGTCTGAGGTTCAAAGGCGGCAAACCCAAAAGGGGCACTGGCATCCGATTTGATCCTATCTCTTCCCGGGCTGATGTTCCGTTGACTGTGTGATTGGATACGAAAATTTGCAATTCATGATGAAATGAGAGCGGTAACCGTTACTCTGTACATGATACTAAATCCAGTTCAGAAGCGATGTAGTGAGTTGTAAGTAAATTAGTGTTGTCCTTCCGCCCTTTTCTACTCGCCTTCGTCTTTTACCTTCTCCGCTAGACTCCCAGGCCAGAATTTGAAAAGCCATTATTCATACCCACAACCGAAAAGACGCGCTCCACCCCCAGCTCATGAGTTGAGCGCCCGCAAAAGGCACGCGGAGCCGTCCCTAAGCCTCATTAACTCGAGCCCCGACACATTCTGTCCATTTGGCTCCACCCACCCACCCACACCATAAACCTCTCTTAGAGACACACTTACGCTCACCCCCAACCCGTGATATTATACGTCTCTTCGCCTCTCTCACCTCATCCTTTCTCTCTCTCTCTCTCTCCATCCCTACCCTTCGCCCCTTACTCGACATCAATACATTATCGAAGACGCTCTTTTGTTCCGCCGCATTTCCCTGCGAGCATATGTCTCTCAACCATCAACACTCATAGACCTGCAAAACAAACTGCTTCTCTGACTGAAGGGAGGCTTAAAGTGGGTCGATATTCTGTGGGGTATCTGTGTCGGAGGTCGTCAACATGTCATCATCAACCAAGCGAGCCTGTGATGCCTGCCATCGCCGCAAGGTACGTGAACCCACAACGCCACAGGATCATCGCCGTCGATCTGCTCTGCGAGAGTGAGATGGCGAGGATCACAAAAAGATACTTGGGAGGACGGAAGAATTGACAGTGCCATTTATTCAGGTCAAATGCTGCTCCCGCAGACCGTGTACAAATTGCAGCCAAGCGGGCCTCTCTTGCACCTACAATGCCATTCCTCAGAAGAAAGGCCCCAAGGGGAGCCGGGCCAAAGTCATTTCCGAACTTCGCCAGCGTCAAAAGCAATCCCAGTTGGCCATGGAGATGCAGAATCGCTTCATGGGCATCGACGGCGTTCCCATTAGCTATTCCCGAACGCCCGGTTTACTGACCCCGGAAACGATTCGGTCCTGCATCGACTTTTTCTTTGCCCACCTTTATCCTACCATGCCCATCTTGCAGCGTGACCAGCTGCATCAGATTTCAATGACGATTCACGATTCGGTAGAAGCATACTGTCTCATCAGCTCACTCTGTGCCTTCATGATGATTCAACCTGGAATGAAACCACCGGCGGGGGAGAGGAACGGTGAAGACGGAAGATCGGAGGGAATTGCTTTTGGCACAAGACTGCTCGAGGAAACATTGAGAGTGCGAAAAGGACTCGACTACGTCGAAAACCCAACCCATTTCACTGTCATTATCTCCTTCTTCCTATTTGCCTGCTACTTCGGACTGGATAAGCACAACCCCGCTTGGTTCCATCTTCGAGAGGCAACGACATTGGCGCAAATTATCGGCCTGCAGCAGGAAAGCAGTTATTTGACTGGCGATCCAAGGGACGCCTCTCGAAGACGCCGACTCTTCTGGCTGCTTTTCGTGACGGAGAGGTAAGTTTTTATAAAACTGTTTAGTTTGCCTGAAATGTGGGATCGGGACGTGTAGGCTAACTCTTTCCCCGCCTTTTAGAGCATATGCGTTGCAGCGACATCGACCACTCTCTCTTCATTCCACAATTGAAATGGCTCCGGTCGACGAGGACCCTAGCGAGACTGTTGTGCTTTCGGGCTTCAACCATATGGTCAATCTCTACCGTCCGCTGGACGATATGTTTGTCGGCCTTTGGAACAAGGCACGCGCGGATTGTTCCACTCCTTGGCTCGCCCAGCTGCAAAAGCAAATAGCCTGTTCCTTGCCAGCTACTCTGACTTGCACCGAGAGTCAAGCGGCCGATCTTCGAACGTCCCAACAATGGTTACGAACCATGGTCTGGCAACTATCGATCACGAATGGATACCTCTCCTCGTCTTCGTCTGAGGACTCAATGACCTTCAAGTACCCGATTGATATTGCGCGAGATTTGATTACTTTTACTGGCCAGTTATCCCGGCAGGCCATGGAAGTTCATGGTGTTGGACTGGTGAGTATTCATTTGCGGCATTTATTTGATACACCGCACGTTATTTCTGTTGTTTGTAAAACATACTAACCCTCGAGCAGATTGAAAAACTCTTTGACGTTGCGTGCACACTGACTGATGTCATGTCTTGCGTCCCCATCTCCTCGGATGGATTGCAGCTGGGTCCACGCGATTACCTTAATGAGGTCCTTGCTCTCGTCTCTACCCTCAGAGGAGGAGAGTCTCGGTATCTCCCGCTCCTTCTGGCCAAGATCAACGACACATTTCCCGTCCTTAGTGCACCTATCCCCGAGCCGGTTCCACTGGAGCCCATTGGAGACCGCGTTGAGGAGATTTTTGAGAGCTCTCCGTCAGCCGATTCTCAAACGTACGATAGTCCGCCGCTTCAGCCAGCCACACTTGCGGTTCCTACTACCGTTGGCATCCCCGAGTATCCAACCATGGTCACTGGCCAGGCTTATCCAAGTATGTCCGCAGAGTTGCCATATGCAGGACAGACTACCACGGCAAACGTACCGCCAATCTTCCCGATCATGGGCACCGAAACATATGGGATCTGAGGTCATCGCCGTCGGTTTCCAACGGATATGTTGCTCCGGCTTAACTGGAAGGGCAGCTCTTTCTTCCCGGCGGGTCCGTATCCAGTGGCATTATCATCACCCGCTGCCTACTGCCGGCTATCTTGCTAGCAAACAAAGACATGGACGAACGACGGATCAAATTGTTGCAGGTCGTTCTGAGCTTCAAACCGGAAAAGTGGAAACGAATCAAATGCGTCGTGCAAAGCGATTGACGAGGACGGTATCGAGGAAATGCAACCTTGCACGCTGCAAGATCCCGCGTCCAAGAATGCACGCCCTTGTCGCAACCTGCAATCTACTTGAAGAAACGGCCGAGCTACAGATATGCATCAGCATCAAGAGTTGCCGAGTCCTGATCTTTTTCAAGTTACACCGCTCGATCAGCCAACAGCAAAACCAACCATACGATTTCACAAGGAAAACTTTTCTCCTCATTACCCTTTTACATTCTCATAAAAATATTTCGTTTTTACAAGTCCCATCAAGGGGCTTTTTACCATATTTTAACTCTACGAAGACCAAAAAACGTCATTTTACGAAAGTCTAGACGAGTTTGATGAAAATTTTCACCCTTTTCTTTTTCTTTGTTTTCCTCTTGTCCCGTCATATTTTTCAATCCATACCTACCTTGGTTCTCTGGTTTTTTTTTTATATTGTACTTGTCTCTCTCTGTTTCATTCGCAGCTTTTATTGTATTTTTAAAGGCGTCCCTGTGATCCGTAACTGAGCACGAATTATTTCGGAATCTCTGGGACGAGAAATTTTTGGAGAAATTATGGTGTCTATAGGTGATGTAGGCGATAGTCGGCGATGCGGCGATGCGGGCGACATGGCGAAAAGAAAAGCGACAAAATATTTTTTTTTTTTATTTTTGTTTTCTTTTTCTTAAATCTTCGGTGTCAGTCTTGTATATTTTTTTTCTCTTTATCTCGTCTACTCTGGGGTTTACTCGCCATGTCTACTCCATGTCTACTCTGGAGTCACAATCTGTTTATACCTGTTTTACCTCTTTGGTACTTTTACCCTATTTTTTTGACTTTTTTTTTGCTCTATAGATTTATCGTGGGAACTTTTTTTATTTAACGTTTTGGAAATTGGGCACTTGGTAAGGCCAGGACCAGGGCCACCATTTGGGATAAGGATAGCTTAACTTTTTTTGGGGGATAAGATTCAAAATTACCATTTTCTACTCTCTACTTCGTATTTATAGATTCATAACTTTGTATATGGGTACATGTGTGTGTATGTGTACGTGTGTGTGCCCTTATCCTTCCTGCACGAGACCTTTTTTGGAGAATGATCTATAATGTCTTCTCATCTGGCTGCTCGTGTTTACATACACGTTAGTTATATAAAACTAGGGCAGTTTATTATTTGTCTGCTAAGCTGCTTACATACAAGATCATACAAAAATCATACAAAACAAAACTCCAAAACATGCTAGAAATGACAAGGCTTGATAAGCGGAACTAAACCTTAAAAACCAGAAGGGAAGGGGGGGGGGGAGGAAATTCTTGGACGAGTTGGGAATTCCGGGATTTGATATGGCTGGCTGGCTGGGCTGGGCTGGGCTGGGCTGGGGAAGAATCAAAAGATACTGACAATTTAAGGGGAAGAAAGTAGGGGAGGTGGAAAAGGAAGGAGGGAAAAAGTAGACTCGAGAATAGAGCAGAATACCAAAAACACCTATATATCAAAAAAAAAAAAAAAAAACAATAAAACAATAAAACTAAAAATGAAAAATAAAATAAAACAAAAACTAATCCGAGTATAAGATATAATTTATGTGGGGAATATCATGTGCAAAAACAAGATAGAACAAAAAAAAAATAGGACAAAAAAAAAAATAAACATAAACAAAAAACTCCGCCGATACAGTAAAAGAGTGATAGGAAACCCAAGTGCAGAATACAAACGGTGCATGAATCATAAGGTGTATAGATAAACGGGATATGTCTTGAGAAATTTCGGGGATTATAGTAGACAGGGGGATCCGGAGAACCAGGAAAAAAGAGGGGCCCATGGGAAACCAAAAAAAGACACAAAAAGGTGATCGATTCTGCGCAGACCAGACACAGAAGAGGCTGAATATACAAAAGGAGTACGAGTACGGGAATACAGTAAACAAAATTCCGTCACAATGGAATGAACAGGGGATCTGTGTATTTGTGCGCCATGCGATGAATTTACACCCGATCCTCTGCAAAGTCGAGCACTTCGCAATCGTCTTCAAAGAAGCCCTCGTCATCATTGTCAGCTTGCATTCCCGGTCGTGCTCGGCGACGGCGGGTCGTGACAACAATCTGTTCGACTTCTTCGTCGCCTTCGCGGAGACTCATGAGATGCTCCATCTGCTCTAAGCCGGCAGTAGTTCGAATAACGGCGCCATGGCCCGCAGTGCCATCTTCACCATCGATTTCCACGTCGCCGTCGCTGTCGCCGTCGTGGCCTAGAATCGATCGGCCGACATTCAGACGGGTCGTGGAAATGGGCATGCCAAACACCCAAGGGTCTAGACTGTCGACATGGAGGTCTGGTGGAAACGATTCTGTATTTACAGCGACACCCCCGTCTGTGCCCCGTTCTCCATACTCCTGCTCCTGATCTGGGGATTGTTGAGAGTAAGACGATGTTGTAGTCGTTTCTAAATCGCCAAATGCGCCACCGTAATTGGCATTGTACACGAATAGGCCGATCCGTTTGTCAGTATGGAATGGTTGGTAGGGCGGGTTAGTCTCGATCTCGGCTGAAGAGAGTGGATGCGGGTTAGCGGTTTTATGGTGGTGATGGTGGTTACCCGAAATTGGCGAGACCCGCAAGGCCCAGAACCCCTCTAACGTTGGCTTGCCGCTTGGCGGGTTTGCATCGTGACCTTGGCTATTATTGTGGTCCAGTTGTTGTTGTTGCTCATCCCCAGATCCACTTCCAAATGTTGCCAATCCTGCGCCGTCTCCGTTTTGGTCGTTTATGTTACCAAGAATTATACCAGAAACCGCTGGTGCGAACATATCATCGGGGATGTTGGGCAATCCAAATTCGACTGCTTTGGGTCCCGCCATTGACGATGCCCATTTGCTCGACCGCTTGGCGCCTCCAGATCGCACTCGTGCGCGTAGTGGGTGAATTCGAAGCACCCCACCGCCCAAAACTCCAATGAAGCCAGTTTCTTTGCCGGTCAACCATCGCACACACCCGGGCGAAACTCCATTCGTCAAACCAGGTAAATGTAGTCTCTGTTCCGAAGCATGGCGAAGGCTGTTGACTGTACCTGTCGCTGCTCCAAGCGACTTGCTGAGACCCGCGGCAACGGCTTTGCCACTCGTTGCACGGGGACCAGCAGTCATGGTCAACCCACCCATGACGGGAAGGTTTGAACCGAGGCTGGTGCGACGTGAACGAGCATCAGCAGCAACAAACGCTTGAGCCTTGCCATTGATCATGTTCATAGCATTGGAGACTGGCTTCATTGGCCCACCATCTTCTCCATCAGCATTGTTTGAATACCCGTCAGATTGCTGACGTCGGCTCTTAGCGGCCGCATTGCGAACAACGCGTCGGGGCGGAGGCCATTGGAAAGCGCTCGCAGGTAAATCGAATAAATGCACTGTGCCTTTCTCTGTCACAATTGCCAGCTTCTCGCCCTTGGGAGCGGCCCACACCACGTCTATAATATTGGCAACCGTCATTCGAGTGTATCTCGCGATTTGCCTTACCAAAGGGCCCTCCAGCGATGCCGCTCCCTGATTACCCTCTTGACTTCCCGAAGGCATCGTAGGACTCGCCTTGCTGGTAGCGACACGCATCAGGTCCCACACGTACTGCACATCACCTTTTCTACTTGCTGTCAGCAACATTAAACCACTGGGAGACATTGAAAGGAAGCTGCATCCGAGTGGCGCAGAAAAGGTTGCTATCGGACTGAGAGGTGTTCTCGCTTTGGACTCTTGCGCGTCAGCAAGTTTCTCCAAATCGATTATCGACACTAGCGCAGGCTCGCCTGCTGCTTGAGATGATTGGTGGGAGTGGGCGTGGGTTGGAGGAAAGTATTGTTGAGACGCAGGTGGCGAGTAAACATTTGCCTGATCACCGCCAGGCGGGCTGATGCTCGGATATCCGCGGCCCTGCCCATTGGGCGGAGAGGATCTTCGCCAGTAGTTTTTCCAGGCTTGCATGCCTTGATCACCTACCCATTTCGCACCTTTGATGACTTCCTGGGTGACTCCGCGTGCGACGCGGTTGAAGACGCTCTCACCTTCGGGAGTATCAACGAAGCATGTCACAGGTGGCTGCGGAGGCGGAGCGTGCGAGCGAACGCCTGGCGCCTTCAAAGACGGCATCGACGATGGCAATGGAGTGCCATTCAAAGAAAACACGCTTGTTGAGCTGGGAGGTGAAACTGCAAGCCACCGATGACTGAGTGCAAGCAGTGGAACACCGCGAGGCAAGGTAGGCTGGCTTTCCTCTGCAGGACGATTGTCCAAGTCTGCGGTAGTGCTAGAAGAACTCGATGACGCAACTGTCTTGCTTATCCGCACCGTTGTCCAAACTTTTCCAAGGCATTTGAATACCGAGGTTCGGTCAGTTTGTGCAGACACATGCGAGTCGTACCCAAAGATGAATACTTCGCCGCTCGTTCCAGATGAGACGATAATGTATTTCCCTTTGGCATGCACGGAGAGGTTTCCAACGGGCGGCGGGGGCGCAAAAAGCGGACTTGATACAGGCGCGGAGATGGCAACAGGCGGGCTTGTATAAAGAATACCCAGATATTCCCGGCTCGCGAGAGAGTAAACTTCGACAGACGTTTCATAGTGCGTGACTGGCTTGAAGCCGTCGGCAAAGGCTTGTGCACTGGCAGAGTCGGAGCCATTCTCCTCTGGCGTGTCCGCGGATGAAGAATCCGAGCCAGCAGTGTTTTCCGAGCCAGGATGCTTGCTCTTCTCTCTGCGTGGCAAGATTGGACCGTGTACGATCACGGCGACCAGTGGACGGGAGGAATGAACGGGGTCATCTCGGGCTGTCCACGGTAAAAGTTTGGCTCCAATCACCCCACCACGCAAGCCTTCAAGCCTTCCAATCACGTCCATTTTGTCGTTCTCCACCCTCAGGACATCCAGTCCGCCCTCGTAACCGATCAGCAGCACGTTTTCGGCAGACTCGGCCCCTGGGCTAGCTGACGTGCCCAACGTGTCAAAAGCGCAGTAATAGCCCTTCTCACCGGCTGCCCATCCATTCTCGAGGGGAAGATGGAGGCCGAGGTCAGCGTCTGGCGCACCGTAGAAGTGTGCCTGAGGCTGATGAGGGAGAGGCGCTTGCGCGCCATAGGGCGGTCGAGCTCCGTATGGTGCGTGCATCGAGGATCGTTTACCAGCGCCAGAAATCTGGGCCAGCGGGTGCTGAAAATGCTCTTCAAAGCTTTGATAGGTATTTGGATAGCTCAGTGGCTTGGGTCGTCGGCCAGGAGGAGACGTCGACGGCGACGCATGGTGGTAGGCTCCGCCATCGCCGTAGGATGACGGAAAGTTGGGCGGCGAGCCATTCAAACTGGCTCCATTGCTCGGCGCAGGCGTATGGGGACTGGTAAAGAAAGGTAAGGATTTAGCCCATTCACTGGTATGATGGGCCGCAGAATTGGCAGTCGCAGTTGCACCCGAGCCAAGAGCAGCAAGGAGCGGGGAGGTTGGAGGCTGGTGGCGGGATGGGATCAAAGACGGCGGGGACTTGGTTCTACATTATATCAACGTCAGCAAATGCAAAGGGAGTGCGTCAAGGCGAGTGCGTAAAGCTGCGAGGCCAACGTACAGCTCTCTGGGATAGATTCTTGTCACGCTGTTCCCGTCGCTATTTTCCCTCCCGGGTTTCGGACGTGCTCGAAGTCGGCCTCTTGATTGTAGTCCGGAGTGATTCTGTAAATGGCTTTGATATTGATAATACGGTCCCACTTGCGGATACGGGCGACTCTGTCCAGTCGGGTCGTTGGGCGAAGGGGGCATTCAAACAGCTTCTGAAGAAACGAGTTGTTGAGACGCTCGCTAACTAGTAGTGATAAAGGGAGACTTCAGTTGCCTCACAATAGGAGGCTTTGCTGAACTCAAGTCGCCGTTTTGAAAGTCAAAAGAAGACCAGAAGCAGGTATTTGAGATGGTTGGGACAGGTGCGTCACAACCACGTTCCCGTGG